TATTTCAATGACTCGTGTATCGAATTTTCCGAAAGATGGAGGTGTAAGTGCAACGAAGATATAATTTTTTTTTTCTTAACTAATGATATTTTTGTTTCCTTTTCAAAGAAATATTTATCTACCTCCATATATTAAATTTAAGTCCTCATTCTTAAAAAAAAAATATTTTTTAAAAAGTCATATTCTTTTCCTTATTATAATTACATTGCATGACTTTTCTTGTATTTAATATTTTTTTAATTCAATCCTAATTTGAAAATAAAGTATTTATTATTGATAATAAAAATACTATTTTTAAGAAAAATAGTTATATAATATTTTTTATTTTTTAAATTTTTTTTAATTTAATAATACTCATAATGCATGAAAAATAAAACTAATTTATGTAAAATGTCAAATAGATTTGACACATGTCTAACTGTAAGTCAAGAAGATTTCTGATTTTCTTCATTTACAGAGAGAGAGAGAGAGAGAGAGAGAGAGAGAGTAATTAGTCATTTGACAGGGTACTTAATCAGTGATTTGATAATTAAGCTCATCCAGAAAAGAGTAAAATGATTTATGACAATTAATTGCATTAAGTAAAGCCAAATAAACTGAAATTCAACTTTTCCACAATGGTAGCTACACAGCAGCAAAATATTAGGTGGTAGTTGAAACAGACCTTAGATGAGCATCGTCTACGGGCCTGCACACATAGTATAATTTTTTTCACTTTTTTTTAAATGTGTCTATGTACATATTAATTCAAATTGTTATGAACTGCACCAACCACTCTGGACCACTGACAACAGGACAATGTCTTTTAACAGTTGGAGAATATAAATCGAGGACTCTGAATTTATGATTTTTACACGGTAGATACCTTTGGATGCTCTCTCTATACCCTACTCATCCAATTCTAAACCCTAATTTTGGCTCTAGGGTTACTCTTTCCAATGGATCGGACCACTTTATAACATTACTTCATTAATTCATATTATCATTAACTTCCAAAGAGACCCACATGATCATGAAGGCATCGCATAGATCACCAGGTTTAAATGCAAACTTTGCTTGCCCTCACTACTCAAAATACTACATATATTTTGAAGCAATTATATATTATTAAAAAGTATTTTTTCAAGTGATGTAAATAATTAAATGATAATAGAAATAACAATTATATTCATTATTTTTATTAAGTATAAAAAATTAAATGTATGAGTAAAGATTCAACAAGTGAAGTGTTAAATCCTTCTCACTCTGGATCTTGCAATAGGGTGATACTTGAATGAGCATATCGTGTGTATATTAAATGCCTCTTATACAGACTGCAGATAAGTTATAGTCGTGTTTTTCACTTGTTATCCCAAATTCAGCGATCCAAAAATCGTGAAAGTGTAAAACCATGCAGAAAGAAGCAGAAGATTCTTGAGAGTCTTCAAAGCATGTAGGTTAAAGTTTCAAATCTCAGCAACGTTTCAAAATGAGAACAACATCACATGATATGACCTCAATATTACTACTGTGATAGTGTTCACAACTAAATCACACATTACACTGCAGTTGTAATTTGTTTTAAAATCATCAAAATTATTCACATTGCGACTGCCACATCGAACCATGCACAATAATAGGTCCCATCAAATTGCTACAAACGTTTGCACACAATTATTTTCTGTTCTATTTTTCTTCATTTAGGATATATAAGAGAAATTATGAAAGGGTAAGAAGACTATAGGATGATACTGAGTTGGTGATATAGGAAAGCTGAAATACGAGAAGGAAGAGTAGGAGATTTGAGATTTTGAAAAAAAATAAAAAAAAATAAAAATTAATGAGTGTTTCTATATATTCAAAAGATTTAAGATTATTTTAACTCAAAGCAAATAGTTATTAATGGCTTGAAACAATATATTATATACAAAGAAATTCTTAAAAATTTAAATACGAATAATACTAATATTATATTATGGGTAAAATATATACAATAAATCTGCTACAACGACTGCAATATGCAGGTACAATAATTTATATCCGCAATCATAATAGCAGCACCCATGACTACAATTTAAAACATTCTCAACTTTTGCCTCTGGTTTTTAGGCCAAAACTTTCAGAACGGTCCAAACCATTAAGTAAATTTTACGAATTTTAATTACCAAATTATTATACTTTATTTAATAAGTTTGCTTAGAGAGAGAACGGTCACAAAGACTCATAGCTCAGTAGCTCACAAATCTTGGGGGCACCTACTAACCTACTTGCTCATATTATCCTTTTGATATTTGGGTTGAAGATGTGCAGATCTTATATGTTTGGATGTGCGAGAGACATGTCATATATACACTGTATACATAGAAAACGAACGATTCCGGAAAAAGGTAAGTAACTATCTCTTTCATCAAGTTTGACAAATTTTCTGAATGCGTTTTTGATGATTAATTAATTGCAGATTGTCCAAGCAGATCCTTTTCAACTTGGGATTCCATCAATTGGGTGTGTGTCTCCGTGTGTCATATATAAAATCTTTAAAGAGTTAAAATTAGGATCACGTATAGTTAAGTTTTTGTTCTTGTTTTTGTTTTTAAGATTTTTACAAAGAGATCGATGAGGATCAAGTTTAGCATATGTTGATTTTTAAATTAATTAATTAGCTTGAAAGGAACTTGAGAGAAAAAACTCGCATTAGTCCAAATTAAAAGGATTAAATGCACAATTAATCCTAAAATTTAGTTGGTTTAATGTATTATATGCATCTTAAAAATAAAATTGTGAAAATCAAAATAATTAGGAAAAACAAAGATTTCTTAAACTTCAACTCTTTTATAAATTGACACACTGATTATAATTTTGTTATAAAGAATAATAATTTATCCTATTAAAGTTTTATTTCATAAAGTAACTTAAAAATTTATAGTTTATAATTGGTAACTTAGTTGAAAGTTTATAACTAATTAATTAAACTAGAGTTATTTAGTAAAATTAGTTTTATAATTAGTTTAAATATGTTAAATAATTTAAAAAAAGTGTTAAGATATTTGGTGTGAATATAAATTATTTAAAATATTAAAGACACAAATAAGTTAAATCTTATTGGAAGAAATTTTTCATACGCTAACTTTTAAAACTTATAAGTTTCATTTATTTTTATTTATTAAACAATTATACTAGCTTATTAATAAAAATATTATAAATTTATAAATAAGTTATAAGTTTTTATAATCAAACACACTTTAAATTAATATTAAGACTTTATTTAGTAAATTAGATGAAAGCTTACAATTGATAATTGACTGATTTAAGCTAATTTTCAAAAGCTGTATATTGTTTTTAGTTTTTATTTATCAAAAATATTTTACTAGCTTACTTATTAAGAGAATTATAAATTTGTAAATAAATATAAACTCGTGTTATGAACCATACTATAAAATAATAGTAGAGAACACATTTTAACTCTATAAATTAGCTCTGAATCATTAATTTTATTTTGAATTGACTAATTTTTTTAATTTTAATTATGAGTGATTTTGATATTTTAAACTTCTTTTGAGCTAAGCAATTGGATTTTTTTAATTTAAAACTTTAATAAACTTAGGAAGAGAAAAAATTAAAAAATAAATATAACAGATAGTTTGATAAAGAAAAACAGATTATATAAACTTTAAAAAGTATTTTAAGAAAAAAAATAATATAAATGATGTATTAAAATTTATAAGTATTAATAATACAATTAAAAAATAGTCAATTGTTTTTTCATGATAATGTCAAAATCTACATAGCACAAATCTTAAACAATATCTTCTACATGTAATATAAATCAGTAAGATATGACAACATGAGTATCTTTAAATTTATAAAACTACTGCAAGATATTTCAAAAGTTCAAAAATATGTTTTTAAACTGCATTGTTGCAAATTTTAACAATGAAAATATAATAAAAACTATCCCATTCTCAAAATAAAATTTCTATTTTATTGTATAAAACGAAATACAAATACATATAAAATATATAATTACATTTTTTTACTCATTGTCAAACATTAAATATAAAAGCTAATTAGGCTGAAAACACGTGTTAATTTAAAAAAATATATTAAAATTTAACTGTTTTTACTATAAATAATTTGTACTTTTCATTCACGACTTGTGAAAGTCGCAGTAAATTAAATAAAAGAAAGCACACTTCACATTCGGATTATCGGATTTGGTAGCAAGTTTTAAAATGAAGTCAACAAATTACAAATAGCAAAACTATAGAATTTAATTTCAATACACTAGTTTTACATTATCATTTAATTATAAATTATCATTAATAGTTATTAATTTTCATTATAATTAATATAAAAATTATATCAACATCAAATTTTATTAATTGATAGTGTAAATTTTTTTATATTAATAATGTACCAAACTATATGTGTTGCCTTCATAAAATATATTTTTTCAACCACCATACAGAAATGATTTGAAAGCTAATTCTCACCAAATCCATAAATTAATCAAGCATAATCATAAAACAAAATTTGACCCCTTTTTTTTTTGGTCTCTGATACATTAAAAGCTCTGTTTTTTTTTTTTTTTGTGTTGAATTTTGTATAGTTCATTCAAGGAGAGAGGATGCTGGTCTTGCATTATAAACTCAAAATTTCCTTTGAATCTGGGAACTAAGAAAGGAGGTGAATCCTAGGAAATGGGCCCATTCCTACATGTTTGGGTTTCTGTGGGCTTGTCCAGATTACTGGTGGCCCAGTAGTAATCTTTTATTGGCTATGGCCCAGTTGTCAGAACCGGTTGAAATTGAAATTGAATACTTCGGCTTTGGCAAAGTTAATAGTTTGCTACTTTGGGCTTGACAAATAGAGTTTGTTAATATAAAAAGATTATCAGAACATGACAAACAGAACAACTTGTGGAAAATAAGAGGAGACATGTTCCTCACTTCTCCTCCACAGGTCCTAAACAAGAAAAAAGAAAAAGAAAATTAACACAATGAATTATCCGAACCCATATTCTATGTTGTCCACCCTTCTCACACCAGCACCAAGCTTTTTTTTCCTCCTTATTATTACAACCTCAAATTCTCAGAAGCCATGGTGGTAAACCTCTCTCCCTCTCCACCTTCACATTCCAGTTCTATCATCAGATTGGCCAATTCAAAGTCACCCATCTCAGAACCTTCCTTCAAGCACAGGACCCTCTTCCCCAAACCACTTTTTTCTCCTTCATTTGCTTCCCCCAGATTGAACTTCACTTGCAAGAAGCATTTTTTGCATGGGAATAGCAGGAGCACGGTGGATTTTAGGACCTGGTCTATTGCTGGATTTGATTATGGGAACTTTGAGGGTCCTCAATCTGTTCTTGAGGCTGCTGCAGTGTTGACAGCTATCATTGTTGTTCATGAGAGCGGTCACTTTCTTGCTGCTTCTCTCCAAGGAATCCATGTGAGTAAGTTTGCTGTTGGGTTTGGTCCAATTTTAGCTAAGTTCAATGCAAACAATGTAGAATATTCCATCAGAGCTTTTCCTCTTGGTGGCTTTGTGGGGTTCCCTGATAATGACCCAGAGAGTGATATTCCTGTTGATGATGAAAACTTGCTTAAGAATAGACCAATATTGGATAGGTTGATTGTGGTATCAGCAGGTGTTATTGCCAATGTAATTTTTGCATTTGTTATTATCTTTGTTCAAGTCCTTTCTGTTGGTTTGCCCGAGCAAGAGGTTTTCCCTGGAGTGATTGTGCCTGAAGTTAGACCCTTTTCAGCTGCTTCTAGAGATGGGTTGCTTGCTGGTGATGTGATCATTGAAGTCAATGGAAGTGAGTTTCCTAAGTCAGGTCCTAATTCTGTTTCTGAAGTTGTTGATGTCATCAAGAAGAACCCTAAGAAATATGTTTTGCTCAAGGTCAAGAGGGGGGGAGAGAACTTTGAAATTGGGGTCACCCCAGATGAGAATTTTGATGGAACTGGCAAAATTGGAGTTCAGCTAGCCCCAAATGTGAGGATAGCTAAGGTTAGACCCAGAAATCTGGTGGAAGCTGTGAACTTTACTGGAAAAGAATTTTGGGGTCTAGCTTCCAATGTGTTAGATGGCTTAAAGCAAACATTTTTAAACTTCTCTCAGTCTGCTAGTAAGGTTTCAGGTCCTGTAGCCATTATTGCTGTTGGTGCTGAAGTTGCGCGATCAAACATCGATGGTCTCTTCCAATTTGCAGCCATTCTCAATATTAACCTTGCTGTTATCAACCTTCTTCCTTTACCAGCTTTAGATGGGGGTACATTGGCTTTAATTCTCATTGAGGCTGCAAGGGGTGGGAGAAAGCTACCTCTAGAAGTGGAGCAACGGATCATGTCCTCGGGAATTATGCTTGTTATTATTCTTGGGTTATTCCTTATCATTCGAGACACCCTAAACCTTGATATTATCAAAGATATGTTGTAATTATTGTGAATTCTCAGTAATAGTTGGCTTTGAAAAATATTTCATGATTCTCATCAGCGTAGCTGTAGCACCAGTGTTGTAGCCAGTGGTAGATCTGTAGAGTAGACAAGATCATTTTAAATTATTGAGGTAAGTTTCTTCCTCCAAGGATGTTGTGTGAGAGACATCCCTTTGTTACTAATTCATTGATCTGATCAGGATCGGATTTGTGATCCTGGAATATAAACTTACAAATTACAAATACTAGCTTTGATTAGTATCTTCTCTCTCTTCATTTTCTCTGGAAATCATGAAGTTATCCATTAAGAGTATAGTTCTGCACAAATTCTTGGTTACTACTATTTGATATAAATTCTCTACCTCCATTAAGAGAGCAAATCCTTTCTTAGGGCCATTTGGTCTTAGAAATTGTTTTCTGTTATCATTTTCTATTTTATTTTTAATTACAAAATTGTCATATTGTTTTCATTTTATTTTTTGTTCTCGAGTATTTGTACAGGAAACACTAAAAACAACATTTTTTTTTTCTTCACTATTTCCTGTACCAACATTTTGTAGTTTTTTTTATCTATGGAATTGATGTGCGCTTTCTTTTCTAGTACTAAGCTGTGCTGGAGAAAGGGAGTGTAATATATGTCCAAAATTTAATTGTTTGGCGTGATTGCATTTACTATATTACAGTCTTACTAATTTTATGAACTGATCACTTGGTATGCAATTTCCTTCGTAATGAGAAAAAGTGGAGAAAATGAAGAAGAAAGGTAAAAAATATGGAGTTTTGAAATTGCATTTTAGATTATGTTAGGAAGATTGAGTGCCAAACTAAAAAGGAAAGTGTTCCTAAGAGGTTAATAAGTATACTTCTCCCCTTAAAAGCTTGAAGGGAAAGTGAAAGATACAAGAATTGAAGCTAGAATTAGCATCTGCCCCATTTTTTCACTATCTTGTTGAAACTAATTTTAGGATCACAATCATAAGTACTAACACATACGGATGCGGGTGTAATTTCCCAAGCAAGAGAAATGTTTGGTATACTAAACACTAACCAAAAGGGCAACAGGATTTTAGTCCAAAAAAATGGTCAAGAATTTGCTTGCTTCTCTTGCTTTGTTCACCTAAGGGAAATTATATCAGGCTATTTTCTTTGGAGATAGATTACACTTTGGTAGTCCAAAAAAATGGATTTAACAATTATCAGAGTCTTGGATTTCTTAGTTCGCGAAGAGAAATTTAATTTGTATAATAAATTTTTGGTTTTTTTTTTACAAAAAGGAGAAACATGACAAGAGAAGAGAAAGGCGTATGAGGAAAAAAAAAAAAGAATATGCAATGGATAAAGATTAAAAAAAATGTGAGCAGTATTTTTAGGAACTATTCTCGTCTTCATTATGTTATGTTACTTCCTTATAATTGAAAATCAAATTTTGTTTGGTTAATTTTTATTTCATTTCAAATATTTTTTTGTTTTAATTTAAATATTTTGATTTAAACTTAAATCTTCATATACCTTAGGGGATATATAATGAGAATTCTCATATTTCATTAGGATGTTATAATGGTAGGTGTTTTAATTTTTTTATTTTATTTTTCATTCAATTTAATATAATGGTGGTAAGTGTTCTAATTGAAGTAAGAGTATTTGAATGTGATAGGTGAATTAAAATTTAAAATTTAAATTTTAAATATATATAAATATTTATATAAATATATATAAATTTAAAATTTTTTTCACATATATAAATATTCAAATTTAAAATTTTACTTAAATAATACTAAAATACTTGTCACTTAGACTAAACTTTATTGGTAAAATATTATTACTTTAATTTGGTTAATAAAATATACTTTTATTAATAATAAACATATTTACTTTCAAATTCATTAAATTTAAAATAATCAATTATTTTTATTTTATTTTTAATATAATAATATCCATACAGTGTATAAAAATTCACTAATTTATTAGGATAAAAGGAAAAAGAAAAAGAAGAAACATGTTCCATAAAAATAAAAATGTAAAGTTAACACATAATATTTTGTAATAAACAAGCACATGTAAGATTGTGATTTAATTTTAATTTATATTTTTATAACAAATTAGTAATTTATTTGTAAATTACATAAATATTATGAAAATAATTTTTTTATTAAATAATTTTTACATATAATTTACGAGTATTTATAATGTCTTCAGATAATTTTAAACGTGGATAGTACAAGAGATTAATATTTTTTTTTATCATGTCAAGTCATTTTTTATATTATATATTTTTAAATTTAATTATTAAAATTTTAAATTTTTAGAACTTTATTTTTTTTAATTCGAACTTGATTTTTATTTATATAATATAATATAATATGTATTATTAATAATGATAATATTTCATCCTTATCAATCAACCTCTCAACTAATATATATATAATTTTTAGATACTAATTCTTAAACAGAAACATTTTTTTAAATAATAATTCCTTTTTCATTATATTAATTTTTTAATATTATGTATTTATTTTCTAAATTTAATAATTTAAAATATTAATATAATATATATTTTTAGTATTTTTTAAAAATAATTTAATTAAAGATACTCATGCAATGTAGAAAAATTATTAATAGATAAATTTCCTAGCTATTTTTAAATTTTATAAGTTAAAAAAGTAAAATTTTTATCATATTAAATAATATGAAATTAAAAAGATAAGATATTTTAAATAAAATATTTAGAATTGAAAATAAAACATAAACAGATAGTAAAAGAAAAAAGTCAACCAGTATGACACAGAAGAAAAGCAGTAAAAGTGAAAAAGAAAAAGGTTGAGAGAGGATAATATAAAGCGTTGATTAGATTAACTTCTCCATCACTTCACCATTCTCATTCTCTCTAACACTAAAGCCTTCGATTCGACCCCACCAACTCTGTTCCCTTCTCTTTCTTCTCAAATCGCCATATCCTTCAACAAGGTAATCTCTCTCTCTCTCTCTCTCTCTCTGTGTGTGTGTGTGTGTGTTTATGAAACATGTTCGTCGCCCATTCTCTTTTCGATTCTTACCTCGATCTATCTTTAATTTATTATTTATTCGGCAAAAATCAAATTTTTTAAATTATTTTTTAAACCTTCCTTCGAATTCATAAATGGATCTCGTGTAAAAGAATAATTGATATGCATGCTGTTCGAATCTTTTCACTGTCTCACAATTCATGACCCCGATTTTTTTGCCCTTTTTACTGGTGCTAAGAAATTTTTATTTTCTTGCGTTGAATTGTTGAACGATCGTGTTTATTAACTGTCACGATCAAAACAAACCGTGTGTACTTGCCATTGATTTGACCGCGTGCGACTTTGATTATTGGATGCAATTCATTTTTTGCCCCCTTTCTTGTCTTTTGTATTTGGCCTTTTAATTTATCTTCAAATATTCTGTTAGATTTTAAAATTCATCCAATACTTTCAAAACAATATTTTTACAAAATAAGCTTTTATAAAATTAATGACTAGTAAATAAATTTTAAAATTTGAAGGAGTAAAATGTTTGACAATATAACTTTGAGGGTTTATTTATTTATTTATTAATTCAGCAATATATTAAGGGGTGTCTCTGGTCTCTGATTAGTTGTTAGAATCAATGAAGAATTGAAATTTTTTGCAGGTACAGAGAAAAGGAAAACTATGGGGAGCAAAGCACCGAGTTGGTCTGATCAATGGGGAACGGGAGGGTTTGGTAGTGAGCACTATGAGGAGGATGAGAAGGTGAAGAAGAGTAGTGGCAGTAGCAAAAAGATGGCAGATGCAAAGGCTATGGCATCAGCTGGAATGGACAAAGCCAAAGCAGCTGCAATTGTGGGTGCTGACAAGGCTAAATCAGCTGCTGTAGTGGGTGCCCAGAAGGTGAAGAGTGGCACTTCTGCTGGCCTCAAATGGGTCAAGAATCAGTACCAAAAAAGGACTTCTTCCAAGTGAAGTCACCTACTCATTGGACAGTTTCATTGTATGGCTTTGGTAAATAATACATGTTGCTTTAGTAAAGTGTTTTGTTTCTTTCGTAATCAACTAATTGATATGCCTTGGTTTGCTTTTCAATTTCTACTGCAACAATCCAGATTAGCTTTATTTTTTCCTTGTGATTCATAGTTTTTGTTTGATTATAGAAAAAATGTTGGGTGTTATATAACTTTTCCCTGTATCTTTCTGTGATTGCTCAATGAACAAATTCTCCAGTTTTACATTGTTTGTTGCCGACTGCATTCATGATTTGGGGATGATGTTTGACCCGATGTTGATTTGTGTGACTCAAATCAACTGATGCGATTTACCAAAAAGAAAATTCAACTATTTAAGATATAGCGTGTATACTGTATAAACGTGGTTTAACGTGATTTTGTAGAGATTTTGCACATTTTTCTTATGCACCTTGAATGACCGGAAAAAGTTTTCAGAGAAAATGAAGTTAACTTAAGCTTGTTTGATATCTAGTATTTGGGAAGCAAAAGAGTGGGAAAATGCTTATGTGATAATAATAAAAGATTATTTTAACATTGTTTACCTAAACACTCATATATGTTGGGTGTAAAATATATTTTTAAATTTATTTTATATTATATTTTACTATATTAGTATTATTTAAACAGTTTTATATATAAAATAATTTTTTTAAAAATATTTTAACATCCAAATATATTGAGTGTCTAGTATGAATACCTATTTTAAATGTTAAAATAGCATAATTTATGTGATAATTATTTTTATTTAAAAAATTTTATATTAGAAGAAAGAGTTTATAAACTATTTTAATCTCATATTTTTAAATTATTTTAATTTGAGAGATTTTATGTTAACCATTCTTTTTCTTCCTTTCTCCTCTCATTCCTTACCCTTCAAAATTATTCCTTTTATTTTCCTTCAAACTTCCGAACATACAAAGTCTTTGACGGATTGATATAGAGTTCAGCTACCGTGTAACAGTTTCTTTTGCTGGAAAAATATAATCGCATGAAACACATAATGACTGTTCTATTGCATTGAGATGCATGAAACACAGTTTTTAATGCCCAAGAAAATGATGAACTACCATTTTAATTCTTGCTGGAAGATGTGCTCCCATTTGGTGTGATTACATCCCAGCTTAATTGTCTATTGATAAAAACTCCTATAAGAAGTCCTAAACAACAAATCGACTTAAACTAATTTATTTTTATATTATAAATATGAGTCATTGACAATGATAACTAAATCTCAATCAGCATTAATATCAGATTTTTATTTTCTTAAAATTCTTCCAAATTAAAAGAATTCATTCACTTTGATATTCTAAATGTTTTCATACAAAGAAAAATATTTATATTATTCCTAAATAACGTTAAACAACATTGTGGCATTAGAATTTAACTTGCCTTTACATATAAAGTGTAAGTTCTAATTCTTAAACAAGATTGCTTATGAATGATCTTAAATGAGAGCAATTTTAAGAGTTATTTTCAATTTATGTCATTTGCCTTGTTTTGCGTCAGATATTTATTTTTAATTTAATCTTAATTTAAATTCTTATAATTTATTTTTGAATTTCTATTTTTAATTTATTCTTATTTAAAACAATAAATTATTTATTAATAATCAACATAAATTTTATATTTATAAAATTTATTAGATTTTAAAAATTATACTATACTTTTAGTTTTTATTTAAATTTATTTTAATTTAATAATAACCTTACACAAGAAATTCACCATTTTTATAAAACAAAACTTGATTGCAAAGTTTAAAGTAATTAATGAATCAAGATATAAACGCACGATCCGTTACGATTAAATTGATTAATAAAAGAAACTTAATTCAATCTAATCAGTTTTATAGAGGCTTAAGTCAACCTAATGATAAGACTTAAACTTAAGACCTTACACGTAAATTATCTAAGAGTGCTGCTGCATAGTATGATAAATTTCGTACGAAATCGACATGAAAAAATGTTCCTTTTTTAATAAATTAAAATATTAAGTTTTTTGAAAAAACGAAGAAATCCGACAGAAATAATGCCACGTGTTTCATTTACGCGTTTCGTGCAAGATTTTGATTCTAAAAAGTAATTTCTAACGTCTAAATCTCCCATACTCCAAATTAACTATTATTACTCTCATAATTACACAATACCGGCTATAGGTTCAATGCTAGCATTACATTACTAATTTTTAATATTTGTTCAAAATAGAAGTTGATTAAGATGCATCAAACTGAACATGAAAATTATTCTTTTTAAACAAAAATAAATAAATAATGAAAATCAGAAGAACACGTTAGAGTGCAAACATACCCTTAAACTTTTGCAATTCATAAAGATAGAAGCACGACAATTTTCAATTAAGTTCCAGTACACAACGATTAACATCAATTAGTTAATAAACTTTACAAGAAACGGATCAAACCAGCGATTTAACAATTAAGCTGACTTCTTCACATAGGTCACTTTTAGGAAGTTCTATTCACAAGGTTGCCTGTCATGAATCATTTCAGATCATAAAACCAAATGTGTTCTCTCCACTATAAGTCATATATAGGAATCCATCTTCATCCTTATTTTCCTCATAAATTGAAGACATCATTGCCGCTGCATAAACAGAAAATCACAGCTAAATCAGAAAAAAAATATTATAAGAACAAATTTTCAGAAATATTATTAGTCAACAAATTTTGGGTTTCCCTCTGCCCTATTTTCCCAGACTAAAAATCATGTCATCCACTCTAACATTTACATTTAACAAAAGTTCCACATGTATTACCACATACGCATACGCACGCACGATCTATACATATTATTACCAGTTGGTGGTAAAATGTTCTTGACAAAAATGAAGATGGCTTTCTCAGGACTCAGCTTGATTCTCTTCCGCACCACATACACAAACTGGCCAACAGTCAAATCAGCAGGAACAAGATACCTACATTCATCCAACAGGAAATAATAATATACACCATAAATAAAGAGGAAACAAAGGAAATGAAAGAGGATATGTATTCACACAAACATTCAAAGGATTGTCAATTTCCCTAATAGAATAAGAATTCAAAGCATCCATTTTACAGTTAACATAGACATATGAAAGCATAGAGCATGTCAAACACACTATAACTATGCTAAAGATCAATGTTCCAGCCAGGTTACTTGTTCTCCTTAGATTTAAAGTGCATTTTTCATGACCATTTTTTTTTATTTTGTGGGCAAGATGATGGTGAGAGTCATGAGTCCTCCCAACCTCCTACAGTTTACAATAAGAACATTGGAGCTTTAACACTAATTGACATGAGATCTTGTCATTCTGACACTTTCAATTGTTAACATCTAAGCCTCAACTAAATCCCCATGTCACTGAACGATCAAACTAGATTGATGTTACAGCTTCAAGTATTGAACTCTATTAGTGAGCTTTCACATCAACAAATCCAATTCTATTTTGACAACAACTTTTTGAAAAAAAATATATTCATATAATAATTATAAACCATGCAACGCACATGTCATCACGCTAGTACTGATTCAATTCAGCATGGTAGTGCTCTTTATTTTCTCCAATTCAGATAAAAACATTAAATATGATATTCTTTACCATTTTCTCTTTCAATTCTATAATAATATTTTTAAGAAAAGAATACAAGATTTCTTTTTCTTCTTACCATGTTAAAAGCAAAATTAGTTAGGTTTGCTAACTCAGTAAAATTTAAATTTGACACCACAGACATACCGAAAATATTCTGAAGTTGACAGGTTTCAGCCAAACCAGAGAAAATAAAACCACAATAGCTTAAGTCCAAGTAAAAGTAAGTAGCCTTAGGTGTGGATATTCTAAAAAATTCACAGTAAAAACTATATGACGTTCAAAACTTTATCTACATAAAGTAGAACATGTTTCACGCAAAACAAGTAATAACACTTATAAGGATGATCAGAGTAAACAAACTGTGAAAATATTTACAAATTTACAGTTGCACTTTCCAAATAATAGAAGAAACTAACTTTTTCTTATCAATTTCGGGAACATCACTCTTCTCTGCCCTTTCAACAATTACCTACAAGGAATAATCAACCAAATTCTTAAGCACAAAGGGCGATTATAATGATACATGCAAACAGCAGAAATCGGCTCTTACTGGAATTCTATCAGGATACTTCTCCCTAATGCGAGCTGCTTCAGCCTGTCTCCTTTCTGGCATGTAATGTTATACATATTAGCAAACATACATTAGACCTAAATCAACCAACAAGAAAAACAATTACAAGTTTACATGCACGTAGGAATCAGTTGGGGGGCGGGGGGTTGATACCCTAAGAAGATCAGCCAATGTTTAGGAATGGTGTTTAGTTGATAGTGAAATTTTTGTAGCCAATACAACAAAAAATACAGATCACACCAGAAATTTGAGAAACAGGGAGGGGGGAGAACTCACTGCCAACAGCAAATCCAAATCACAGGTAGTAATAGATCATTTAGAAACCAAAAATTACGCACACACATCATAATCATCATCTGAACTAACAAAAGAAAAGTATATTTAAGTAATTTAACACAATTCATTTTTATACTGCGCAAAATAAAAAGATAAATGGAAAGTTAGCACGAGACAATGACACTTGATTGAGTAAAAGGTTTAGTTTTCTAGGAAAAACACATAATGGGGCTCAACAATACAAATTTCACACCCCAGTTAAACTCCAAAAAAGAAATTACAAAGCCTAAGTAAGAAAATTCAAAGCATCTGAGGATCCCGAGTATCATGTTTAATTCCCAATAAAAAATTCACTCCATCTTATAAAAGAAAATTGGAGAAACGGTTCGTAATTAAATAAATAAAAAGAGAAGCGAACCAAGTGGGTGTTCCATCTTGAATGAACTCTTAGCCATGGGAATAATTCTGCAGCAGAGAACACGGATTAAAAGAGGGGAACAAAACTAATTACAAAATTAGGGTTCCCAATGAAGGTAACGTTGTGCTGATGAACGAAATTAACTCCAAACGAAAAAGGGGAAAACAGTAATGAGATTTGCAATGGATAATAAAAATCGGATATTGCTTACGAGAAGAGAGAGAAAACGATCAGAGAAGAAGAAGAAGCAAGCAACCAGGAACTTCCCTGTAAGTAAAGGAAACCTTGTTTATTGTTATATGACCATTTGTTGGTCACTGTCTATGCTCAACGACACCGTTTCTTGGACTCTAAATAAAATAATGTGAAAAATTTTACAATGTTTTCAAAATAAAATGATTTAGCAGTTTTATCGTTTTTATATTTCAAATTTTAAAATGTTAGATAATAAGTGATTTTTGAATTTTTGGTGCTTATATATATATTTGTATAAGTGTTTGAAAATAAGAAATAAGATAATACTTTCTAATTAAAATAAAAATGGAAAATATTTATTATGTTAGAAAATATAATAATTTATTAACTTTATATGTTTAAAAAACCTAAAAATTGATGTTCATTAAAAATTTAGAATATTAAGATATATTATCTTTTCAATGTACCAAGTCAGGTGTACATATAGTTAAATCATGAAATTCTTTCTTCTTTGAAGCGAGGAAGGTTCTCAACTTCCATAAGAGAGTAATTCCAAAGAAAAAGTTGGCAAGGATTGTTGTTTCCTCTTTTAGATTTTACCAGTGTTCAGTTTATTTAATACCATTTCCTCTATCGATTCGTTTCTTCATCCTTCTCGTTAATGATTTTATTTTATTTTTATTTATAAGATATTTGTTGAATAATAAAACAACTCTAGATGAGTATATTTATAAAGTGAGAAAGTAAAATTTATTTATCATTACTTTTATATAAAGCGGTTCAGACATTTTTGTTCCATGAAATATACGTCTAAACACTCATTACTTTCAAATCAATGGTTTTGATATATTGGTTAAGATCGAATTGAAAAAAATATATATTTGGGTCAATAAATTGAAAGTTTTTTTTTTTTGGGTCAACAATAAATTAAAAGTATGAAAAAGACAATAGAGTGCAACTTTGGCATCTTCTGAGTTCTTAGACCGGGCCTTATCCACATTGCAGAGTGTATAAAAAGTAAAGAACTACAGAACAGATCGAAGCCCATGCTTGTCGCAATGTGTCACATGTACGGCCCATTTACGAAGAATGGATGAGGCTCAGAATCATCAACGATGACAGAAGGTGGTGCTAAATCGAATCTGAGAAGCATTAATCTCCACTGTGCAATTACAAGTTGAAGTAGTCATTTATTGGTCCATAATTGACCCACAGGGTTCTTATTGTATAAATATACAAGCCAATTCGTGGTGAGTTAACTCATCTCGCAACTTTTAAATTTAAATTATTATTTTTATTTACTAAAATATAAAATTAAAAGAAGAGTTTTTCTCTTTTCTTGGTCCACGTCCCTTTTCTAGTTTTAGCTTTGAATTAAGTATAAAAGAGTGATGCGATAGATGACTTCGTTTGATCATTTGATTATCGATAGTATTAATTATTAACATAGTAGATAATTAGTACTTAATAAATGATAGTGAATAAATTTAAATTTTTGTATTTTTTTAATAATTTTTTGAGTTCAGTGAATCAACATGCCGAATTAATGATCAATTGACTCAGAATTTTTCGGACTCACTTTAAATTAAGGAGAGTTAAGTTAGGTTAATCTACTATTAAATTTAACTCGTGATGGGTTAACTTGAATCCGATTGACTCGTGTTGATGGTTTTAGTATTAATATTCTTTAAACCTTGAAGTATGCTCTTAACTTTGGGGAATATTCTTAGACATCTAAATAATCTAAATATTTTACATAAGAACAAGCTAATAAAAGTTATTAGTTGAGGGACTCTTTAGTAGCTACATGAGAGACTGAGTAATGATTTAGAAAGTGTTTGTGAAATAAGCTAAATCAAGAATATGCCTTAACGTTGTAGTTTTGGGCACGACGCATTTGGTTCTAACTGAGAGATATGGGTTTGACCATGTCAAACGATAACTAGTAAATGTATAATTACCACCTAGATTTTAAATATAGCATTTAGAACTGAATTAGGAGGTTATTTTGTTATCAACAGTAAAAAAAATGCACATTTGAAGTAGTTGGAACATCCAGAAAAAGTTGAAGATAAGGATGAATAATCATTGCCTTAAAAGTAAGGACCTAGTTGCATGGTTAATAGAGGAATCAATCAGTATTTAATTTTAGTCATCTAATATAATTTTTAATTGTAGCTTAACTGATTTGATAAATATGTAAACTATTATTATCATGACTTTGTACTATTGTAAACTTAGGTGAAAACTTGTGTGGGCTTATAAGTATCAAGTGTATAATAACTAGTGAATTTTTTTAATCAAGCAAACACAAATATGTTCTTCCATATATCCATTTTTGTTTTTCAGTCTTTACATTACATTTTGCTTTGCATTTTCAATTAAGCCATTTACCACTCTTTGATTACAATCTTCCTTTTTTCCCTTATTTATAGCATTTCATTTACACCTTTTCTTTTACTAGCTATGCCTTTAGCTTTCAAATCTAGCTTAACTTTTTTACTTAGTTGAATTTCACATTAAACATTCTCTTTAGTAACAGCTAAGGGACATAATTCTTTCTATTACAAAATTGCTTGACCAACAGGAGATCTTTGTGTTTGTTATTGGCTAAATCATTTGATTCTAATTGAATTGTAGTCTATTGAACTTGTTAGTAAAAATAACACAAAATGTTATATATCTAAACAAATTATCAAACTTTTATGCAAGAATATAAAATGATATAGAGAACATGATTAGGTAAGTTAATAAAGATGGAATAATTTAACTTCAAGTATTTGATTCTCACTCCAATAATCTCCTTTGTAGGCAACCTATGAATATTAGCTATAAGCTCTTGTTGAGGAAAGTGATATTACCTTGGGAATTTAAGACTGTATATATATTTATGAACAAAATATATTTAGAGAAAGAATTAGTTTTATATAATAATAAAATAAATAACTTCTTAATCAAATAATCATCGATAATTGAGATTAAATATTACGTAAAGTTATATAATCATTTAAAACTATATAATGTCTATATTTTAATATTAATGATCATTTATAATAATGTTTAACAATATTAAAGGAGTATAGTGGTAAGTTTTACACTTTTACTTGCGAAAAAGATGCTTATTGCCTTGTCACTTTACTGTACTTTGTTATTGCAGATTTAAATATGGAAAATTTTATTCCCCTCTCATTCACGTGCATGCATGCTCATCAAGAGGGTCGCAGCACTATTTAATGGTGTAGTGTAGTCATTCTCACATGTTTGTGCCTACCTACTAACATTATGTTTGTATATTACGGATCCAAAGTTTGAAGCGTATACTGTGTATTGTCCTTGTAGTTGTTCAGTTACCATAACTATCTGCGGAAGCGTGGACTAATAGAAGAAAGACCATGCTAACAATTTAAATTGAAATTTTCATCATAGGAGAACATCTACAAGAAATAATTATACAAGTCTGGTCTTTATTTTATCTTCAAGTTAAAAATAGTTAACTTTTTATAATGTCTAAACTTTACTTACTTTATATATATGTATATATTAACATGTTTCAGCACTTGGTTTGTCTTTCTAAAAATTATGACCTAAATATTTAACCTGAATTTCTTTTAAAAAGCATATTAGTAATAATTTTTAATAACTTTACAAACTTATTTTTAAATAAGTTAATATAGGTTATAAACTTATAAATAGGCTAGCTACAATATGAATATATAATCCAAAAAAAGTTAATACAATAATAATATTTGAATAGACCGACACATGCAAGGTTTAAAGGATAACCTATATATATATATATATATATATATATATATATATATATATATATATAAAATTTATTATAATTTATTTTAATGTCATGTAAATTTTTTTTCAATAAACTAAGAAACTATGATAATTATAAATCATTTTCATAAATTTTGCATAATTTTTTTAAAAAAACGAGCTCTTATATTCCTGAGTTGAGGAAAAATATTAGTGAATTCTTTCTCTCCCCAACTCATTTAATAAACAAAATCAACATTTGGACACGGTTACTTTTATGTTTTTTGTGATAGTGCTATTACTAAAATTAAACAATCATGCGCTGAAAATTATTCCAAGATTCCTTATTGAAAAAGCTAGCTTTCTATAACCCTCGATGCTCCTTTTAGTATTATCAAAAGTACTAAGCTGATTACTCAATAGATGAAAAGTTTGTGCTGCTCTTGTCGTCGTTCAGCCATTTATGGATCCCAATTCCCATGCTTACACTTTTACATAAATCACGTTTATTTGAAACATTTTTTGTTATTTTCATACTAGGACATGTTTCGATTAAGTTATTTTAAAAAGTAAAAATAATGTTTGCTCTTTTTAAAGATTTTTTAAATCGTTTATAATTAATTACTCACTAAATAGAGTTTTTATGAGTCTTCCATATTTATAAAATATTAATTTTTTAATATATATTTAAAGACACACAATAAAAAATTAATAAATAATATAATTTTATTAAAAATTATGACATTTAATGTTTTCAACGTATTAGATCTTATAATATCCTATAATTTTATATAAAAAATATCATATATATTAAATATCCTTGAATATACGTTAAAAATTTAATAAAGTATTAATTCTTGGATATGTTACCTAAAATATGATCTCGTAGTTAGAGTATATTACATCATTTGGTTAGGTCATTAATATTTCCCAATTTAAAACTAACAAGAACAAAAGGAAGCAAAAAGACCATACGTTGCTTAGCTAGTTTTGGTAGAACTAGCTAACATAGCCAGTTCTTAACCATCATTTTAGGTTTATTTGTAGGAAAGAAAGGGAGGGAGCTAAGCATGTGAGAAAGAGAAACCATACAGATGCATCAATTGCATTTGTAGTGGAATCACTGAACCTACGAAGTGCCTCATGAGAGGCTGGGTATGATGAAGGGTATGAGTACCATAAGCCTAAACCCACGAAGCAAAGGTTCTTTTTCACTGTTTGATACATAAATGCTGATTGAACTGAACCAACATCCCTCTCCCTCCACACCATAATTCATAAATGCCCACATTTAAAGCTACAGATTTGTCTCCTCTGAGCCTTTTCACGATTCCTGTACCTCCTTAAATTAATATTCCAACTTCCTCAGTTGTAAGGTGGTTGAGAATTTAATGCAACTTCTTCAATGCTACCACCAGTAGCCATATTTCGTGGTCTCATGTTGGGCACTACCTTCTTTAAAAAACTCTAGACTTTAGAGTATCTATCTTTCTCTCTCTATCTCTTAGTTTTCTACTCAATATGTCCAACCCCATATCGTGTTTCTTCTCCATTCATAGATCACTGTCAGTCCCTTCCTACTTCTCTTCAAGTCATTTAAATCAAGGGTTACACTTATATATACATGAATATGAATGTTACATCATTATTGTTATTATTAGCACATTCCAATTTCCAACCCCCCCAAATTAAAAACATGAAGGGTCCCTTTTGAATTTTTGTTACCAATTGAAAGTTTGATTTTTATATTTTGATATTATTTGTGGTTGTTTCTTAGCAGATGGGTGGAAGAGAAGTTTAAGCTAGGCATGGTGGCAATGAGGGGTAGAGGGGACCGGTTCAACGGGATATTGGTCCGGTTCAATAAGAAAGCAGTGCTCAAAATGTTTGGGCCTTGCTTTTTGATTGAGCCGTGCCAATATCACGAGCCATTGCTCTTCACACCCCTGAAGTCTTCTTATCAAACACAAAGATTCATTATAGATGATTCCTTTCAATTCTTGGCCTGCTTTTTTATTTGAAGATATGGCTATGCATGATATGCAGGTTGTGTCCTCTTCATCATTCTCTCTTTCTTTCATATTTTCCTTTTATCCCCGTTCTCTTCTTTTGGTTTTTTTTTTTTTTACACGCATAATACTAATTGATGCTTTAAAGGCACTAGGTAAAAAATTTTAAAAAAAATATTAATACACTTTTCTTCTAACTTATAATTAAAAAATTATTTGTTATTTTTTTAACTAATGTGTGTTACAAGGACCTTCTCTATGAATACTATTTCTTTTATCTTTTTTATGTTAGGGTATGTATTTGATTTTGAGACACTACATCTTTCATTCAATTATTGGTCATCGTTAAAAGATAAATATTAACTAATATCTGTAGGATTCTTATTGATAAGAATCCTATTATAAATCGAGAAACAATTTAGGCAATGAAGCATGTGGAATGTTGGGTCTGACCGTGTGATAATATTTATATGTCTTAGGACACAACAGTTCTGTGTCATTCATACCATAGACACTTCTCATTGCTCATTTTGTGGCTATCAAAGTTTGATACACAGTGGAATTTAACTTTGTGCTGTTGAAGCCTTTTCTGTGAGTGCCTCTGTGCCTCTCTCTTCTTGGATGCATTATACTTTGTTTTTCTATACTCGCACGTTTCATTTTACGTATCAGATATCTGTTTCTATTTTTACCAAGTCTGCATATGTAATTTGCATATAAAGAGTACGTATACTTCAAAGATTGAAAAAACATACTTGGATCTAACGAGCAAAGAGTTGAAAAAGAAACAAAAACAAAAACACAGATTCTTAGTCGATGATGTGATATGTTAATGCTTAGTTCAAAACAGTTCATTTATACTAATTTATATTAATGAAAAAGGAAAAATTATTTTTTTGTCAAAATTATATGTATTTTTTTTATTAAAAACAATCATATTTGAACCAAATAAAACTGTTATGAATAACAATTTTTTCTTTAATTATTTTGATTTATCATCAAATTTTCAGACTACTTAGCTCACGGATATAATTGATTAAAGTAAAAAAAAAAAAAAATAAGGGGCGTTTGAAAATTGATAAAAAAATATTATTTGAGCTTATGAAAATAAATTCATGATGTAGTTTATTAAATTAATTTTTTTAACTTATTTCAATGAATTTTATTATCAAATTTATAACATAAATTTTTATATAATAAATGACAACTTATTAAATAAGTATTTAATTAAGGTATTTAAATGCTTATTAAGCCTATTTTCATTTTTGAAGCACCATATGTAGCATTGGCTAATCACCTTACAGTATTATTTTATAGAATAATTATATTTTCATAACTCATTTCGCAAAAAATTTTACAGTTACCGAAAGAGAAAAATAAATAAATAAAATTGAACGGTGCTTGATTTCTTTAATTTTTTAAAGTGGACATGAACACCTGCTTATTTTCTCAAGCAAGTAATAATTTTAATCATCTAGCTAGTTTATAGTTTAGTGTACTAGTTTAGAGAGAAGTTAAGAGATTTGAGTCAAAGACATGCATTCACCACATCTTGTCTCAGAAGATAAACTGTGAAACTTCATTGTGGAAATTGTTTTCTTTTATGTATGTTACTTTTTCTGTGTGTCAATTGTACTGCATTTCTGAAATTTGAAGAGGACTAAGACACTGGGATGGAATTGAGAAAATTGAAACTACATGTCATAGAAACATTTTAGTGTAAATATAACTTCTTTCACCTAAATGCCTATGCAAGGAATGAACAACATTCTTATGTAAATTTGAAAATTGATTCATTGCTAAAACTCATTTTCTCTGCGGGTTTACGTGTAATAAATGTTAAATATAATTTGATAATTGCATCTAAATTTTTGTCCTCAATTTTCTTTATCCTTATTTCATAATTTACTATTAAAACTAGTAAAACTGTTATCTTTTATTTATTATTTGACTATACTCATCCTTCGATACCTTCTAATTCAATCATTTATTTTATTTAAAGCTCAGTTTTTAACATATCCTATATATATAACACGTCTAATTTACATTAAAAATGAGAGTCTTGCTGAAATTTATCCACAATATGCATATATATTTTACGTTTAGTAATGGCAACAAAGACCATGCTATTTAATTTTACGTTTTTGTTGAGATAGAAAAAAAAAGGGAGCAAAATTATCTTCCCGTTTTTCTTATTTGCTTTGGCTTTTAAACACATCGTAGTTAAAAAAGATTGAAGCAACGAGTGTAATATAAAGGCAAAGGTATACTAAGATATAATATCATGTAGATAAACATTTTTTATTAAAAAATTAAAAAAATATTGATAATAATAAAAAAAATTATAAAAAAAATATTCATTTTTATTCCTAAAATAATGTACTTATCTTTTTAAAAAATAATATTAACATCTAAGAAAGCCCAAACGTAGACTTGACGTTCTCAAATTGTCAATACATACTAGTCCTCCTATAAACTGTGCAAGACCAAATTTAATTCATCATTTTAACATTCCGGTAATTTAATTATTTTTAGTTTTTTTTCTAGCTAGTCTGGAGGCATATATAACTTCAGATATATGTTTTTCTTCTTCATTTTTCAAATAAAATTCTATCTAAAACACATTAGAGTAATGTCGCTAACACATTTTAAATTTATTAAAAATTACAAAAATTTATGTGACTTTTATTTTTTTCTCACTTCTAAATTAATATCTGTCTCTTGTATTTTTTTAGTTTTTAATAAATTTTACTTAATAATAAAAAAATGTGTTATTAGTATTTCTCCTCACATTATTATCTATCTCAGTTGCCATATACATGTTTGCTAAAACCTAGTTATAACACTTATCTATTTTATATATTTATTTTTATTTTTGCTCTGAAGGTTATAACAACTTACGCTAATGGGTGAAACACATTACTTACACTTCACCTATTAACCTGAAGTTACCTCTGTTTGGCAGTTGCTGACTTACTTGAGTTTCCTCAGAGTTGGAGACAGAAGAACTAAAGATATATATATAACATGTTATGATTATAGTTTGAGTACAATCCTCTAGCAGCATATTAATATTGGTCTCTGGCTCTGCACATCCATGTTTTCTGCTACTTACAGCAATGAATTTGTACCAAGAACAATCAATGGAAAACAGTTCAACTTATTTCTGTTTCTGTGCCTTCATGTACCCATTCCCTTTGCCTTATTCTATAATGTTTTGGAAAATTATATGATACCGCAATTTGCAACTTCTTCATACACCTCCAAAAATATGTGATTAAATTAATTTTGAACTCTTAATTATAAATAAAAATGTGATTAAATTATAATTTTAACCCCCAAAAAACAAATAAAATAAAATCCTTTCTATTCAAATAAACGTCTCAATTTAGAAAAAGCCACACCGAAATCTCGGTATGGTCAATAATTAGGTTTGCAATTTTGAGCTACATACAAATAATCCAAGATGCGGATTAATTGATTTGACTTAAAATAATTCCTTACAGAGTATCCTTTCTTCTTTTCTGTCTTTATTTCAGTTTCTGTTGAATAAAATAAAATAAACATGGCCTTTGCCCTTCCATGAAAAAAAATCTAAACAAGACAGCTTAGTTTTTTTTTTTCGGTCAAAACAGAACAGCTTATAGTAAACGTGGTATTTCGCTTACTGATACAAGGTCCAAAACAGCTTATAAAATATATTTAATATTTTCACATTATATGTCTATACACACACAGTGAAAAACTCTTTTTTTTTAATTAAGTGGTTATATATACTTTTAATCAATGTTTTTTTTTTGTCATTAATATTTATATTATTTTGTAAAAAAACAAAAAAACACACACCTCAAGAAACCATATTCAAATTTACTCCATTCCATCATCATATATTTAAATAATGAAGTGATAATTTTATTCCATTTCACTTAATTTTATTTCGTTATATTTTATTCCACTCTAGCTAGTACTTACAGTAGAATATCCAAACAAAACTGAAGGTTTAAGCTCGTGTAACTTTTTTTTTCCCCTAGCGGATTTGCTAGTTCAATGATAGCAATGCCCACTAATTAAGCTATAACATTGTTGAAGATGCCAAAAGTAGAAGTAGAACAAGTAGAGATCATTGAGTCATTTCAACCAAAACAGAAAAAATCAACCTCAAGCAGAGGGGATAAGGTAGCAAAAGCCACCCAATTATATCTATTTATTAGGAGCTTGATAGCCATGAAACTATTAACAAACAGAATGGCCTTTCAAGCATCAAAGAATGGATGTGGACTATCTCGTGTCCTCTTAATAGCTGCTACCATGGTCAATCTCCTCTTAAAATGTAGAAGGTCCATGGGGCAAACACACTCTCTCACACGCTCTCTCTCTCTCTCTCTCTTGCTTTCTCGTGTAAAATGATATTTCTCTATACTGCACAAAACTATATAGAAAAAGAAAAAGAAAATCTTGCAGGCTTTGATTCATGGCCGTATAGTGATAATCTTCCCGAGTTAGGAAGGACTCTGGAGTATACCTCCTAGAAAGAGGCACTCCACAAAGCATTCTCACCTTCTCCACACCTCCTATGCACCTCTTTGATCCTTTCAGCAGACCTACAAATTCCACTGCAGGTCCAATCAAATGAAGCAACACAAATATTGCCTGCCTGGGCCTTCCACTCACAATCTGCACCAATTCAATAATTTGTAAAAAAATTGATATGATCACATAAATTATTTAAAGGGGTCAATATAGGAAGAATTTAGAAAAGCTCATAGAGAGCTTATCTGAATTTATGAAAATAGCTTATAACTCCTATAACTTCTTGTTAAGCTTATTTCAGTAAACATTTTAGTATAATTTATCAAAATAAGTTCTTTTTAACTAGTTCTAATAAGTTCTATAGTCAAGTTTATGGTATAAGTCTTCATGATTTAATAGGTCATTAAATAAGTACTTAATTAAGCTGTTTATCTAAACTTGTTTTAAAAAATATTCAAGAAAAATATTCACCTGGAGGAGTGCCACAGCAAAGTCTTCGATCATCTATATGTTCCACATCAAGTCCAATAAACCAAGATCCCAGTGACACATCCTCATTGGCATACTTGTGAAGAACATTCCTGAGACATATATACATATACAACACAATATTAGAACTTTATAGTCCATTGATTTGATTTCATTCATAATTTATCCAGATGACATGGAGTAGAACTTACTGGTTTATTGATATGTATGTAGCCAAATCGTTTGAAATGGCATACAACTGCCCAGTGGCATGACGGAAGTACTTGTTTCCAGACTCCCCAAACTTCCAATGCTCCGGTTCATGGTACCTTACCCCTCTGTGCAACAAAGTAGGTTGGTGAGAAGCTAAAAGTCAACGAGTTTTAGCACTTCAATTAAACAAAAATGTATTTCTCACTTTTGAGATAGGACAGGTCCAGATTTCATGCATCCAATGTATATCCGTTGTTTTGATCGGTGTCTAACTAGAGTTTCTCCCAGTGTTGCTGAAACAGAAAAGAATAGGATATTCAAACAAAAAGTACATAAAAAAACATCATCATGCATACTTACTGTGGAAACTCATGTAGAGTGTTTGGTAAAGATCTAAGATGCCTATTAAGGAGTATTCATTTTATTAAATTGTTCGTAGGTGAACATGTTCAACACAGCCTAATAGCTTTGGTTAATTACAAAGTGCCAACTCCTCATGCTTTTGTATATACAGTTAAAGAGATAATCGTAGGTTTTAGAACTTTTAATACCTATATTTACATGAACATCATCATCAACTTTGACATAGAAGTCAGCATCCCACAAGTTCACTGCAGTGGCAAAGTATGTCTTTGTCTTTGCTGACAATTCAAGGTATCCTTCAACATGATTCTGTATAAAGCAAGTATAAAGAAGTAAAAACCCACAGCATTTTTCCCTTTCCCTTCAAAAGCTATGACATTGTCAAGTGATTATGAAAACAGTGAAAAAAAAAGTTGAAAAGAGAGACATAAGGGAGGGAAGCAACAATGAAACAAAAAGAATCATAGATGCCAAATTACCAGCCTCAAGAAATCTCCATGCTTTCTGTCCTCTGCTTCGATAGCTCTGTCTAGAATACCCCCTGATGTAGCACTAGACAAAGGAAAATAATAAGAAAAAAATATCAAATTTATAATTTCTAACATATTTAGAGAATGCTATGAGCCCAATGCTCTAACTTTTTTAAAAATAGATCAATCAGACAAAGGAGTGTGTTACTAGCATTTCTCATATATTTGTTAGTTATGACAGATAAATTTATGGATATGTCATATGTGTGCAGTAACTCTCAATGATGTATTTGGAAGACAAAAGTGCAATCTTTTACTGAAGCATGTTGAACTTGGATTGAGATTTGAGACAAAAGGATGATTATGTCACCAATTATGCAACAAAATCAATGAAAGAGAGATGAGATAGCTACCTGTGTCCAATTACAAAGCGGATGATAATTCCCTTTTCTTCCTCTAGCTTCTTTCTTTTCTCACCTATTATCAAGTTATCAGAAGAACCAATCGTCATAAACCAGTAAAATAGATTACATAGAATACCATAACAGAAAATATTAGGAAATGGGATCAAACTATGAACCTTGTGGCATCCAAGTAGCCCGAACCGAGTCCCTTCTTTTCCGGCTGCTAAATGCAGTATTAATACCTATGACCATTAGGTACTTTCTCTTACCCGATGATTCACTCATCCTTATATCGTCTGGAACAGGAGCACCATTTCGCAGAGACTCATGAGCTGCCCTTGCAGCTGCCAATTCCATCTCTAAATTCGAAATAGTCTTGTCCAAATTTCTACATTCAAATATATTACCATAAGTTTAACATGCAAAAATAACAAAAATTATGCGGGTCATAATCCTAATTTAATAATTTTCACTCATATTTTTGTAGTTTTTAATAAAATTCAACCAATAATAACTGTGTTAAAAATAGTACGTTACTAGCCCTCCTAAAAAATAATTAGACTTACAACAGTTTCATGGCACTGAATATAACTTACTGTATGGAATTATGACTCTTGAAAACTTCACTATAAATGTCTCTAGTTTCGCGCTTCATTTCCATCTCTTGCAACTAAAAGAGAAACCAACAGACAAAATTAAAAAACCAAAAAGGAATTTCATATGATAAATATAAAAAAGGTTCAACTACCATATATCATGAAAATGAAAGCGGTGCTTACAATTCTTGAATTACAACCCTCAGAAACTAGACTCAACTTATCATCATCTGTAGCTGTTGTTCGTGCAAGTCCTTTCTGTTCAGGAATACTCCATATCCTGTTATAAACATTAACATTTCTCATTAAAAAAGGTACCACAATAACTACCTTACCGGTTGCTATTGCAATATATTCAATGGTTAATATGATACAATGAAATATGCATTTATTAAAAAACTAACCCACCGACAAACAAGTTGGGTAACTTATATTGAATTAATAACAAGACAGATCCAAAAAATAAAGAATCATCTATTGGATCTAAATTAGGGTCTAAGTTACAACTTATAACTACCATAGAATAAAAGTGCGTGACAACTAACATAAACAGTATTTTATTTTCCTTTTTACTTGAAAAACATCAATTAAACTTTCAGACAGATTCATAAAAGATCAGTAATGAGAATTGAACCCGGTATTGAACACAGGAAGAGCTGTGAGACCAGACACCATAGTTCACTTGTCAATAAGAGTCAATCATAGAGGGTAGAGTTTGTAAGGGTGAAACTTTAAACCAAAAATTGGCATGATTTGTAATCATTCATGGTAATTGAATCCAGATCTAAAGCCGCTTTTTCTATGAGTTCTGGTGAATAAAATATAGGTGAGAGAACTACCACATAGGCAAGTCAATGAATGTGAAAACTAATAATTAAACAACCACAGAAACAAAAAAAGATCTGAGAATATTAATTTGAAGACAAAACCAACTCAGAAAACATGGGAAATTGCAAAACTAATTTGACTCGAACTAGCTTTCAGAAACAATATTAATCAAACTATGAAAATCGAGAAGAAATCATAACTAATCAATTTAAAAAAAGTGAAATGAATCAAAAGGAAAATGATGAACCTGTTAGTGAAGAGCATCCCAGCACAGAAACTTCCCAAGCACAGAAAAAGTGCCCATTTCTGCGATATAACGCTTCTAGAAGGAAAGTCTCCTCTGCTTTTCCAAGTCATTATTTTTTTATATTTTTCTTTTGGGTTGCTCTCTTATCAAAACAATCTTCAAGCTTGAAACTTCAACACGCAAAACCCATATACTACAAAACTGGGTTCCTGAAAGCGGGGTTGTCCTTCTGAAGAAGAAGATATGATGGGGTGGAGAAGGACAGAGAGAAAGAAGGAATAAGAACAGAAAGGAGCAGAACAGAAAGGAGCAGAACAGAGAGATGCTCTGCTTTTAACTTGTGATTTGTTCCTCTGCTTTTTCTTATGTAAGCTTTAGCTTGGCTTTGGTGTTATTTGTGCCTTCAAAGGTGTGGTGTGGTGTGGTATGGTAAGGGACGTCTAACACAAGTGAAGAGACTTCCTAACCGACCGGTTTTATATTTACCGTAATGCCCAAACTATCCCTGTCGGAGGCTTCCTTTCTTTAATGCAGATTCGGTAACAGTTTCTTTGTCATGACATTAATGTCCCTCTCTCTCTCTCTCTCTTCAGTTTTCTCTCTCCTCTCTTTCATATAACGATAACATGTGCAATACAAAGCTTATAAACTACCCAAAATTCATCTTTTCGCATCTCTTTTCCTATTCTTTTTCACGCTTTTGCTAACTAAGCTAAAACACCTATTAGTAACAGTGCTAAGAATGTATTTTTAATTATTAATGAAAATTTATTAAAATTTATAAAAATATAAAGGAAATTTATTAAATTAAGAAAGAGAAAAGACAGACTTACATATTTTTCACAATTTTTAGAAAAATTTAATAAATAATTAAAGATATATTTAAGAGAGTACTTACATATTTTTTTAATCATGTCCAATTCAAATTGAGTTGAATAAAATTATTACAAATCACAAAGTATTGTCTTGGGTTTATAATACAACTGTATTTTTTTAATTTTGATCGTAAAACCTCTTATTAAGTTGTAACGACCATCCTCTAATTGATCCATCTATATGGATCATGTAGGTTTTAATTTAAATTAAAATAAAAAATAAAAAACTCATTGCATTTTTATAATTTATAAAGTTTAGTTAGTTTAGTTAGTTGAGTTGTACATTTAATTCGTTTAGTTTAAATTATATGTAATTTTGGTTTATAATTTATTTTTATTTAATTAAGTTTTTTATTTTTAAAATTAAGTAAATTTAGTTTTATCATAATTTTTTTACCATAAAACTCGTTTTTATTTTTTAGATTCAATATTTCTATAATTTGAATAAATTGAATTGTTTTAAACCTTTTTTTTCATTCAAAATACACAAACTAAAATATCAAATATCACCCAAAAAAATTAAATTTTTTCTCTTCAAACTTCAATTTTGTATTCAATCTTTAAATTTTATTAAAAATTTGACCTCTAAAGATTTAAAATCGTTTTTACATTTCAAATCTATCGTAATGACATTAATATTTGAAAGGGATATAATAAATTGAGAAATTTAAATAGAAGAAAAGTGACACATAAATAAAATTTGTTTATTTTTAGAATATGAATGAATTTAATTGGTTTGAAACTTTCAAGAGATCAAAATTATATACAATCCAAATCCAAATTAAGAGATAAAAATATATATAATCAAAGGTATTTTAATTTTACTAATTCAAAATGCTTAATCTTTCTTATTTATACTGTGTTCATCCAAAATATCAACATATTCAAACCTACTAATTTGTAACATTATTAATAGATCAACCTATTGGTCCTATTCTATAATATGGAAAATTATAATTAAAAAATAATCGTATTAAATTCAATGATTTTTACTGTTCGCTTTTAAACACAAACCAAATTAAACTAAATGTAAATGATCTACTGTCACACCAATAATCTCAAGGACAGTGAGCCTAATGGGATTGTGGATGACAGTATATAGTCAAATGTGGATTATAGACAATTAAAATACTGAACATGTTCACATAATACAATTTAACGTCGCTTAACCACGAAAGCTTCTGGGGTTAAGAAGCATGTCTTCTTATTGGACCCCAAGAGAAAATGATACAAATGCTTATAGTAATTAATTAGAAGTTCGGGTCAAAGAGGGCCTTCGATTGTTCTACTTTCAAAATTACTAATACAAATACCTGTGGCACTTATTGTAAGTGATTTTTATATAATTTCAACTAAATAATTTAGATTCACTTTATTTAAATGGACGCATAAAATTTATTTGATAATAAATAAATATGTTACTAACATTGATTTGAAACTTGCATATTTTCTTTCGTAATTATTTGTAACTATTATTACTGCATAAACTTAAAAGAAAACAAAACTTCATAAATTACTTCAAATATTTATTTGAAAAGTTCGACCTGAGTGTGATGTGACATTAGAGAGAGGGTCTTGCTCTCAAATTTCAGTTAATTACTTGATTTTGTAGTTTGTTGATTTTTATAAAACATTCTAAGCAATTCAGTTTGAAAAATGTTAAGTTACGTATCATGAATTATATTGACATAAAAACAAATTGAAGGTAATATTTCGTGCAATTAAACCAACATTTAAAAAGGTTTTTGGTCTTTTGTTTTGGTTGGCTTTTTTCTTTTTGAGTAAATAGCATAACATGTTTGATTGCTTTCTTATCCTTGACAATTATATATTTAATAATAGTATTTTATGAATTTTAGAGGATAAAGCTGATATGGAAATATGCTAAAAGAATAAGCAAAAAACGAAGAAAAGATGATCAGCGACACAGCTAGAATTTAGAAAAGTTCTTTTTGAAGCAGCTATAAGTAAGTCAAGTGCAATACAAAATTTAAGATAATATTTTAGATTTTTATGATAGATTACATTATTCTACGTTATTTTAAAGAATATACATTGAACATAAACCAGATATCAACTTTAGAATTTAATGTTTCAATTACCCAAAAAATGGTTAATTGATTCCTCGCTCGAAAAGACCCTTCCTTTGAGGTTTGGGGAAGCGGGTGTCATGTTATTTTAATATATTTAATTGATTTGATTTTTAGATTTGATATACCATCTATATATTTTTTTACATTATTATTTAATATTTTGTTGATATATTGTCTTTAAGAATATATTTAAATTCTCTAAAATAAAGTATTCACGTTAAAAGATAAATAAAAAGTAGTAATAATAATTTAAAAAATTAATTAATATGATAAACTATTATATATTAGAAAAGTAATCAAATGATGTTTACCATTCAATGCAATTATTGAAAATAACCTTTAATTTTCATTAGTTATGCGAATTCGAACAACTGAATTAACCTCCAGAAACTCTAATAATTAACAAGCCTTCATTAGAAATTAGTAAATTACTCACCAAATCTCTAAATAAAATAAAATATATACATAACTAATAGGAGAATACTAATAAAAAATGACAACTAAAACTAAGTTGATAAAAAAAAATGGGCAAGTTAATCCGTCACTGATTTTCTTTCCTAACAATGACAAATAGTCCCAGTCAAAATGTTCTTCTAAAATTATCCATAATACTGAGTTATTTAATTCATTGATTAGGATATAATTCCACCCATATCTTAGAAAAACGTCTCTCCTTATAAATGTACATACATATATACGTACACAGATAAAATATTATAATAAAAGTTATTTTATAAAAAAACAAAAAAACAATTAAATAATTTATTTTTTACTTAATCAGTTAATAGAAAAACAGTGGGGAGGGCACGTGACTAGATTCGTGTTGTCAGGTTGCACGAGATCCCTTCTTCTCTTTGACGATCATGAGGAAGATGACACGTGTCAAAATATCATTGACACAGTGAACCAAATATTAGAGTACTTCTACGTTAGATTGATATTATGTTTGAAGTGTATTATTTTTCTGATTATATGAAAAAATGTTTAAAATATTATTTTTCATATTTGTTATAAATTAGTTTATAATTTTTGTTTTTTAATAAAATATTTTATTTATGATAATTAAAATTTTGAAATTATTTAAAAACATTAACTTAGTTTTTGGTTTAATTTTACTTTTTATTTAATAATTAATCATTTCAAATATAAAATTCATTCTTATAAATTATTTTTATCCTTTTTATAATTTATCATAAATAATTTTGAATAAAATCAAAATAAAATAAATTAACTTAAAATAATTTCTCACTTATTCAAACTAAACTACAAAGTGAGCATATTTTTATACGCATATATACAAACTAGATTAAGTTTAACACATTTTCAAAATTAAATCTAAAATTTGATCTAATAAAATAAAAATGACTTTTCAGTTTTAATTTTTTATTTAATTTCAATTAGATGGATTCACGAACAATTTTATGTTCTCTAAATCAAACGTTTTCCTAGGCAATAAAAAAGATCCAAAATACAAATTCTATAATAAAAATAGGATAAATTATTAGTTTATAAATAGAAGGTTCAGTTCAGAAGAAGGATAGCATCTTACTTATTAATTTGAATTTATGTTTCCCAAAACAATTTTCTATCTTACGTTACTAATTTTTTTATAGACTTATAATTTTATTAACTTGTTTTAATTTTTATATGATAAAAGCAAGCTTATTAACAAATATTAAAGTAAATTGCTTATCCAAAGCTACTATTAATGTACGCCAATGTATGAGATGTATCTGTAGTGATGCATGTGGTGGAAAGCATGAAAGCACTTGAATAAGACACGGTGGTGATGAACTCCATGTGTTCCATGTATGATTGCAACTAGTTAGTAGTTTATGTTCAGTTTCACATGTTTATATATCAGACTGGGGCATCATTTGCCGCCTGCACATGCATATGTCACACAAACATTCCAGCGGATCATGGCTCGCAACAGAGTCATAAGATGAAAAATCAAGCTCACCACAGCGTGGAAAAGTAACATGCTATTGCTGGTGGATCGCCCCACTCTGTAATGGGTTTTTTTTTTCTTAAATAATATTCTTTTTTTCTAACTTTTACTAAATTTTAAGTTTTTAAAATGATTTTATAGTCTAAATTTCTTATGCATTCTGAAATATTTAAATATAGAATAAATTTTTAAACAACTAAGCCTTACGATTATACGAATACATTGCTGCTTACGATCAATTGTATGAAAATTGTCTTGTTGCCGTCGACATGACATGTGGATCCTCATATTTATTATCACGTACCCACTGCCTTAAATTTTCTACAACATTTTTGTTAATATATATAAACTTGTTTACTTGCCAACTTTTGCATTTATTTGCCATGGTTAGCAGGAGATTTTACAAATATATTATTGAATTTAAAATATTTATCATTCATAAAATATTTGATTTTGTATTATTAGTTTATGCCTGTCTTCTATTACTCTTGGAATGCAATATGATTTTCAAATAATTAAAAATATTCAGCAATTAACTCAGATAAACTCTTTTAAAAAACTCAAATTTTCATGACACTTATTATTTTATTCAAACATAATTAATAACTTAAAGCAGCATTACACTTGTATAATTATTTTTTGCACACAAAAGAATTCCATTTTTAATTACATTACCTTTTTTTTTTCTAAGTAAACCTAAGTTGAAATAACATGGTTTTTACTATCGCCTGTGCATTAATAATAATGCATGGAGGAAGAAAATAGTTTCTTGAAATTCCTTGATTAATGTGACACAATTGGCATCTACATAACCACTAAAACCATATAAGAAAGAGAAATGTCAAACATAGAGGCTTCTCCATCTATACTATAGGTCAGTAAATAGATTTGTAAACATGAAGATTAAAAAAGATGAAATGAAAGGTGTGCATCTGGTGTGGAAATTGCTTGTAATAGGATTCTTCTGTCACTTTTAAAGCACTACAGGTACTCCTCTTTCGTTCTTTCTTGAAGCAATCCAAAGCTGCCATTGCACGAGACTAGACCAACTGTAGTTTGGTGGCTTGCTGTACATACTTGGTTACACAAGTTAAAAATGCCTTGGTTCACACTCACTCTCAATTGGTCAAGGATTCTTTGATTTCTTCTTTATAAACAGGAGTGAATAAGGCTTTTTGTTTATGTACGCACTAGACAGAAGAGGGACAAAGTGTTATCTAGTCCTAAAGGGACCCCATGGTGATCAATTAAATAAATTTTAGAGAGAATTTGCCAATTTGTAACTATGGTAATAATGACAATATTTTTGGCAAATAGGGGTTATGATAAGGGCATGATTGTCCCCCATTGCTCTAATCAAATTGTACTTTATACATTATCATCTATGTGCTGCGGGACTTAATGTGCCATGATTCAAATTTCATAATAGAACTACCATAAACAAATATGAAAATGTGCTGAATAGGCTCCTGAGGACCCACAAAAATTACTTACCACCCAACTTTTTAAGATTTTGTTAATCATTCTAAGGACAAAAGAAACCTAATTTGCACTGCTTTAACGTGTTCACATTCATGGAACAAACACAGAAAAAAGGTACACTCATCTAGATAGTTATCTTACTTTATGCATAGGCATAATAGGATTGATTTAGTTCAACTACCTTAACCAAGCTACCCAAAATGTTGAATCCTCACATCACAATTAATTCTTACCACTTTATCCCCCCCCCCCCCCCCCAAAAAAAAAAAAAATTTATGGTCGATCTCCCATAATAGAATTTACTTAACTGCAAGATGATAGAAAAATATAAAAATTAAGCACTTTTAACAATGTAATTAAAATGATATATATATTTCCATAGAAACAAACAAGGGCAGACACCAACCGTTCGCTATTAAATAAGGCCATTGTGTGCTTATTTATTATCAAATATGGACATGTGAAGGTCAGTGTGACCCACACAGTTCTTACATAATTGGGCCTTTTATAAAATGCCACAATTGACCTCCCTTTTTCATGTGGCCTATATATACTCTCTAATCCACTGCTCTGTGTCTTACTGTTGGGGGGGGGGCGCTACAGATGGGGGCGTCACACTTCCAAGTCATCTACCCCACCACATTTGATTCAAAGGCGCATGCATAGCCCTAGTTGGGATTTGTATGTTCCTAAAGTTTGGGCAATAAGGACATTTCATTTGTGCAGTTTAACTGAGTGAGAAAAATGAAGTAAATAAAAAGTAATGTCGTTATCAATCCCTACCCTGAAAGTACTGAGTAATTTTCAGTAGGGAACTACACCTGTTGCAACGTGTCATTTTTAAACATCATGTGTCCGTGGGAAAGAGCTATCTATGAATAAAGATGTAATTTGCAGACTCACTATTTTACTTGTCCCAGTAAGAAGGTAATAATAATAGGCACACAAATATTTTACCTTGTTACTCTTGCATGTCTCAAGCTTCAATTAAATTATTTAACTGTCCCTTTAGTTAGGATAATTGATTTTAAAGGTTGATGCAATTCTTCGGAAGTTTTATATTCTTTCTTTTTCATCATGCTTTTCTGCATTAATTTCTAAATGGTAACTTAAAATTGGATGTGACTGGTTAGTACTATTTTCACAGCTCAATCAATCTTTATCTTTCCTTTACGTCTCATTTTGGTATAGACACGTGCCGACAAACTATAGCTACAGTATGTGGCTCTACTTTACCAATCTTACAAAGGTTTTTAGCCCAAGAAGGGACATTCGTCGATGCAAAAATCACTGTCCAACTTTTTTATTTTCGACCCAAAAAAAAAGCTAAACAATTAATAATAAAATTTTCATTAAAACTATTTATTATTTTCATAGTTTTAATATAATAGATATGTTTTTAATTAAACAAATTGTTTTTAAATGCTTAAATTTAGTTTAGGGGCTACCATTTTTAAAGAAAGCTTTTTTCCTTAGTGGCGAACAGAAAGATAGACATAAATCAAAATGACAATTTTACAATTGTCTCCACCAAATCCAAATTACCATCATTCTCATCTTTATCACCATTCCCATCTTAACAAGAAGTCTCACTCAGACTTAACCTAGTGCCACTGGCTACCAGATATGGTATCGCTGTCACTGTTATTCCAGCTCTTACATTAGCCCTAGGAGTAATTGCCACAAAACAAGCCTCTTTGGAATTACGTAAGATCGTGTGTTAGAGAGTAATTTCTCATTGATTACAAGAAAGAGGAAGCCACATGCGGCAGATTAGTGTTAATATATTGCATAAAATAAAGCCACAACAGTATCAATATTATATGTAACTGCAATATACGATTTCCGATTCCCATGATCTTCATGAAAGGAGCATTATTTTTCTTGTATTTACACAATTTGTAAGCAAGTTAAATCACCAAAATGCCCATTTACAAGTTAAATCGATTTCACAAGTTTTACATTTTTTTATATTCAAGTATTACATATTTTAATGCATGAATAATTTATTGATAATATTAATTTATATACATATTACAATTACATTGATCAATTTTATTAACTTTTATAATAAAAGGCACACTTTATTTAAGGAAACAAAATTCATTTCAACAATTTTTATATATGTCTCGAAAAGAATAATTTTCATAAGTTAACTGGACAACATCCTTGATACTCACAAAAGTAAAATATAAAGACACGGTTTGAATATAAAAAAAAAATGCCGCATATTTTGATTTTGTATTAGGATGTACGTGAGTTTACATTTATTTTAACGTTATTAATTAAATTTTTTGCGTAAAACATATTTAAAATTATTTTAATATATTTGTAAAGACATGTAAGTTATGCAACACTAAAGTCACAAACCAAGAGAAAAAAAATGCATTATGTACAGTGCGTTGACCACTCCACCGGCGCTGGTGGTCCTTTATCTCAAGTTCTCAACGTAGTCATCACAGATTGTACAGTTAAAATACCTGTGCAGCTGAAAAATTCCACAGTACTTAGGCTTTATTTCACATGAACCAGCGTACCAGTAGAGATTCCTTAAATTTGAGCCCAAATATCAATAATAATACAATTTTATTATATATATATATATATAATTTTAATGCAATATATTTTAATAAAATATTATTTTTTAGATGTTTCAATTTAATTCTAAAGATGGAGATTTAAAAAAATAAAATACAAGAACCAGCGTACCTCGAACGTTTATGATAACATACAAGAAGTTTGATAAGAACATGCATTAAACAAAGAGAAATGGTGAAGTACATGAATTACCTAAGTTTTGAACCAATTTTTAACAATGTGGCAATCAATGCTTCAAGGCTTACTTCAAATTTCGGTGCATCGTCAATCTCAAATAATGCACTGAAGTTCAAGTTTGACAATAACTTATAAGCAAACGTGTCAATAAATTCGACGCATTCAAAGTCAATGCTTAATACAATACAATACATGTTAGATAACAGCTAACAAATTTGAACACTTCACAAATTTTATAATTTATAAACTCAATTATTAATTTATACGACATGATCTTATGAAACAACCATGCGTGTGAAATGTTAGCTGAATCAGCTTTTTCATATGATTTTAATTAAAAATAAAATTTTATCTTAATAATTTGTATGAATTTTTAATATACATCTAAATTATAAAGGTAAAATTACTTCGATGGTAAAAAAATTACTTGTGTTTTTAAGAGTATCTTGTACTTGAAAATGAGGTAATCTAATAAAAATATTATTTAATTGTTTTATAATTCGTCTAATTTGCCAGAGTTTCTAACGTGAATGGATCCTTGTTAGTTCAATAAACCAAGATAATAGTGACACAATCTTCATTGGCATAATTCTGAACCCATGTTGGTGAAAAGACAAAAATTGTTTGAAGGAGATAAGGAATGTTTCAAGAAAATGACGTTGAAGAGTATAAAGGAGATAAGGATAATTTCAAAAAATAAAAAAAATAATAAAAAAATTGTGGAGGTGAAAAAAGAAATGACCCAATTTATATATTTTTTGGTCAAGCAAGACGTAGTTAGCTGAACCCAAAGTACAGTTGAATGAAACTACAATAACAAAGTCTAAATTGGGCTTAAACCCTTGAAGGCCCAATCATTAAACAAGTGTCACATTCAGAAATTGCCACGTAAGCCCAAAAAAGCACTTGCATAAATCAGTCTTCGCCGCCGTGAACGGGGCGGTCACCGCCTCCACCGTGACCTCTGCACAAAACCCGAATTCAACTCGTCGAAACAGCGAGCGAAGAAGAAAATGAATAACGCCAACAAGATGCGCATGGCATTCACCGTTGCCACATTAGCTGCTGCTATCATCTCCATCTTCTTCACCTTGCGAAGGCGCAAGCAAAATAAGTCCGCATCGAGTTCGTGCTATTTATATTCTGAAACGAAACCTCAGTGCGCGTTTAAGCGAGTGTTAGCAGATAATTCCTATACTGCGTTCAAGCACCTGATTAACGACGGTACATTTGACAATCCGGACTCGTTTCTTTGTTTGGTCGCTGACAAATTGAAGGAATATATGGAAATTCATGTATTCGATCCTGATTTTAGTCGCAGTAACTTTGGGAAGACGGAATAGTTATTGTTTTCGCGTTTTCGCATGTTTCCGATTATTTGAAGAGTTTTTCGTTTTTGTTTTTGGCATCAGGATATAACATTGAAGTAGCTTAATACGGTTCAGTCATGTGGAATTTTTTGGTGATTTTTTCGGAAATTTTGCTATAGAGAAATCGATTGAGGTTGAAGGAAGTTGAATTTGAAATGATGGGTTTTCATTATCTAGATTTCTTTAACAAAATACTGAAAAGCTAGAAATTCGTTGTCTAAGTTTCTTTTGGATTCTTCATGACCTACTACATTGAGTTCTGTATAAAGGTTATAAAATTGAAGCTGATTTTAGTGGTTTTCTTGCAGAGAATGCTTCAAATTCGCATCCATTTGAGGCAGAGATTACAGCATTGTTAAGAAATCCCCATCCTGAAATTGAGCTTAGTACTGAGATTGTGGACTTGGAAATGAAGGTATCGTATGTTTGGGTTGATACAGAGATGCAATTGAAGGAACTGGTTAATGTATTAAGCGAAGAAAGGTTCTTTGCTGTTGACACCGAACAACATAGTTTACGATCTTTTCTAGGCTTTACAGCATTAGTTCAGGTAACTTTGTGGTGTTTTTTAACTTCTTGTCTCTGATTGCATTATGTCAGTAATTTATTGTTCGATAAATTTGTTGATATATGTGTGTTTTTATGTCATCAAACAGATTTCTACAGGGGTGAAAGATTATTTGATTGACACAATTGCCCTGCATGATTTTATGGGCATTCTTCGCCCAGTTTTTTCCAATCCTACAATTTGTAAAGTATGTAAGTTATCGGTGTTTCTAAACTGTTTAATAGGATTTAGATTTTTTTTTAAAATTTTTAAACCTGAATTTATACTCTCTTTTAAAAATTGTATAGTATGTTTTAGAATAATTCTGAATTTTTAAAATATGTTTTTTATATGTATAGTCTGTGCCATATATTCGGGATTAAAGCATATTATTTATTGAAAAATATTTTAGTTGATTTATTTGTCACACTTTTGTTATCCACGACTACTTATTACTGTGTTTTTTTCCTCAATGGAAAATTTGTGAATAGGTATTCCATGGGGCTGACAATGATATACTCTGGCTACAGAGGGACTTCCACATATACATTGTTAATCTATTTGATACTTCGAAGGTGAGCTATTCATGCTGCCACTATCATGTCACCAAACTATGTACTGGATGCTGCCATGTAATATTTAGAAATTTCTCCTCAAGCATGACGGCTACTGGAGAAGGTTACCTTTAACAATTGAGTGGCAGCTTCATTTTTGTTTTTTCAATCAATATGTTGTTCATGTTCTGCAGGCATGCGAGGTGCTGTTGAAACCACAGAAATCACTTGCTTATTTGCTTGAAACTTACTGTGGTGTGACAACCAATAAATTATTACAGGTTTGACCTGATCATGGTTGATCTCCTTCAATTGGCTGAGTTCATTGATTGTCTTCAACAAAGTTGTAGATAAAATTATGTAGGATTAGCATGGATATATTTAAGTAAAATGTAATACCTAATGTTTTCATTTGTTCATGCAATAAATAGCATAGTTCAGCCTAGAATGGATTTAAGTTTTAAAACATATTATAAATTTCTCGCATCCTATGAGCTTTTCACAAAGAATGGTAGACTTCTTGAGTGCCTTATTTCAAATGGGAGAATGTACTTTCCCATTCAGGGCACTATTCTCTGTAATAAAGCTTTTGTAACAATATTTCTAATTTGTAATTACTAGTTCACTTGTTTTGTTGGCTAAACCTTCATCATAATTTTATTTTGTACATGGGAGTACAATTTAAACTTGTAAAGGAGTTTGAGCTCTAGCAGTTGAGATTAAGAGTTGAAGTTATAGAAACGAAACAGGAAATATGTTAAAAAAGACAATAATTGAATGTTGCTTGAATGATGAATTTGTACTAGACTTGAGCAAACCAAAACAGGGAAACGTTAAGAGGTATGTTTAAAAGACAATACTTGAATGTAGCTTCAAACTTAATCAATTATTTTTGCAATGATGAGGGGAGATGTTTATATTAAGAACAAAAACTCTGAAGTGGTGTAGTGCAGATAATACATTTATTCTGACATTTTAGTGGTCATCATTTAAATTGAAATTGAGGTTGCTGGGTAGAAAGAGATTTCTGAATCATACATTTGAAAAGCTCCCTTTTCTACTGATTCTGAAGTAGTCATCTGAACAAAGATTCATATTGTGCCAACAATTACACTGTCAATGAATCATTTAAAATCTTGTTACATTGGTCATTAATAATGCATACAAAGTTATTTAGTAAGGTACATAAAAAATAAAACTTGTGTGCCCAAAAAAATTGCAAACCTTTCCTCTTCCACATAGTAAAATGTTTATAATACAATGCTATTATTCTGGGTTTGAGATTTTTTTAGTTAGTGACAGAACTGATTTCTTTTATATGCTTAATTTTAGCGTGAAGATTGGAGACAACGCCCTCTTTCAGCAGAAATGGTACATTATGCACGAACGGATGCACACTATCTGATGTATATTGCAAACTGTCTCATCAATGAACTCAAACAACTGGACAATGGTATTTTCTTGTCTGATATTACTAGGAAAGAGAGAAAAAATAGTAACAAAAATTTTCTCTAAAAGTATTGAGCATTATTTAGTAAACTGAAACTTTGAAAATCTACTACGGCAAGCTATCCTCCTCCTTTTTTATATTTTCCCCATGCCCCCAAAAATGTGGCTAAGGAAATAAATAGATTATTTTATCTGAGTTGTGCAGGATCTGCAATCCATAGTTATGATATGGTGCTAAGCATTTTTAACAGGATAATCTTGATGAACTAAAGAACTGAGTCTTTCTTATGTCACTCCTCATCTCAGCAATTCTTTAGGACCTTTTAATTGTTTATTATGTTGCTGTGTCAAATTTCTGAATTTATTATTGTGTCAGAAAACTCTTGCTCCGACGACGAATTCCATTTTGTCCTCGAGGCTAGTCGACGATCAAACATGATTTGTTTACAACTTTTCACAAAGGAAATTGAAGCTTTTCCTGGAGAATCTGCTGTATTATCATTATTTTCACGTCACATGAGTAGTAATGGCTTTCCCTCAGTTTCAAATGAAACTAAGGTTTGCTTATTCGTGTACAGATTTTAATTATTGTGAGTGGTTTAGTTGGATATATTGTTTGAATTTGATTTTCTGATTACAGGTTCAGAATGTTGTGAGACAACTGTGCGCATGGAGAGATCTGATGGTTAGTTATAATATATAAAGGGTCCTTAAATTAAGCTACCATTTAAGAACAGTTTTATTACTGTAACTAGGAACAGTCTTGCTTAAATTATTGTAACATCTTTTTTAATCTTTCTTAGTCAAACTTCAAGTTTATTGTTACTAGAAATATTTGGTTTTAAATTCTTTTTGCCATAATTTATCCATAAGGAATCTACAAAACTAAGTGCGTGTGTGGTTTAACTTAATTTGGAGAAATAAAACTTTTTGGCCAGTTTCCTGAGAGAGTTAAAAGAGATTATTTTCCCAGGAAAAAGGTTTTTCCAAACATATGCCCAATTAAACTGTCTGTATTATGATAATGAACTATATTTATAAAAATCAAGATTCTGTTGCTTCTGCAAATTTTGATGTAGTGCTGAACATGTTATTCTATTTGATACCAGAAAATGATGTCAGTAAAATGAGCTGATTATTCTGTGGCATGTTCATCCTTTCAGGCTCGTATTCATGACGAGAGCTTAAAATACGTACTGTCAGACCACGCAATTGTTGCTTTGGCAAGTCAGCCTACAACGAGTCACTCTGAAATATACAACACCATAGCTCAGACTGATATCAATGTGGAGACGGGTGTTAACTCTTTCATCCCTTCCCCGTCTCCTGTTGTTTGCAGTCACCTGAGCGATATCTATCATCTGCTTGCAAATGAGTTGGCCAACAATGATAATATTTATTCGCTGATTCTTCAAAGGTGTTTAGGTCAAAATGGGAGTTGCCCACTTTCTGTATTTAATTATGCTTTGTTGGTTAACAGTAACCTAAGACCTACTTTAGCCTATAAGCACCTGGGCCCTAAAAATCCTAAACAATATTCGCGGAAGTCTTCTCGAGATTTGTTTGTTCAAAAATTCTCTTGTAAGTCTCCTGTTTATCACAATTGCCGGATATTTGCTAATGATGGGAGACTACTCTGTTATTGTGATCGGAAGAAGCTTGAATGGTTTGTGCACTTTCACCTACTTTTATCTCATTTGTAAAAGACTAAAAGGTGCTGTTTGTTTCTCCTAATTAATGTTCAATTTTCCAGGTACCTTACTCGGGATCTTGCAAAACTTATTGATGAGGACCCCCCAGCTATAATGCTCCTATTTGAACCCAAAGGCCGGCCAGAGGATGAAGGCAATGATTTTTATATCCAGAGTAAGAGAAATATATGTGTTGGGTGTGGCCAAGGAAATCACTATTTACGGTATCGAATAATCCCATCATGTTACAGAATACATTTCCCTGAGCATTTGAAAAGCCATCGCTCTCATGATATTGTCCTCCTTTGTGTGGATTGCCATGAAGTTGCCCATGCTGCTGCAGAAAAGTATAAGAGAAAAATAGCTGTTGAATTTGGGATTCCACTCTACGTTCGTAGTGTAATTCATCCAGGGCAAGAGACTGAAAAACAGATAGAAGAGGGAGGTGTATCTCCATTACAGTTACGGACAGCTGCAATGGCTCTTCTACGCCATGGACCAAGAATGCCTCTCAATCGCCGTGCAGAACTAGCTGAGGTTTGATTTTATTTCTGTCTGTTATTGGTTGCTCTGGCACGTAGCTATTGTAGGGCCCCTACCTGATTATATTTAATTTGATGATTTGAAATAAATGTGGTTACATAGCCCAGTGAGAATTAACTTGTTTAAGGAATCCTTTGAAGTTAGATTGCATGCATTTTAAATGAAAAATATGGATTAAAAATTCTAAATTAAATGAGAATTAACTTGTTATTGAAAGAGCTTCATCAACTGCATTGTCATCAAGTTATTTGTGATTTACTTGCAGATTGTAAAGAAATATTATGGAGGAAGGGAGATATCTGAGGAAGATCTAGAAAGAGCTTTACAAGTTGGCATGACGCCTCATGAGAGAAGACGATTTGAGAAGAAGAGAGGGTTTTCTTTTAGACATTCTGCGGCGAGTACTGCTACTGTGCGAGAACAGGATAATCATGCTAGTTGTGCACCCAGGCTGTGTGATGTGGACGTATTGAAAGTTGATGCTCATGACGGCTCATATGCAAATGAAGAAACAAGAAGTGAAGTACATAAAGAAGTTTCCACGAGAAAAGACGATTTTGGAAACCCCACTTTAGCCTCTGGTATTGCAATTAATGGAGCTGTCTCTGCAGCTCTGAATGGAAATACGATCCCAGTTGAAACTACACTTTATAACGAAACCAGTGACTCTGCTGTAAATGTTGATAATAGCCATCTGAGCAGAAGGCAAGAGAACGGAGAAAGTGACTTGTCTTATCTCCCCAAAGATGAAAAATCGACAAAAGCTCAACATAATTCAAAACTATCACTCTTGGGACATGGACCACATGGTAAGCAAGTTGTAGAACATATAGTGAAGGTGTATGGTGAAGATGGCATTCGAGAGTTTTGTCAAAGATGGAGACAAGTATTTGTGGACGCTGTAAATCCACGTTTTCTTCCTGCTGGTTGGGACGTAAAACACAGGTATTATATGACTACTTGTTCTACTTGTTTCCTTTCTAACCAAGTAGTCACCCTCGTGTCATATGATGAATATATCTTTCTGAGGCATATTTTTATCAAATCTGTCGATTACAAGAACATATAAATAAGCAGGCCTCACCTTTAAAAAAACCTAAAAGAAGAATTTAAATAATCTTACTTTTGAACAGTCGGATCGGGAAAAAAAGTGATTTTCTAGTTGATGCAAAAGAGACTATTAGATACATACTACATAGATGACGAATATAAACAAAATCTGCCATTCATAATTATCTATTTATTTTTTCAGTTTTGTCCATTTTCTATGCTAATTGCTGTTGCTTAAAATCGTCATCAAAATTTGTAAATATAATTTCTAGTTAATACCTCAAAAGTCTATTTATGCTTGCTTTACTATTATTAGATAGTTGTAGTACACTTTTTAATACTACTTTGTTATGGCAACTGAGTTTTATTTCTTTTCCCGAGGCTTTGATTTTGGACACTATTTTTGCCAGTGGACGAAGGGACTTTGGGGTGTTCAGCGTATACAATCCTGACAAAATAGCAGCTGCTGCTAGTAGAGAGTAACTAGCAGGACCTACAATTAACATGGATATTTTGGTGCTTCAATGCTATCAAAATATCTGATGCTTCACTTCCTCTCATGGGATAGAAATTACACCAAATGAACACGATAATCTTATTTTGTAGTTAATTTTATAATTTGAGGATATTCAATTATTCACCTTTTTGTCATAAGGACAAAATGGCTTCCAAGAACATTTTTGTCATGCTCTAATTATTCAAATAAAAAATACGAGCATTTTCTGCAACAACGTTCTAACATTTTTCCATGCAAAACCCACAACGATGGATCACATTGAGAGTGATATTACTAACCAGAGTTAAATTCTTTGGACAACCATTTTCGTTTCCCTTTTTAATAATTTTTGAGGTAGACATGAATTGATAGCTTCATTGTGTAATGGATCAATATGAAACTACAGGTTCGTATCGAGCATGATAATATGATTTCCCTGCAATTAGATTGACCACTGCGGCTAAAAAGAGATTTTAGCTTACATATAAACCACAAAATGCATTTAATAAGGTGGACTCCTAATTTGGCAAAATCTCCTTTCCCCTTTTGATGTCTCTGTCTGACATCCATATCCGTAGTAGTCACAAAATTTTTGTATGGAGCAAAGAATCCACTTTTGCCACTTAACGAGTAAAAATGCCTCCAAAGTGTGCATAAGGTGCAAGGAAGCCACAGTTATAGACGATTGTCTACTCCAATAAACCAAGGAATCTTCCTTTAGAGCTCTACATCAGCACCAGTTTAAATTATTAAATGAGGGAATAAAAATTGTACCGTAGCAAAACCACTCAGTGTAAGTATTACCATAATACAACCAATTACAGTGACAATAGCTGTGACTTGTGGTCAATGCCGTTGAATATGTACGTTCCCGACATTGGTACAAATTGTCTTGTTATGAGCTGCGAAGGACCAAAGTAATGTGATTCCCAACTCAAATACTCATTATTATTATTAAATATGAAACAAACAAAATGACCTTCCTTTGCTAGTACACTCATATGAGACGATTAAGCAAAGTACTATTGCTACCTGAAACTAGAAAATTCCATTATCATATAGAAAACACGTGTGGAATAGTTTATGCTTCATCCTGAAGTCTTTTTAGATGGGCTCCCAGCTCCCACACCCCATTTTCATAATTTTTTTTTTCTATAGCATATTCACCTTCACATACACCATTCCATGCCAGCTAGCAAACAATACTCATTCACAAGTCTGTTGATTCTATGGCATGACTTAACCTCACATCATTCCTTTCCTTACAAGAACGAACGGACCTGCTTATTAATTATTTAATAACCTCTCGCAGCTCAATTCTAATAGTATCATCAAAAAGTTTCATCTGATATTGATATTGGGCATATACACAGTACATAACTTTTATGCAGAGCTTAAATAATAGTTATTACTAATTTCTTATATTGCAAGTTATTGCCCACAAATATAACGGTTGAGCTCTATTTTTAAATTCCTAAAAGACGTAACATATTGTCTTATATATGGAAAGGGGTCGTTGGTAAAATAATGGATTCAGGTCCAGGAAATTTGGGCATTGTGCAGGAAAAGGGATAGGACTTAAATATTACCTACATTATTGGGTTTTGTATATGAATCTGGATACTTAATACTTTGCCAAGACCAAGTCCAGGCTCAATGAACACTCGGTCCATTATGTGATTTTATATTTCACGCATAAAGGAACAGAATAGAAATTTATACATGAACCTTCCCTGCCCACTCTTTTTATACAAAAAGATGAGAAAATATAACAAAAGGTCTAGTGACTTTTATTTATACATGTAATTTGTAATTGAGTCTCTTATGTTAAATTGTAAAAGCTCCAGTGATTGAAAGACAATAGGACTGAAAAATTTTACTATAAAGAGTGTAAGCTAAGAAGCAAACATTCCAATAGAATAAAAAGCTTGCAAACAGAAGTATTCCAGATGGGCTAGAATTACTAACCTTGATTACTTCTTGGGACGCAATTCCTCCAACCAAAGCAGCAACAGCATGAAGCTCAGCAGCACCAAATCGACACATCTCGTTGATAAGGTCCTCAGCTAAGGTAGCACCATTGCATCCCAGGTCGCTAAGTAGGCCAATTGCTGTGCTCTTCAATCGGGGTATATCCTCATCCATTGCACTGCAAGACAATTACCGTATAAGCAACACCAATATCAATATAATGAGTTATATTACAAAACAGATGAGAATATTTAGACCTTCAAGAGTGTGAGGCATTACCTGTCAAACTGTCCAGGAAAACTATTGTAATTGGCAGCAAACCGATCAACGGCTCGGAGCAAAATATAAATTCCCACAGCAACGCTGCCACATATAAACAGGAAACCAGATTTTCAGTGAAACAAATCTTTTTCCACAGAATAATTCTTAAAATGGAAACCATCCAGAAGCATTAACCTATAATCCTCATCAGTCAGATACTTCTGCAACTCGGGTAGGTTTGGAGAATTAAACTCATCTTCAACTAGACGGTACCTACAAACCTACAAAATAAAGATAAGGATCTATACAGAAGAAGGTGCATAATTTGTAGTCCTTCAATTGCTCTAATATTATAAAAAGGGATGGAAAGTGGCTTTGGGGGCAAAATAAGCATTTCCATTTGTCAGAAGAATATACCCAACTTACACGATTCATTCACAACAATAATAATTGTAATAATAGTGACCTCTAGGAAGAGACCCAGGTGCAATTTTCAATCCATATTTTTTGGTCCCCAAAAACCCAAAGCAGTGTAATCCTTTTGAAAGTTCATTCCACAAATTTATGAAAGCAATTTCAACCCCCACTTCCACATTTAATTTTCCACCTCCACAACATACAGATGGGAAAAAGTAAGCGGTCCATTGGAGAACTCATTAGAAGCATTGGCTTAATCTAAGGTGCACTTTAGAATAAAGCTCATGTAGGTTCTATATAATCTGTATTTCATTTAAGGGAAAAGAGTAGAGAATGGCAAGTAAAAAAGTCAGACAATTATACAGGATGAATAACACTATAATTAATATTAAGGTTGACCCAGTTTGGATGAGATTCTAGGTTATGCGAGCTTTTCAATTGTAGAACCCTACCTTAGGACCTTTCTAAGGCAATGGTACAAAGCTTAGTTAAGGTGCTTATAGAGAAGTTAGAAGAGAGAGTTTCTAAAAAAGTTAAGTGTAGAAGCTTATTTTAACATATGCAAGAAGTTTTATTCATGTTACTTTCTTCTCTTGTAAGTACTTGTTGAGAAGTTTATCCAAACTTAGCTCATCTTACATTATAGTTACATAATCAATGATTTTATTGAAATTATGAGATTTGAGAACTAGACAAATTAAAGCAAATCATTATTCATAAAGACAAATATTGGATTTGATCTGTAACTCCACAAACTTACTTTGAGTTTTCTTGCATTCTTACAGAAGCTTTTAATTGTTGACCTTGGAATGCTATTTGAATCTCTACCAATTTTCTTCAAATTACTTCTCACCAGACGTTCTATTACAAGAAAGTCAGCCTCAGCCTTAGCCTGATAGATATTCTGCAAATTCACATATTGCCTGCAGGAACATCAATATACTTTAGATAAATAAATTAATGATTTCTATTCTCTCAGGAAAAAAAATCATTCTGAAAAATACGTAAAGATTTGGCTACTTACTCGGTAGAAGAAGTCATATCTGGTATAGATCCTTCAAGGGGTACCTCACCTGCACCTTCATTTGTAATGAAATCCTGCAAAATGATGAGAAATGTACCAATAAACAACTGAAGTACATGTAAGCAACCAAGAACAATGACATGAATTTTAGTTGTACAGTTCAAAATTGATCAGGTCAAAGGTTCAAAGTAGCAAATTATAACAAACTAGAAGTCTTTCAATTTCACAAGTTCTAAGTAATTACATAAGAAAGTTTTTCCCCATCAAAGTGTAGCAAAGTCAGAGATGCAATGCCAGAAGCACCAACCTTTAAAGCTGCCACCAACACCCAAAAATCTGATGAACTAGAGTCCACTTCAGCAGAACTATCATTTAGTATCTGTTGCAACTCTGAACCTATGAAAGTACACAGCATTAGAGAATAAATCATATATTTTATTGGACTGAGGATGTAAATGTACACACAGTAGCCAAATATTCTAGATGAAAATATTTTTTTAATGGAAATTTTTGAAAACTTGAGAAGAGTTTCTCACATTGACCCGATCCTTAACTGGAGACAACACATTCTTCATAGCAAGCTAAGTATGTATGAATCATCTTTCAGAGACAAAAAAGAATACTCAATGAATAAGTTTATAGAAATTTTGTTGCAAAACTCAACAAATAGACTTCTGGAGCCTTTATATAATACACTTGACACTTAAGAGATTCAACAGTTTCATTTAATTTAATTCTCCTCTCACCAACCATCTCCAAGGATCCTATAAAATTTAAACCAACAAGCTCTCAAAGAAAAATACATTATTATGTTTCTTATCCAAGAAAACAAAGGATAGAGAAATTCCAAAAATGAAGATTGGCATCAATTATTCTATATCTACTTACTAATTCCTCGGGGAGCAAATACTTTGAATGATGACTCAATGGCTTCTTTATAATTATCCTCATCTTGAGCAACCATCCGAGCCTTAAGAAGCTCCTAAATTGTTCACATCCAAAGTTAATCACATAACTAGAACAGAAGAAGATTAAAAGGTTAATGATTGAACAACAAACCTTGAACTCCCTTTTTTCTTCTCTGGTTGATGGAAGCCTACCGCCATGGCTTTTAGCCCACTCATCGGCCATCTTGACAAGAATAACAACATATGGTATGTGCTTATGGGCCACAGGATCTTGCACATTCAAGTCAACACCATCTGCAAACCTACGGGGTACACATGCAATGAAATAATAAGTGAAACTGGGTAAGAACCATATATGTGGTCTCAGCTTTACAGCAGTTACATAGGTTGACCACTGAACTTGATGAAGGTAAAACCAGATCTTAGTCAATAAAGGAAAAACAATAGAAAAAGGACAACCAAGTGTGCAATGATCCCACCTAGTGCAGTCCAAGGAGGGTTATGCAGCCTCACTCCAATAAGCAGAGAGGCTGTTTCCAACATTTGAACCCATAACCTCTGGGTCACGTGAGAGCAGTCTTACCATTGCTGCTCGAATTAGCCAAAAAATAAAGTAATACAACAAAACTTTATACCTCTTGAGTTCAGGCCAAGGATTATTTAACCGGAGATCATCCAAAAAATGCTCAGGCTTTGACTCAATCACAGTATGTTCCTAATAAAACCAACAAAAAATACAAATCAACCACAGCAAACAAATCATATCGATATTCAATAACCCATTGATGCTTTTTAACAAAGGCATTTTTATGTTTGTAGTTCGTATATGCAAAAAGAAAAGAAACACTGTTTTTCAACTAGTCCACATTCAATTATTTTTAATTTCTCTCTTTAACATGTCAAATATCAGATCAAAATTATGTCAGTGGAGAAAAACTAATATTATGTTTCCTCAGACATCATGTTTTTCCTTGAACTTGAAACATCATCAAATATACAGTGAATACAAGATTATCCATTTACAAAATTACCTTCAAACTAATTCGAACAAACCCTGTAAGCCCATAGGAGCGAGCAAAAATCAACATAACATTTGCCTCCCTGCAGATTCTATCAAGCTTTATCATTGAGTTTTCCACGAGCTGAAAGTTTATCAAATAGTACCATCAATGAGATTGCACTTGAAAATAATATGTAAAACAAAACGATTTTTTTATATATATTGTCCACTGATAGGTTTCTTGTCATCAGAAAGATAGATAGAAAATCATAATAATGAATGGAGGCACATAACATAATCTACTTCCACACAAAATCTCTAGGCATTATACTAGGATACCTGAGTAGCAACAACCAAAGTAAATTGAGAAAAGAATGATGGATTTGTCTCAATCAATGTTTCAGGATACTCTTCTACAAATTTTGCTTTAACTGCATCATTCAGCTCTTGAAGAAATGAGCATACACATTTTGCCTTTGACTGCCCAAGGCTCGACTCATCCACTACAAATAAGATACAATAATGAGGACAACAGAGATACACAAAACCATAACCAGAGTACAACAAAAAACCCACCATACCCAAAAAATTGTTTCCAAGGTCACCCACTTCAACTTTAGATCCATCAACGACAGTGATGCTTCCAACCCCACCAAGAACTAGATTCTTAAGTGTTTCAGAACCAGTAGGACCACAGTTAAGTAAGCAAATACTAGACTTCTCAAGAGCTGCCTGTCCTTGTTCACCCCATATTCTGCATTTTCAAATAAATATTGCAACATGGCTAACATCAGAGATGCCTCCAAGACTTCCCTCAAAGTTTTAAAAAAAGAGTAGAACGAGCAGATAGATAAGATTTTAAATTCATATTTGAACACATCAAATTCATAACACGCGCACTCAAAGACCGTAGTTCACAACAAAAGAAGCACAGAGCAACAAGTTAAGAATGATAACAAACAGTTAACTTCCTGCCACTACATTTCACTCAACAACCAACGATTCAGATAACAACTAGTTTCTATTTTGCAAATAAAAACAGCTCCATTCCAAGATGCATCTCATCGCACTCATAAAACTCCACTATTAAATCACTAAATCCCTAGCATCGTACAACAAACCAAAAAGAGAAAATAAAATTAAACGGAGTTTCATTCATAACACCATCACATGAATCCACGCGCCGTAACAAAATCCTCCATTCGTTCGAGTAATTAAATTTAACAATCGAAGATTCCCGCCGAACGATCAATCACACACACAAAAAAATAAAATAAAATAAAATAAAAAATCCATTCAATAAATAATTTATATAACAAACGATATTCCAACACTCAAAAGAAAAATCAGTTCTCTGCGCCACAAGTTGGTTAGGTTTTTCATTAGAGTGGAACGAAGTGGAAAATTAGATAAATGTGAAAGTGGCGAGAGCACCTGAGCTGGCGATCGTATTTAACTTTGGGTTCTGCCATTGTTGAGTTGAGACGTGTGTTAGGTATTTGGTAGTAACTTCCTTTGCTTTGCTTACTACTAACGCTGTGTTCCTGTGTATCAGTAGTTTCAGTGAGTCGGGGGAAAAGGAGAAATTGAAGCCGACGAGTTCACGACACGACGTCGTGCGATGTCACATCTATCAGATTCCCGGATCACATTTTTATTTTGCGGCAATAACTATGGATTTGGGTTCCTATTTTGGTCTAAGATAAGGGCGTTTTCCGTCAGAAGAGATAGAAAGAGTCGCCAGCCACTAACCCAATAAGAAAAGCCCAACCCAATGTAGATTGTCCATTTTAACATCCAAAGTATATCCTTCGCATGTTTCTATTTATATTACTTGCTTTTTTGTCATTTTAAGAACTTAATTTTTCAAATTTATTTATAAATTACTTATAGAATTTAATTTTTAGAATATATTAAATGTGATCTTAAAAATTAAATTTTGAAAACAGAAAATAAATCTCCAATAACGTATGATTCAATTATTGAACCGAAAAACGGAAAGTCTTATACAGTTTAAAACCTTGCTAATCAATACTTTTTTAAATGAAAAATAATAATTAATATTTTAATGTCGTTGATTATAATTTGCCTACTATTTATTATTTTTCTTCAGACTTTTGGTAGCTGTTGGTGTTTGCAATCAATTATTTTTATCATGAAAAGTTTAACATTTCTTATCAAAATGGATTATTTAAGGTTATTTGAATGACTCGAAATTTTCAAATTCAATAAAGAGAGTTTTAAAAAATACACCTGGATAAACAAAAATACTTGAATGTAGTTTTGATGGGGAGAATATTAATTTATAACTAATCATGTTTGTTGCTTTTGATAAACATCTTTTTTATATATAGATAGATGTAGTTGAAAATTTACAATAATTGAAAAGTTATAATTTATAATCAACTCGTTGAATTATAATTATTTAGCAAATTTAGTAGTGCAACTTGTTGAAATAATAAAAAAGAAAGCTATATTTTTTTAATGTGAGCATAAATTATTTTAAAGTTTAAGTGTAAAAATGATAAAATATTAGTAACCAGCTTTGATGAAGCCAAATGCTATTTCAAATTGTTTTATAAGTTAGCTTCAAACTAATTATAATTTTCTTTGTTTATTATTTACCAAATAGTTATATTAACTTATTAATAAAAATAAAAGGTTACAATTTCGTACACAAATTACAAGTTTGTGTTATCAAATACACTATTATATTAACTTTTCATACAAAAATTCAGATGCAGTTATTTAAGTACTTTTAGCATTGTTTATAAATTAATTTAGGCTTTTATTTTGATATTTTGTAATAACATTAAATATAACAAATTTATTAAAATATAGTTTTAATTTTAATCGATAAAAAACACTAATACGACAATAATTAAGTTTATTCTTTCATAAATTAGCTTTTCAAGATGACAAACATTGTTTTATTTTTGTATTCATTAGATAGTTCTATTAATTTAGTAATAAAAAGAGAAATACATGTAAACTTGCATCACAAAATATACTTTAAACTGTCAGAAACTTGAGAAAACTTAATTGGTCACGTGTCGTGTACTTGTTAAAAAAAATTCAACCAATATTAAACTTCATGCAAGGAGTATTAGTTATACTAGTTAACATTGAAACAAGACAAGTAAACCAATTGTACTACCAATAGTTGTTATTATGATGGGAAGGATTCATCGGTGGCATAAAATGCTGAGAATGGTCGACGTTTGTGCTGTGCCCCTGGACCTACACTACAATGAAAACGACAATATTAATACAAGGCACAATAAATTTGGCCCTTTCATCGGTGGCAATACCCTATTGGTATTTTTGAAATCTTTTCAGGCATGTCGATAAAACCAACAAATTTCCATCTGTCTCAATCCTTCCCCTCTTCTTTGAAGTAAAAAAAAATGAAAATCTGGCAATACCCTATAGTAATCCCAAACAATGTAAAATTTTATTGTTTTTTTTAGAGAAAATAATTTAAAAATAATAAATACGCATTACACAAAGGGGTTAAGATTATTAAACTGTATTAAAATTTACTAAAACGTATTATCTAATAAAGTGTTATACTATAATAATGATTATAATCTATATTTTCATGATTGAGATTTCAGCCTGTGAAAATGTTATTTCACAGGATTTCTTTCCATTTTCGCAACTTCACTGTCAGTTGAGCTGAAGTCAGCATTACTACTCTGTATTAAACCAACAAAAGAAAATGTACTTTCGCCCCTTCTATTATATGTACGCGTGGAGAGAGCTGATAGAAGGGCGTCGGAGAGCAGTATAGGGACATCCAGAGGCTACGTCCACGAGAACTTGTAATTGACTCTAGAATTCTCAATTGAAGCTAGGTATATAAAAACAAATTTTAAATAACACATAAAGAATTAAACATAATCTTAAATAATGTTCTTTTTCAATTTATAATTATTTAATCAGTCACGATTTTTGCATAATTACTGAATTTTTTTTCAAAACATGTAATTATTGTATGACTTATCCCTTCTCAGGAGTATAGTAAAAAAATTATAAAAAAACTTTCACGACAGCAAAATTTACAATTATTTGTACATATTTGAGACGATTTCTTTAATTTAGATAAAGGAACAATGTATTTGCTGGTTATATAATGTGACAAGCTCAAAGCTTAGTTGACAGAAGCTAAGCTAAGGGTGAATGTGGGTGCCCCATAAACATCCTCATCAATAGTCAACATCAAGTGTGAAAGCAAGCAGCCCTAGTTCACGTTCGCACTCCACACGCACACATACTTTAGACCATACCGTATAACCATACCCTTCCATCTCCATTGCTCTTGTATTTCCTAGTTGCAGAAGAGGCCATAGACCCGTTACCAATCTCAATTACACACGCACTCTCTCTTTCCTTATCTATCCTTATCCTGGTGCCGAATGCGTGATCACAACCATGTATATAACTGCCTCTCCGCTTCTCAGAGTAACTAGGCCTAAACTATTCTTTTCTTCTTCTGTTTCTAGAACCTTCGCTTATCCTCCTTCTGTAACCGCTTACTCCTCCCGCAGTTCCTTCTCCTTCGGGACTCTATCCTTTCGCTCCTCCGTTCCCCGGTGGAGCCACCGTCTCCATTCTACCTCTCCGCTCACTGTTCGTCCTCAGATCAGAGCCGTTGCCCCCGCCGTCCAACGCTTCCACCGCAAAATCGCTACCATGGGTGCTTCATCGCTCCTTATTGTTTATTTTTTTGATTGAGCTATGATTTGTCCATTTTCTCTGTTATTTTTCGTTTTCACGTCCATTTCCTGCGTTTTATTATTAGCTTTCCAACACGAGCATGGGTTGAGCTTTTTGATGATATTTTTTTAAATTGAGGATTTCTATGTGTCATGGTTGTTTGAAGGAGTTGTGTAATTTGCATTCTCTTATCTAACTGAAATTGTATGAGTTTGTTACATGTAGTCAAGTTTCGAGTATCTAGTGCTGAAATTTTTGTTCTGATTGTTTGTTTCAGCCAATGAAAATCCTTTTAATGGAAACTTGACAAGTCTCCCCAAGCCCGGTGGTGGCGAGTTTGGAAAATTCTATAGTCTTCCTTCTCTCAACGATCCCAGAATTGGTAATTTGCTAACTTGGCTTAGGCTGATTTTGTTCTTGATTTGAACCATGTTATTTAGTAAAGGTAACAGGGTCGTGATTTAAGTTTGTGATATTGGTAATTTCATATTATCTGTGTGACAGTTCTGTTAGTGATGATATCAACTTTATGTGTGGGTGACAGACAGGTTACCGTATTCCATTAGAATTCTTCTTGAATCTGCCATTCGTAATTGTGACAATTTTCAAGTAACTAAAGAAGATGTTGAGAAAATTCTTGACTGGGAAAAAACTTCTACAAAGCAAGTTGAGATTCCTTTCAAGCCTGCTCGTGTTCTCTTGCAGGTATCTTGTTAACTTCTGAAACCTGGATACAGTGAATTATGTTAGGGATGCGTGACAGGAAGTAATATGTTTTATTCTACTAAACTCCTTTTCTCTTCTCAGGATTTTACTGGAGTCCCCGCTGTTGTTGACCTGGCTTGCATGCGGGATGCTATGAATAAGCTTGGCAGTGATTCAAATAAGATCAACCCCCTGGTATGCATCTTTCTTATCACTTGCGTGGTCTTTTGTCCTGTATGAATTCGTTGATGACAGTCACCAAAAAGTTTTCAAAATTTTAATTTGAAATCTTGAGTTATATTTATTTGTTACAAAGTAAAAAGGAAGTTTTGAATTACTTTAGAAAAATCAGCTTTTGTCTCGTAGATTTGAGTTTTACATAACTAGATGTGACCATTTCTGCCATCTGTGCTTTACATAGATGCTACAAGTTCTGCAATCGATAGTTTATGTAAAAAAAATTTCAATATATTTAGCTGCCGTAGTTTACTGTTATAGCTTTTGTTGGAGTTTGGCAATTTTTAAAATAAGGGTCAGAACTTCCCTAGGTAGAACTAGTTTCTTAAATTATCAAATTATACTTATTATGTCAGAATATTTGATTAATTTCATAACAAAAAATGTTTTGGGAATCATTTTTGAAATTTTAGATGAGGATAGGAGACTAATGGGGAAAACTTCATTTAAATAAAACTTGATTAGTGTGGGAATTCTTTTAAACTAGTTTGACTTAAAATTTATCCTACTGACTTGGTACACAATGTTTGAATGATTACCAAGACAAATTTTGTAAACTAACTCCATTCTACTTGGTTATTGGATGTTGGAGTTTGACAAATGCTGTATAAGACATATTTTCCTTGTATTGTGTTTGTTAGAAGTGGTTCTGAGCTATATTTGTTGGCAGGTTCCTGTTGATCTTGTCATTGATCATTCAGTTCAAGTTGATGTAGCAAGATCAGAAAATGCTGTGCAGTCAAATATGGAGCTTGAATTCCGGAGAAACAAGGAGAGATTTGCTTTTCTTAAATGGGGGTCAACTGCATTCCGTAACATGCTTGTTGTTCCTCCTGGTTCTGGTATAGTCCATCAAGTAAGTTTGGAAGCAACGACACAAAATTGCTTTGGGAATTTAATTTTTCCTTATATCATTAATATTGGGGGACTTTTGGTGTGATGTCTTGAATTCCAGGTGAATCTTGAATATCTTGGACGGGTAGTTTTCAACAATGAGGGCCTACTCTATCCTGACAGTGTGGTTGGGACTGATTCACACACAACTATGATAGATGGGCTTGGTGTTGCTGGATGGGGAGTTGGAGGTATTGAAGCTGAGGCAGCAATGCTTGGTCAGGTACATTACCTTGTGATCTTGATATGTAAACATGTGATGCAAGGAGTTTTAATTCTATCCAAAACAGTAATGGTTAATGAATTTTGAAGGCATATTGACTCTGGAGAAGTATTTGTTTATTTGCTTTATCATGAAACAAGCATGTGGGGTAGTTTAGCTACAGTGTGAAGATTCCAATGCTGTGTGTTATGATACTTAACAGCCTATGAGCATGGTTTTGCCTGGTGTTGTTGGGTTCAAGTTATCTGGAAAACTACGCAATGGTGTTACAGCAACAGACTTGGTTCTAACTGTGACACAAATTCTAAGAAAGCACGGTGTTGTGGGGAAATTTGTTGAATTTCACGGTAATTTAGTTTCTCAAGGCTTACTGTCACATTTATATTTTTTCCCTTTTTTCAATCTATGCTGATTGTCCTTGGCTCCTTGCTAAGTAATAGCTGTCCCTGTTTTGTTCTCTAGGTGATGGTATGGGTGAATTATCTTTGGCTGACAGGGCAACTATTGCTAATATGTCTCCTGAATATGGTGCCACAATGGGCTTCTTCCCTGTGGATCATGTTACATTACAATATCTCAAGTTAACGGGAAGAAGTGATGAGACTGTAAGTACTGTATATCAACTCATTTATTATTTGCAGATATGAAATGCTTGTATAACTATTTCTGAATACAGGTGGCCATGATAGAGTCTTATCTCAGGGCAAACAAACTGTTCGTTGACTATAATGAGGTAATATTAATATATTACTGTTTCCCTATACACTTATCCTTTCTAACAAAACAATGTATATATGTTGAACGTATGAAATGCTAATTTATTTTCCATGAATTCAGCCACAACAAGACAGAGTGTATTCATCATATCTTGAATTAAACCTTTCCGATGTTGAACCATGTATCTCAGGACCAAAGAGGTAAGAATATGTGTCTTTCACGTGTTGCCCTGTATGTCAATTATTGTTTTTTTTTTCTCTAATCTTTATCCTATTATCAATGGAATAATTAACACCAAATGATATTCTTGTAGACCTCATGACCGGGTGCCTTTGAAAGAAATGAAGACTGACTGGCAGGCTTGTCTTGATAGCAAAGTTGGGTTTAAGGTTAGTAATACTCTGACATCCAGAAACCTTTACTTTCATGTCATGGTCTTATGATAAGAAACAACAATTTTGTGCTCTACAAGTTGAATTAGCTGTTGATCTTTAGTTTTAAGCAAAATTGCTATTTCCTGACCATTTGGTTTTGTGATAAAATGCCAATTGGGTTCAGTTTAGTCTCACTTCCAGTATTTGTCTGCTGTTATAGTGCTTCATTGTCCGTGGCTGTTTGCCTGGATTTTTGTAGTTGAAATTGTCATATCTGGCGAGTATAAAATTAAATCATTTTGTTTTTATAACATAGAACCATCAAACATCAACATCAAGTATCAATATTTTTTTACTGTGTTCATTTTAATTGTATCTTCAACCTGCAGTTTCAGTGTCATTTACAAAAAATCTTTAGAATCTACAATGTCCATTTCTGTAATTGCATTACTTCTGTTTGCCTATATCATCAACTTACTCGATGCCTGAAGTGGTACTGGTATAATTTTCCATTCACCTGTTTGTTATATTTATCAAACTGTTGGTGGCTCTTGCCAGCATGAGCACCACACTGTTAATGGCAACTCGAAGAAGTCAAGGCTCTTCTTCATTCCTATCCATAAACTCCTTACTATTTTTGCATGACTCTGTTCTGGGGACTTTAACAATAGCAGTGATGTCAAAGCCTCTGGTTTTGTATATGCTTGCTTTATTATCTGGAAGTGTTTGAAAGATCCATGTGAATGAACATGAGGGGATCTTGTACAGTTGTACAGCATAAGACATTTTTTCTTTATTGAAACGGAATATGTAGAAGTGGAATCATCCATGTTTCATTGGCTGTTGTCTGATGAATACCCTGCATGAATATAATTTACTGTATTCCTAAATGTTTTATTTGAATACAGGGATTTGCTATACCAAAAGAGGCACAAGGAAAAGTTGCAAAATTTGATTTCCACGGGCAGCCGGCAGAGCTCAAGCATGGTAGTGTTGTAATTGCTGCAATCACGAGCTGTACAAATACGTCAAACCCAAGTGTTATGCTTGGGGCTGGTCTTGTTGCAAAAAAAGCTCACGAGCTTGGTTTACAGGTTAGGCACTAATATAATAATATAAAAGTTAAACTATATATTTATTCGTTATAAATTATATTTATTTATGAATTAGTCCTTATATTTTTAAAAATTGCATTTTAGTTGCTATACAAGTGTTTTATTTTGTTTTAGTCATTGCTGTTACAATGATATCAATGATGGAATGAACCAAAATATAATAAAATATTTGTATAAAAATTAAAATGTAAGTTCATTTTTTTAAATATAAAAACTAATTTATAAACATGTCAAATATAGAGATTAAGGGTTGTATTTTAACAAATTATAATTTTAAAAGAATAAAACACACCAAAGTTAATTTTAGAAAAAAACTTGTTTTATAGCTCAATCTTATCTTTATAAAGTAAAGATTTGATACAATGTGCAATGTTTTAAAATATTATAATAAAATAATAGAAGTAAATATCAAATTTTGGTTGACAAGCTTACAAATATTCAAATTATATGAGTATGAAATAATATAAGATGATTTAATGGTTGAAATGATCAATTTTGTATTTTATGAAGAAATTATTAAGTGGTGTAAATGTTTAAATTTGATATTTGGTGTCAATAAATTTTAACTCATCTTTATAATATTTGGTTATTGATTAATAAATAATTTTATTTAATTTATATTTTTTAATTTTTATTCTACTTTTAGAAAAATGAAGAAAATGTCAACATTAGTATTTTTATTGTAATTTTTTAAAATATAACTATCTTAATTTATATATAATTTACATTTTAAATGATATATTAATTTCTGTAAAAAATTTAAAATATTTTTATAAAAAATAAAATATTTACTATATTTGAGATGTAAAATTATACTATTGTTCAATTTTTTTAAGTCAACTTTATTACATGAGTGAATTTGTAACTTTTCTATCATAAATAAATAATTTTTATTATATTGAATTAAAATTTCATAAGTTAATATTATGGTACTTTTTCTATCAATTAAATATTTTATTTTTGAAAAAATATTTTAGCATATATATATATATATATATATATATATTTCATCTGTTATAAAAATCTTTATTATATTAAATTATTCTTAATATTTTATTAATTATAATAATTATTTTTTTTAATTTATGTATTTTTCAAATCAATAGGTTCTATATTAATAGATATGAATGATCTTGAATCGTAAATTATGATTTTTGACTTAAATATGAGTTTTTAATCGCTTAAAAATTTATGAATCTTTTAATTGATATCTCAGTTTTAATTTTTTTAGACAATTCCACTAATTTTTTTTATTTTTAGTTAAAATATACATTTGATTCTTATTCTTATATTTAACACTTGTTTATAAATTAATTCCTATACTTCAAAAAATCTTATATTATAAGTCCTGTACAAATGCTTTGTTATGTTTTAGTTTCTATTGTTAACAATGCAACGACATGGATTAAAATGTAATAAAACATTCGTACATAGATTAAACATAATTTTTTTAAAATATAAGGAATAAATATACAATTTAACATAATATATATAACAATACCACTTCTCTTCTTTTCAGGATGAAGTCAATACCTTCTGCCTTTTGTTGTCCATTTTTTGTTGCAAGTAATAAAAGCAACAAACTGCATGGTTTTTATGTAAACCTTTTCTTGATTCTAATTGTTGCTGTTTTCACTGTTTTGGCAGGTCAAGCCCTGGGTTAAAACAAGTCTTGCTCCAGGCTCTGGTGTTGTTACAAAATATCTACTCCAGAGGTAAATGTGCTTCGTATAAAAATACTTGTATTGTAGTTTTATATTATAATTGTAGTCAGTTCCCCTCTTTACAATTTAGGAAAACGTATTCTGATTTTGTATTTATTTCTACTTTTCTGGCAGTGGACTGCAAAAATATCTAAATGAACAAGGTTTTCATATTGTTGGATTTGGCTGTACAACTTGTATTGGCAATTCTGGAGAGCTGGATGAATCCGTTGCTTCTGCCATCTCAGAAAATGGTCATGTTTAATAACAAAATATTTCTTGAACTGAAGTTGATTTCTTTGCAACTCTTTTCTCACCTAATTTTTTCTTGTTGAAAATTTTTGGATATCCTAGTAGTCTCCTAGACATATTCTGCTTTTCTAGTCACCTGTACATACTCTGCCTTTTATTTTCCTTACTGATTTCATTTTTTGTGTTCTGAAGCAGACATTATAGCAGCTGCTGTATTGTCTGGGAACCGTAATTTTGAGGGCCGTGTACATCCATTGACAAGAGCTAACTACCTTGCCTCTCCTCCTCTAGTTGTTGCTTATGCTCTTGCTGGCACGGTATGTATGTCTAATTCATATTTCCAAAGTGTGTATACTTTGTTTTTGGTTCTTCTATATTATTATCTGATTTTCATCTCTCTTTGTAAAGGGCAATAGTTATCTAATTCATTATCTGAAAGTAAATAAAACAGACAAATCATAAAATTATTGCAGGCTAATCACCAGTATTGGTATTGGATGCTATACATAATCTGCATCATCTTCATTTGTGTGGTTGAATAAGCAAACTTAAGCTGTGCAATGTATTTGACCCGAGTACAAACACATTGTACATTTCCACTCTATTCTTCTCAATTTTCTCATAACAAATATAGTGGTCTTATTCTAATTTTTTGGATATTCACATCCATAACTCTAGTTGTGGACTCACGCATACAATAATAGTTGCATGCATGTGCATATGAAACGTTAAGAGTTTGTTTACTTCGAGAAAACATTGTTTGTTTTCACACACAATTACGAAAGTGTCACCTTATTTTATGTTTCGAAGATTTATATAGTAAACAAGAAAAAACATCTTGTTTTTATTGCTTCTGAATAAATCATTGAAAATAAATGATGAAAACAGGAATTTTTTTTTTTCATACCATATAATACCTGATATTTTGGTCTTTTTTTGTGTAACAAAAATGTATTTGACTATGGAATTTCTTTTTTCCGACAGTGACAAAGAATGTCATATACCTAATCTCATTTAGTGGGATATACTTTGGTTGTGATTGTTACTGACAAAGAATGTCTTATGGGAAACTAAATTAACTAATATTAGCCCAAATGTTGTACTGATTGAGTATATAGCTTTGTTTCGAACGGTCTTTTGTTGGTAGGATGCTCATTATATTTATTATTATGGAAATGGTGATAAAATTCAAGTTGTAAGAAAATAGAACCCCAAATGTTAAGTGGACCTTCACATATCTTTGGTCAAATTTCCAGGTTGACATTGACTTTGAAAAGGAGCCAATTGGGACAGGGAAGGACGGCAAGAATGTCTACTTGAGGGATATATGGCCATCTACTGAAGAGATTGCAGAGGTAAATGGCATCCAATTTTGATAGATCTAGGCAAATCAACAGCTGAAATACTTCTTTAATTTATGAAACAATTCTGTCCCAGAAACAGTGGATACATTTTGGAAACTAGAAGGCTATTCATATAAGAAAGATAAAGAAATATACTAGAAAATATCTCCCAATTACCAGAATTGAGATTCCAAGCCACAAGCAATGGCCGAAATTCACACCAAAATTTTCACTCCCCATCCCCCCCGCCCCCCTCCCTTACTTGCCAGCTTCTGTCGCTCTTCCATCTCAGTACTAACTTTCCTCATTCCTCTCCTTTCACGCCCCCCTTTATTATTTGTAGTGTAAACTTTCCAAGACCAGGGCTCATGACTAATTTGGTCTACCATTTGGTATACCTGCATACCCTGTATCTGATGGAGTCTGGACTATCAAATTTGCTCATTATATGATATCTGCTTTAAATATTCAACACTATAAATTTAACTTTGGGCTTCTGTATTCCTAGGCTGTCCAATCTAATGTCTTGCCAGACATGTTCCTAAGTACATATGAGGCTATTACCAAGGGAAACCCTATGTGGAATCAACTACAAGTTCCTGCTGACACTCTCTACTCATGGGACCCCAACTCAACATATATCCATGAGCCCCCATACTTCAAGGATATGACCATGGATCCTCCTGGATCTCATGGTGTAAAAGATGCCTATTGCCTGCTGAATTTTGGTGACAGTATAACCACTGATCATATTTCTCCAGCTGGAAGTATTCACAAGGACAGTCCTGCTGCTAAATACCTTCTTGAGCGCGGGGTGGAACGCAAGGACTTCAATTCTTATGGAAGTCGTCGCGGCAATGATGAGGTGATGGCAAGGGGAACTTTTGCCAACATTCGCCTTGTTAACAAGCTCTTGAATGGGGAAGTTGGGCCGAAGACAATTCACATTCCTACAGGGGAGAAGCTTTATGTGTTTGATGCAGCAATGGTGAGTATAGCCTACTTAAATATGACGTTTTTTTATTGCTTTTGGGCTTTTGAAGTGACAACATTTTTTTTTTCTATATTTGTTTTACTAAATTTCTTGTGAATCCATTTCCTTCTGAACTTGCATGTATGAACTATTGAGTCTTGCGTATTCAAATGGATAACAGACTTCTAAGTATGTATTGCAAAGCTTGATATTCTGACTAGGGTATGTGAACATTATCTTTGGTTTAGTAGCATCTCTTCTTTAATGAAATGATGCAGGGTATTGTTGTGGGTCTAAATCCACTGCATACTGTGCCTCAATACAATTCTCCCCTTTGTTCTCTGTAGTCTGTATAGCAAAAGAGAATTATTGAATAGCATCGTGCCAGATAATGTGATAGACCATCATTAATTTTAGCTCTGTTAAGTCTCTAAATCCCTTTTCTTTCTCATGCCAGAGATACAAGGCTTCTGGGCAAGACACCGTTGTGTTGGCTGGAGCTGAATATGGCAGTGGAAGTTCTAGAGATTGGGCTGCCAAGGGTCCGATGCTACTGGTGAGTTCCTTTATGTATTATAACTTGTGATTAAATTGAAATCTCTATTTTTCATACTTAAAATATAAAGGTTAATATTCCTGCTGACTGATGACACTTGCATTTCAATAGGGAGTCAAAGCTGTGATCGCTAAAAGTTTCGAGAGAATTCATCGCAGTAATTTGGTAGGAATGGGTATTATTCCTCTTTGCTTCAAACCCGGCGAGGATGCGGACACATTGGGATTGACTGGTCATGAACGTTACACAATTGACCTCCCAAGTAAAATTAGTGAGATTAGGCCTGGCCAAGATGTGACGGTCACAACTGATAATGGAAAATCTTTCACCTGCACAGTACGCTTTGACACCGAGGTAATTTAAGCATTTCATTGATTTATTTATATTTTTAACCTTTTCTTATGGTCGGCTACTAGAGTTACATTGTCAGGGTTCGCTGGGGATGAGCCAAGCTTATCTTAAACTTGCTCCATCATAGCCTTTCCCACACTTTTTTAGTGTTTAACATAACACTCGTATTTTCAGGTGGAACTCGCTTACTTCAACCATGGAGGCATACTTCCATATGTCATAAGGAACCTCATTAAGCAGTGACGCCATTGTTGATGGAAATTTCTGAGGTCATTGTTAGTCATGGTATGTTTTCCACGTTGTAAAATGTGGGAATAAATTTCTGAAAGAAAGGAGATCCCTTTCGAGGGAGGTTTTGACTCTTGCCAAGGTTATTAATTATTAGGCCTGTGAACAGTTGTTAAATTGTTAGTAAAACACTGCCGATTGCGCGACCCCACGATCGGCTCAGGTGTCCTGGTGAAATATTTCATTCTTCAAGATTTAAGAGAAACTATGGCTTTTTGATAGTAGAACTTTAGAAGCAAAAGGAAAAGTGAGATTTAGATTTATCTCATCGCGAAAAGTTTTCAAAAAGTAGTACGTATGCGTGGGGAGACATTCCACGAATATGGTAGTGTATCTTTTTCTTTTTTGGGGTCCAAAACATGGTAGGATATCCATTTCTATTAGTCGAGTGACGAGGAACAGTATAAAACGCGTTTAGATCCGAATCTGGGAACACGTTGAGAACTGAACCATCTCAGGCGATTGCACTGCCATCTGCCATTTTCGTCCCATTCGTACATTGTGGTCACCCGTATATTACCCATAAATGAATGATCAAGCTTTTATTAGGAGTGAGCGAAAAACTAAAATTGACCCGAATTCAGGTGTAAATTTGATTTTTAAGTTGACCAGGTTGGATACTGGTTATTGTCGATTTCAAGATTTACATTTTGGCGGAATGAGGTAGTCGGGTCCGGTTCTTTAAATTCACACCTAATGGAACTCGAACTCCATTGATACTCGATTCACTAAGCATTTGGATCACAAGGCTCAAAGCATCACTAATGTCACACGTAAAACATTGGAGTTTAAAAATTCATTTTGAAATTTAGAACTTCAAAAGGAGGGCCATGAGACAAAGCTGCAAAGGGAATGGTTCAACTTTCTAAACAATCTGAAAATTTAGAAAGTTATCTCACTCTTTCTTTCACTCACTTTCATTTTCTCACCGACATCTTCTTTCAATCTTTCTTGGTCTCTTTGACTCTTATTCTCTCCTTTCTCCATACTAATGAAGGTTTTTCCTTTTCTCATGTAATCTTAAGGATGCTTGTGCCGTTTCTGCCACGCCTAAAATTTATCCCTCTTTTCATTCTCTCTTCTTTCTCTTGTGCTGTCTTGCATTATTGTTGGCATTTTTTGAGTTTTACTTATTCTCTTTTTCTCCTCTCATATCATGTAAAAGAAGAAACAAGATCATATATAACAAGAAATAAGAAGAAAAAAAAAACTTGCAGAACAAGAAATAAGATTGTGTAGAAAAAGAAAAAGAAAAAGAACTAGGAAACATACAAAAAAAGAAACATGATCATTATAAAAGAACAAAAGAAATGTAAAAGAAAAGGAAGAAAAAAGGAACCAAAAACTTGAGACATGCAGAACAAGAATTACAAAGAAAAAGAATTAAGAAAAATGAAAAATAATCATGTAAAACAAGAACGAGATCATGAAAAAAAAAAAGGAGAAGAAAAGAAGAATCAAAAATGAAAAATGAATCATGTAAAAAAAGAAGAAAAAAAAGACCATGTGAAATAAGAAGAAGAAAATGATCAAGTAACAAGAAGATCATGAAAAACATAAACAAGAAGAAGAAGAAAAAGAAAAAGAAGCATTAAACGTGCAAAACAAGATAAAGAGAAGAAGTAGAAATAAATTTAACAAAATAAAAATAAGAAACATGAAGAAACAAAAAAATCATATTAGAGAAAGAAACAAGAATAGAACAAAGAAAAGAATAATAAGAACAAAAATATCGTTCGAGTATGAAGAAGATGAGATAATTTATAATAAGAAACATGAAAAAGAAACATACAGAAAAAGGAACAAGATCATGTAGAAAAAGTACAAGAAGCATGAAAAATAAGAAACAAGAATATTGGTAGAAGAAAAAGTAGGAAGCAAGGGAAGAAAAGGAACAAGGAATATGCAGAAGAAAAGAACAAGAAACATGAAACATGAAAATAAGAAATAAGAATATCAAGTAGAAGAAGAAACAGAAAACATGTGTTAGAATTTTCTTTTTATTTGGATTACTATTGATTGGTGTAATTTTAATTTATTAAAATAGGTTAAATGTATGACCTAATATGTTATTCTATTATCCTGTTTTGAGTTTTGGAAATCACAATGTGTACATATAATTATTGGACTGAGTCTAGTATGTGAGTGTGCTGAGTAGTATATGTAGGGCCTAATGGGCCTAATATCCATGATGGATGAAAATTAGGTAACCTATGTTTTTATTTAAAAGGAGGTAGGATCCCCACTTGACTCTTGAGAAAATATATGCTCTCTAACAACTTACAGTTCCATTAAGGGGTCAATCTATGAAAGAAAGGGAGATCAAGTGGAAGAGTCTGTTCTTGACAAATACCCGTGTGTGCATTTTGTGATACCAAAGGAGAGTTATAAAAGATGTCTTCAAGAGGTTTGCAATTTACCTTCACATAAATAATATTTGGGTGTTCTAAATTCTGGTATTGATCCAAATAATTTTACAACAAGATCATGTAGGGAAAAAAAGAACATGAAAAATGCAGAAAAACAAGAAACAAGATAACAAGAAACAAGATGAAAAAAAAGAAGCATCAAACATGCAAAATAAGAACAAGAGAAGAACTAGAAACAAATGGAACAAAATAAGAACAAGAAACATGAAAAAGAAAAAGAAATATGAAACATGCAAACCAAAAAATAGTAGTAAAAAACATGCAAAATATAACATCCTTAGTTTTATATTTATTATTATAGCATTAAATATTGGTTGTATTTGTGAAGTTATTTAAATTTTAGAGAGTTTAAATGATGTAAGTTGCAAGATATTTCGCTGTAGAAAGAAAGAGCGTCTAGAAATCAGGTACTCTGACACTCTCTCGTTGTAATGATGAGCTCTTGCTGTAGTTAGAATGATAGACAGTAAAGTAAAATTTTATCTGATTTTTTGGCTACAACATTGTAGCAAGAAATTCTTGATTTAGTGAGAAATGGCTTGACGTAGAGAGAATATCGCAAGTCAAGGAGTATTTAAGGGTTTTCAAGTTAGAAAACTTGGATTATAATCCAAGTTTTAAACTCTCCCCTGTTCTCTCAACCTCCAACCCTCTTTTCTCATAAAAATCTCTCTAAAATCTCAACTCTCCTTCAAATCTAAGCTTAGAAACTACATCAATCGACTCTAAGTAAGTTCTTAGAGCTTTGTTCTCTCTTTTTGGTTGTTTTCTATGTTTTTTCCTTCCCAAAATGTTCTTTTTTGTGATATCTAGGAAGCTCTTGGTTCTTTCACTAAAACCATTCACAAATCCTCTTTCAAAACTTTGTTTTAAGGTAGGGAGGGCTCTATTTTGTGATTTTAAGCATAATAAATATTTTACACCTATGAGAGTAATTTATGTATATGTTCTTATATGATTTTCATGATTGATTAACATTGGATTATTCTGAAAGTATGTTTGTTGATTTTGGGTGTTAAATATGTTTGAGTAGTATACTTGTTTGGAACTTAGTTTGGAAGTGTTTTACTAAGTACGATCTTTTACTTAAGTGATGAATTTAGTATGAAAGAGAATATGAGATAAGTGCACAAAGTTGAATGGATCTAGTGTAGATAGTTACAGAGATATATTGGGGTATAGAGTCCAGAGACGATGGAAAATCTAGGAAAAACGTAGGGTGGTGAGCGACATTCGTGCATGTGTACACATTATTTCTGAGAGCGAATGTGCCACATGGGATCACACTCGTTTTCTGACTAAACTCCTAACTATACCTTTGCTAAGGGATCCGTTATTGTATACATTGTATCCGTATGGATGAGATAATTAGCGACTATTTACCTAGTTGTGTAAGACCTCAAGAATTGCTGGAAGTATTATATTTCTGTGATCATAGTGCACTAGAAGTGCGTATATAAAAATGGGAATATAGTGATTTATAATGAAATATATGTGTATATAATACATTGTTGTTGAAATTGATGTTATCTTTTATTCCATGGTTATGGTTATGCTGCAATGTTAATCTTTAAATTAGTGCTATGTTTAAATGATAAAATAGAAGTTCATCCTTACTAATATTTTCAGGAAATCAGAATGACAGAGCATCAAGAAAGAATTAGATTAATAGATAGTTCTATACATAATAGGTTTAATTATGTGTTTAACGAGTATTAGAGAACTTGTTATTTTAAGTTTGATGTCCTTGTTATTTAAGTTTGATGTCCTTGTTGAAGATGTACCTAGGACTTTTATCATGTTAGAGATGGACTTTTCTTATATTATTCCTTTTGATTTTTCTATGGCTAGAATATACCATACCCTATGTATTCATATCTATAGAGGTATTGTTAGAACTCCAGCAGCCTTCACATATCTATTTACGTACAACGACCATAATCATTTCGAAAGACCGTCAGATGGACTTTTGAGTGAGTTACTAGTACAGAGGTCACGGATGATTCATGCGATCGTTATCTTGAATTAGACGATGATTTTGATTCTGAAGACATAGCAGAGATTAAGAGCTGGTATGAGAATGAATAGTATCAAGTTCTCAATGTTGAATGTATTTTGGGACTGTTTTGGGGCTTAAATTACTTTTGTAATATAATTATTTTAGTCATGTAAATATCATTTTGAGTCCCACCTGTTTTAACAAATAGTTTGTAAATTACTGTATGAAATATGTATAAATGTAGGCCTTGCACCAATGTTTGTAAATATTTATTTAAGATAATTATAACTTATGTTTACGGCTATTTACTTAATATCTTTCGAATTCGCAGACTTTGTAAAAAGCATTATTCACAAATAGATATTTTATCTATTTATACTTACAATATTTGGCATATACGAAAAATTTGTACATTATGCCGAGCTTGTATAAATGGAATAAGCAACTTTTAAAAATTTAGGATGTTACACAAAAGATGAGGAAAAGAAAGAGGAAGAAAAATAGCAAAAAATAGAAAGATCATGTAGAGTAAGAAACAAGAATAATAAGATAGACAATAAGAATAACAACTAAAATATCACATAAAAGAAGAAACAAGATCACATACACAAAAATAAGAAGAAAAAGAATAAAAAACATGCAGAACAAGAAACATAAAGAAAAAGAAATAGGATTATACAAAAAAATAAGAAAAATATACAAAAGAAGAGGAAGAAAACAGACAAGAAATCTTTAAAAAAAAAATGAAACATGCTAGATGAGAAACAAGTAAAAAAGAAGAAATGTAGAACTAAAAATGAAAAGATCATGAAAAACAAGGAACAAGAAGTAGAAACAAAATGAACAAAATAAGAACAAGAAACACGAAGAAACAAAAAGATCATGTAAAAGAAAATATAAGATCATATATAACAAGAAAAAAGAAAAGAAAAAAAAAAGCACGCAAAACAAGAAATAAGATTATGTAGAAGAAAAAAAAAGAAACAGACACATATGAGAAAATAAACAAGATCACGTACATCAAGAAAAATGCAAAATAAGAGGAAGAAGAGGAACAAGACTAATGCAGAAGAAAAAAAAAAAGAAAAATGAAACATGCATAATAAGAAGAAACAAGAAACAACAAAAATACACGAAAAGAAACATGAAAAATTAAAAACGAGATCGGGTAAAAGAAGAAACAGGAAAAAAATCATCTAGAAAAAGTACAAGAAAAATGCAAAATAAGAGGAAGAAAAGAAACAAGAAATATGCAGAAGAAAAAGAACAGTAAGCATGAAACATGAAAAATAAGGAACAAGAAGATCAGGTAGAAGAAGAAATAGGAAACAAGATCATGTAGGAAAAAAAGAACACAAAAGTTGCAGAAAAACAAGAAGCAGAAGAAAAAGAAGCATTAAACATGCAAAACAAGAACAAGAGAAGAATGAGAAACAAATAGAATGAAACATGCAAACCAAAAAACAAAGAAAAAAATAATAATAACAAGAAGTATGCAAAAGAAGAGAAGAGGAAGAAAAATAACAAAAAGATCATGTAGAGTAAGAAACAAGAAGAATAAGACAGAAAAGAAGAATAACAAGAACAAAAATATCACGTAAAAGAAGAAACTAGATCATATATACAAAAAATAAGAAGAAAAAGAACAAAAACTTGCAGAACAAGAAATTGTGCAAGAGAAGATAGAAATAAGAATCGTATATAAAAAGAAAAGAACACGAAACATGTAGAAGATCAAGAAATATGCAGAGAAAAAACAAGAAACATAAAATGTGCACAAGAACAAGAAAATAATGAAAAACAAGAAACAAGAAGTAAAATAAGCATCACACATGCAAGATAAGAGAAAAGGAAGAAAATTTGCAAGAAATATCATTTAGAGCAAGAAAAAAGAATAACAAGAACAAAAATATCATGTAGACGAGAAGAAAGAAGACAAAAAATATTAAACGTGCAAAAATAATAAACAAGAAGATAGGGTAGAAGAAGAAACATGAAACAAAGATCATGTAAGGAAAAAAAAAGAACAAAAAAATACAAAAAAAAAAAAAATCAAACATGCAAAACAAGAACAATAGAAGAACTAGAAACAAATAGAACAAAATAAGAACAAAAAACATGAAAAAGAATAACAATAACAATAAATACAAATAATTTGAACAAGAAACTTACTTAGGAACTAGAAGAAGGAAAAATAACAAAAAAAACCATACTTAAGCTAAAAACCAAGAGCCAAAGAGGATGTTTATTTTCATTTTTAAAGAGTTTTTTTAATATATTTATCTTTTATTTTTAAAGAGATTTTAATACTTATCTTTTATTTTTAAAAAGAAATTTAAAAAAAAACAAAAACAAATATACTCTAATTATAACATTATCCTTATAAAAATTTCTATCGTCCTACAAACTTTGTTGCTAGACATGAAAAGAAATTATCACAATTCCATAGGAAAGTTTGTGCTAATGGAACAAAGAGAATATCCAATTAGTTGATGAGATACTTTTTATTGAAAATAAAAAGTATAAACTATATCCTAGCTATGTAAGAAGTCATAAATAAATTTTGAAGCATAAAATATTTTTGTGAATTTTTTATTTAAAAATATTTTAAATATGAAAATAAGGTTTTTTTTGTGTGTTTATGATAAAAGTTTGGTGTTGAACTTTTTTATTAGATTAATACAAAGAAAAGTATTTTAAATTTTTTTAAAAGAATTATTTTAAATTTTAAAAACATGTTTTAGAAAATATGTATTTTAAAGCTTGTCAAAAAATTTATTATTATTTAAATGAATTTACTCTTCTATAGAATTAAAGTTAGCATTAAATCCTTATGATATAAATAGTGTTAATCAAATTTAAAACTATTTTAAGAAATATATTTATTTTTTTGGCATATAGAATAACAATAATAATTACAAGGATAAAAAATAAAATAAAAAATAAAAATAAATTAATTGACACAATATTTTAATTATTCACACATTTCTTTTTATTTTATATATTATTATTAAATATCTAAAAAAAATATTCAAACAAGGAAAGGAAGCAAATGTTATTTCTTTCAATTTTTTTATCATAAAATAAATTGAAAGTTGACATTAGACTTAAATGTTTAAAAATATAAAAATTTAAAACTTATTATACACTATAAATTTAAATATTTACTTATATATTAAATATAAATAATCATTAAAATAATAATGAATTTTTAAATTCAAAATTTATTTTTTGATTTAGGTAAATTATTATTAGTTATTATATTAACCATTTTTTAAATTTTTATTCTCAAAATATTCTGAAGTAGCGAAATTGAATGTAATATAATTTAAATTTTATATTTTATAAGTTTAAATAATGTATAAATTATTACGTTGATATTTTTATCTTTAATATATTTTAATTTTTAATCATAACTCACTAAAAATAAATATTTGAAATAGTACATATAATACAAATTGTTGTAAAATCAAATTTACCATAATTTTTAAGTGTTAGTTAATTAAAATAATTTTATATTTTTAATAAAAGTATCAAATATATTTTTTAATTATTAAATTGAATTCAATTTTTTTATATTTTATCATCATAATATGTAAGAATTTTATTTAAAATATTTTATATATTTACTTGTGAGAGAACGGACAAGGGAGAGCGAAGAGTGGAAGCGTGCGTCGGAAATCCGAGCATCGTGACGTGGCACGTAGCCGTACTTCTTAACATTCACCCAACACACGCCCAAACCCAAATTCCCCATTTTCGTAGCTCTCGATTTTACCAGTCGCTTTCTCCTCTCTCGTCTCGTTAGTCGTTATTACCAGGCAACGCAAACACTACCCCCATTTCTCATTCACCATGTCTTGCCTTCTCCGATCTTCAAAGGCTAAGCTCCTCTCTTCCTCTTCCTCTCTTTCTAGAGCCTTCTCCTCCATTCATCGCACCTCTCCGCCTCAGATCGGAGCACTCTCTCCCCTCTATCATATCTTCCACCACAACACCACCACTTTCCCTTCCGGTACTTCGCTGTTCGCTCTAGCTTTTTTCGAATTTTTTCATTCGATTCCGTTATTCGTTGCTTCTTATTTGACCGATCCATAACGGTATATTCATTTCCATTCTCATAGCGAGACATGTTGAACGAAAAGAAATAAATAGGTTATGGATCAGTTTTTTTTTTTTTAATTGTAGATTTTATTAATTAATTTTTTTGAAGGAATCGTGTGATTTGTAGTGTCTATAGACCTAATTGTGTTTGTAATAGCTGGTGCTGAGGTTTTTTTTGCTCTGATTGCTTATTTCTTTTGACGCCTGTGCCATTTCAGCGAAGGAAAATTCCTCCGGTGAAAAATTGACCGGTCTTTCCAAAGATCCAGTGAATAAGCTTGGCACTGCCAGTGATTCTAATGCGATCAGTGATTTGGTATGCGCCTTTCTCTTCGCTGGCATGTGCTATTTGTTCTCGCTGATGAAAGAGATTTCAAAATTTTAACGGCACTTTACTTTGTGGAGTGAAATGTATGATTGCACGTGTAATGTAACATCTAAATTGTTTGACCGGTGCTTCTTGTCATTTAGAAAATAATCTTTTGCTTAACCTTGGACATGATGCTTACTAGCTTTTGATTTCGTGAAGTTTGAGGAAAAGGTTTTTCTTCTATTGATGTTTGTATTCAGGATATATCGATCGAAAATAGTTAGCTCTGTTGAGGAAATGAAATTAGGAGCTGAAAAGGATGGAGAAAATTTCTCCTCTCAACAGAGCTAGACCCCCAGACTGCCTAAACTTAAGAGATGTACTTTAGATGTAGATTACCTAAACTAATGCAGTCTGATTTACGTGATTGTTATCTAATTAGAAAAAAGGAAGCAAATAATCCTTACTATCAGCTGGAACTGGAATTCCGCACTTTTTCATCTGCGTATTATATGATTTATATCAAGTCTTTCCTATTCGATAGATTATAGCAATTTCTTGTTGCAAGCATCACAAACATGTATTTTGTCAAGGCTAGACAGAGCTGTGAACTGTTTGTTATCTTTAGGTTTAGTGCTACATCCTCCTTTCATGACACAGTGGCTGGCCTGTGTGTTGAAGTAAATCCAAAGTATCATTTTGCCTCATATACAATTCTATCTTTTTTACCTTACCTTTTTCTAAAACCAAAAATTGAACCATTGCATTCCATTATACCCGAGAATGTGGTTTGTTCAGTTTCTAATTCCCGTGGAATTTTTCTTATGGCAGAGGTACAAGGCTCCTGCACTGGACACCAATATGCTGGCTAAAGCTATACTTGGCACTAGAGTGTGGGGTGCACAGGGTACAATGCCATTGGTGAGTGCCTATATCATAAGTTTTTCTGTGATTGAGTTGAGTCTATTTGATTTCTGTTACGCAGCTGATGATATTTACATTTCATTAGGGAGTCAATGCCATGATGTCTAGAAGTTTTCAGAGGTGTGTGGAAGCTGACACTTTGGGAATGATAGGACATCAACGTTTTATGAGTAGCATCCCAAGTAAAACCAGTGAGACACAGTCATCTGGTTTTCGTCCATTATCTCCTCATCTTCCTCTTTATCAGCCCCAGCTTTCATCAACTCTTTCAATTTTCAATAGAATTGCTGGAGCTTTCCTGGCTGCCGTCATTTTACTTTTTTATATGATATATATGAAAATGGGTTTGATTAGCCTCACCTATGATTCTTTCTACCAGTTCATATTTTATTCATCAAAACTCAACCTACTTGCCATTGAGATTTCTGCCTTAGCCGTGTCCTATCATCTGTATAGTGCAATTCGTCATTTGTTCTTATGATTTGAGTCAACGACTGGTACCTGAACAGTACAATGGAACCTGAGGTAAATTAAGTTCTGCCTTGATTCATGTTTAGTTTTTAAGGGTCGCAAATTCTAGAGCCAAGCGTGCTCTTCAATCAATGTTTGCATGGGTTTGAGCCATCTATTTTGCTTTTCAGAAATATGCTTCAGGACCTTTTTCTAACCTTGGATTAGTGTATACCATTGCATTTTCAGGTGGAACTTGCTTAATTCGACCTTGGAGGCATACATCCCTATGTCTGTCATAAGGAACTTCATTAAGCGATGTGAATTTGCATTTTTGTAGTTATGTATGATCGATTAAATAATTACAATTCAGGCACAAGTTCGTGTTTGGTGCTGAGTATAACTACATCTATTTTGCCTGTTGCATTTCTGTGATGTATTTTGCAGCCCCCTCAAATTGCATATAACTAACTGTTGCATTTAATAAATGCATTTGAGTTTTGGTGACTCTTAATTACACCATCACTTATCCGATTCAGGGCATTATTCATTGCTTCTTATTCTTATATTTGGGAAGAAATATGAATGAAATTTAAAGTAAACTTGGGGTAGAGAGTAATCAGAAGGAAAACCAAAAAGGATTTGCAACTTGCGTTGCTCTAAACAAAAAAATAGTCAGCGTTGTTGGTTGCATATCTGTGGCATGAATTCTTCCAATCATCTCTACAGAACTTGCGGAGCGGAAGATTAATTGGTCAGTGGAGTTATCGAAGTATGACCTGAAGGTATGAATTACCACGACCTTCTTCAACGATAAAAATAAAAAAACAAAACTGAAAGCATGACTCACGATTTTACGAAGGTCCATTGTCGCGGTGATTTCTTAGTGGAGACGTCACCGGCACCATTCGATGAGGTTTGTGTGATTGGGAAAAGTTTTATCGTGGTTTCATGGTGTGCGCCGGAACGTTAACGCAAACAAACCGTTCTGACTAGTCTCCAGCCTTATAGGCACACAGGGCAAAAAGCAAGCATTCGTGATACTGGATCACATAAAATAGTTTAGTTTGGTCGAAAATTAAAAGTCTTGGCATAGGAAACAACAGAATAAAATAAAATTTTATAAACGGGATAATCTCTTAAAAACCCTAGGGATGAAGTTTACTCATCAAATTCCTCTAATTCCGGGTAACTATTAATGGTTACAACAACTCTTAAAAATGCAGTCGGGGCTTCAGCCCAATCTTATATGGGTGATACAACAAGCATTCGTGATTTGTGCCCAAGTACCATATTTAGGAAATAATAATATATTCTATAAATAGTTTGGTTCTCTTTTTCTTATGCTCTTGTGACTTTGATCCTTGGAATGTGCTGAAACCAAAAAGAAAAAAAAGGATTGTCTAAAGTAAAGCTGTATTAAGATAGAAAATCAAAATCCATCTACCATTTATTTAAATTAACAATATTTATAAAATATTTTAATTCAAATTAATGATGACAGACTCTTTTTTTAATTTTATTTTACAAATCTCCTTAATTTAGAAAAGTTAAATCTCTCAAAAAAATCCATGGGCTGTGTTATGTATAATGCCACTAGTAGCAAGTCAACCAACAGCTCAATAATTCAGGTTGTACTGTCGAAACATTCTCGACTGTCACTTTTACTCACACTAAATATAATTGCATAATGATAATATACCAGCATTCTCTGCCTGCCTTAACGTTGCCTAGGTCGCTCCTAGTTACTGAAGCAATTAATATCAATCATTATTGATAATTATTTTTTGTCTTTGCTTTGAATGTTTCTACTTGTGAAACTACCTCAACTGCCCTCGCATTTGGTACCCCTTTGTGACTACTCAATCAATAATTTATGTTTTGAGGAATTACATCTTGATAACGAAGTGAAGTTCACTTTACCCCGAGCACGCTGGTAATGTCATTTATTATTTAGAGCAAATTACATTCATATTCTTTGGTTTTTAATAAAATTTTGTTCGATATTTTTTATTACAACGTTTTAACATTTTTTGACTCAGCATTGCATAAAAAATCAAAAAAATATTTTGTATAATCGAGAAAGAAATACAGTATTATATAATTAAATAAATTAAGAAGTTTGTGTATGGTAAAAAATAGAGGAGTATCAAATAAAATTTTATTAAACTTAATAAGAGTATAATTATAATTTTTCATATTATTCATCATCCTATATATATATATTTAGGATTGCTTGCACTATTCCTTATAAATTAATGACATTGCTTTTATGCTACTAGCGTATAAGTTAAAAAGTTTTTTTAAAAAATTGTATGATTCAAAACTATAAATAGTTTCGATTAATCAACACTTAACAACTCAAGCAATTTTTTAATACTATTTCAAATGTTATATTGATTAGTCGGGAGCATACAAAAATTTCTCTTCAAATAGACGTTATATGTGTTGATCTCAAGTTGCATCAACCACCTTTTGATATACCTGAAAATAACAGTACCATTCCCTTCAATGCTTTTGATCGTGCATAATTAAGATTTAGGTGAACTTTCTTTGTACCATTAGTGCATGTACAGCCAAAGTCATAGGTCGGGCCTCACAGTTCCTTTCCATTTTCACTGACCAACTAATTCTAGAAAATAATTATTACAGTTGAAAATCACTCATGTTTCATATTTTGTATTATTTGAAAATATGTTAAAAATTTTAACATAATTTTAATAAAAAAAATCATTAAATTTATATATATTTTAACGTGAAATGATAAAATTAAAATATTTGTTAGAAATTAGTTAAGTCTCTTAGTAATTAATTAATTCTATAGACTATATAAGCCTTTTTCTCTTGTAATAATAAAAAAAAAACTTTTCACTCATTCATATTAATACAAGTTTACATTTTTTTCTATTTTAATTTTATTATTTTTTCTGAGCTATGTTTAGAGATTAGTTAAATTTATTAATAGTTAGTTAATTTTATGTACTATATAAGCTTTTTATTTTTTCTTGTAATAAATTTTTTTTTTCACTCATTCATATTAATACAAATTTATATATATTTTATTTTAATTCTATTATTTTTCTTGAAATATGTGTCTTCACTTGATATCAGATTCATGATACCCACCATAAGCTTATGATTCTACTGCATTCTCAATAGAGAGAGAATCTCACACTCTATATTTGTTTATCCTGTTTTGTGCCTAAATATTTCCTTTTTTTTTTGTTTTGCTTTTTTCTTCAGAAATTTTGAGTTCGGAGATTGTCACCCCCTCCCACCATCGTCACCACTGTGCACCATTATCAACAACTCCATAAAACGCCGATCACCGCCATCTTCTTCTTCCTCCGGCCAACCCAGCACCAAGAAACACTTCTGCGACCAAGAAGACCTTTTCCTTCATGGCATCTCTCCACTATATCCATTACCCTCAACCTTAACTCCCTCGTCAACAAGACACGCTCTTTCCCTGTTTCGCCGATGCGTCTCCGACCCTATCACTCACATTCAATGAAAGAAAGAACGAGAGCTCCTTCCATTTCCTCACTCCGAAATCAAAGTTCAAGGGTTAAAGTTTTTTTTTTTTTTTTTTTCTGATCTTCGAATTTAGGGGTCAATGGCCGACCAACCGGAAAGCATCGTCACCACCGGCGGCGACGAATCGTCATTGGACAAGATTAGCGAGAAGCTTCACGGTCACGATTCTTCTTCCTCTTCTTCCTATTCCGACTCCAAAAAAAAAAAATGTTACTTCATCCGCTAAGGATAAGATTTTTCACCTTTTTTGGCGGGGAGAAGCCCATTCATTCCGTTTTGGGCGCTAGAAAACCTGCTGACGTTTTGTTGTGGAGGAACAAGAAAAAATCTGCTGGTGTGCTTGGGGGAGCCACTGCTGTTTGGGTCTTTTTTTGAGTTGCTTGAATATCACCTTCTTACTCTAGTCTGTCACATTTTAATGCTGCTGCTTGTTATTCTGTTCTTGTGGTCCAATTTCCGTACTTTTATCCACAAATCTCAACCTCGCATTCCGGAAGTTCATCTTCCTAAGGAGCCATTCCTTCAAGTTGCGTCTGCATTGAGAATTGAAATCAACCGAGGATTTGATGTTTTGCATAATATTGGTTTTGGAAGAGATTTGAAGAAATTCCTAACAATTTTGTTCGGCCGAAGATTTTTTTTTTTGTTGTTGGTGGTTTTTATCTGGTGTAGTGAGATAAAATGTGGCTCACAAGCCGTTTGATCAAGTTTTTTTTTTTTTTAAATTTCTCTTACATTCGTGAAGATCGACAAATGTAACGGTTTGCTCCTATTATTTTGTTATTGTTTTAGTCTTGTTTGGCTTAATTTTTGGACTTCTTTCAAGTGATTTTCTTTCAAGGGATTAAGTGTTGAGGTATCACTTCTATTTGGTGGTCAAGTTATGATATTTTTAGCTTCTACCTTTGTTACGGTGGTTAAATTTATAATGATAATAGCTTTTTCTTTAGATGGTTAAGCGTTTAGTTTCAACTTCTGCCTTACTGTGGTTAATCATGATCTTTCTTCTTTAGTGGTTAAGTCAATGTTGATGAAGGCTTCTTCTTTGGATGGTTAAGCATTGATTTTTATTGTTTTTGCTGGATGGTTTAAGTGTTGAAACTCATTTCTATCTAGTATTCTAGCTTTGATCATATTACAGGCTTATTGGTACTAACCTTTATTTTTTTTCTTTGGCTAATGTATTTCTGATTTTTTTACTTGTCTTATGCATTTGTGTTTGATGAGAATCAAGAAATGTTCATTGAAAACAAAGACTTAAAGGTATTGAAAAAACTTCAAGGACAACAAGGGTAAAGGCAAAGAAAATAAATGGAGATTTAGAAAAGATGGTTGTTGTTCTAATTGAAAGAAAGCTTAATTTGGAGTTAGAAAAGCTTAAGATAGTTAATTACATATGCTTAGAAAATTTGAACTCTAATGAGTTTTATTAGGATTTAATTATTATGTCTAGTTTATTTATTTTAATATTAGTTATTACTTATTTTGAGTTTTTATTTAGGATAAAATATTGTTATTTTATTTAGTTTATTTGAATTTAGACTTGTTAGTACAAGAAGCCTAATTAGGATTTGTGTTAGAATTAGTTTATAAGTATTAGATATATATAAGTTCTTGTAAACATACTTTTAATTAGTTTTGAATACAAATTGAGCTTGAACACTCTGGTAAGAGGTGATTATAAGCTCTTAAGTGAACCAATTTTCTTTAATCTTATCAAGAGGTCAAGATTCTTGTGGTGATCGTTCTTTAGCTTATCAATTTTATGATTGTGACATCATTTTCCATCTCTATTCTATTTTTATTTTTTATTATTTTTCTTCTTATTTCAATTCATATTTGTATCCGAATAATTTCGTTTTTATTATATGAAATTTAATTTAAGATTATTTAATTCGACAACATGATTTGTGATGGTCATCAATGTTGTTCATCCTAAGCTTGAAGTGTAGCACTTCTAGCTTGCAGGGAGCTGTTAGAGATTAGTTTAGTTGGTTCTATGGCCTATATAAATCTTCTAGTTTCTCTTGTAATAAAAAAAAAAAAATCTTTTCACTCATTTGTATTAATACAAGTTACATTTCTTTTATTTTAATTTTATTATTTTTTGAGCCATGTTTCTTGAAAATACTTGTATTTTATTTTTCAACAAAAAAAAAATATTATGTGATTAAAGAATGTTACGATGATAATCATTAATTCACTTTCCATTTTTACCGACCAACTAATTCTAGAAAACAATTATTACAGTTGAAAATCACCAATGTTTTTATATTTTGTGTTTATTTGAAAACATGTTAAAAAGTTTTAACATGATTTCAATATAAAAAAAATCATTAAAATATATATACACTTATATATATATTTTAACGTGAAATGATGAAATCAAAGTATTTGTGTTTTATTTTCCAACAAAAAAAGTATAACCTGAGTGAAGAATGTTACGATGATAATAATGATAACCATGATGATGATTATAAAGACACGTGATTTTTTTTACTGGAAAGAGAATAAAGGAGATGAAATCTCATTAGACATCAACAAGAAGTTACGATTATAATTAATACAGTAAAATATGATTGTTTGAGGAATTATGGTGACTCTCTTTCCCTTGAAAATTTATTTTGTCATCTTTAGGCAGAATTATTAATCATGTTTCTGTTGATGGTTATAAATGCATGTAATAAAGGTAAACTTTTCCAAGGACAGGAAATTACAGAATACAATGGTTCTTATTTCTTAATATTCCAAGGGCGGGAAATAATTTCATCTACACAAAATTAGTCATTTCATCAAGTACAGAGAACCATTCTAGCCAAATTTCACAAGCTTTGACTACATTTCTATTCTCAAGTAAAATTGAAACTACATCATTGATGTGGAGTTTAATACATACTCCTACATCAAATAAAAAAAAAATGTCATTGTTTACACAGAGGGATTGTTAACCAAAAAAATATTACATCAAATTTATTAATCAATAATTCTCCGGAATGCTCTCTAAAGCTGGCCTCCAAGAATTTATGCCCCCATCATGTTCATGTTCACCAACCCCTGAAATTCTTCCTCCTCTCAACTTCACAGCACCTAGTAATTGCTCAAGTGTAGTGTGCTTTGCATCATCCTTGCAGCTCAACATCCTCTTCAACTCTTCCTGGGTCATCACCAGCCTAATCCTCACAGACCCACTCCTAGAATCACCATGACTCCCTCTATCACCTTCATCAATATCATTTTGTAACTTGAACCTTACCTTCTTCATGCTTTGTTCCTTCCTTGGTGTTTCTAACTTGGACAATGGACATGTCTTTCTTAGCTCATCCCTTGCTTCAATTACTGAAGCTTCATAGCTATCATGATCTTGGGATGATATTTTGTTGTTTCTCAAACAGTTTCCCATGTTAATAACGAAGCTTTTAACCCAATAACAAAAATAAGATATGGGAGAGTGTGTGATCCAAAGGTGAACCATAAATAGAGAGTGGGGAAGAGGAAGCACATGGGGTATCCGGTTGTTGCGCCGGGTAATGGATATAAAGAAGTGGGGATTCTCTTGCTTGATTCCATCATCATCACCATTCAATTATGCTTTTCCCATGCTCATTCGTTTCATACTATATGCATGAATATTTTACTACTGATCTAAGCCGCGTCTCTTACCGTAAGCATAATTCATGTTTGAATAAAAAATTGAGATTAATTTGAATTGAAGTATTTTATTATCACAATTAATTTTAAATTAATAATGAATAAGTTATGACTTTCTTCATTTTAAAGAATTGCAAAATTCAAAAAGTTATATAATAAAGTTTTTTTTTGGTTTTTTAGCAAAAAAAAAGTTCTAATGATTTTAATTTAAATCAAATAATTTGAATTTAACTAATAAGAATTTTTATCGTTATGCATCATATGTTTTAAATTGAGATAAGTATAAAAAAATAATAAAAATATTTCAAGTTTTCTGAAATTTTCATAATCAATTTGTGACAATGTTTTTATAACAATTTTTATTATACTAAATGATCTGTCATTGACTTGAAGTGAAAGCTAGCTATAGAATGATTATTATTGGACAGATATATGAAAGCTATCCATCTCGTTAATTAATGGTAACGGTGCTACCTTTCATTGGTGTTGTTATTAAGCGGGTTTAAAATTTTCTCCTAAAAAGTTGAGATATTTTCATTGATCATATATATATAATCAATTATTTAACTAACTTTGATGTGACTAAAATAGATAAGCTTTATATTATGAGACATCTGGTGTTATTGTGAATAATTGGCTCTTTATTCATGTAGTTATTTAAATTTTTTTATTAAATTTACCGTTTCTTTTTCTGTCTCTTGAAAAAAATAAAACTGTTAAATAAATATATTTAAAATTATAAAAATAAATATTATTGATTTAAAACAATATAAATTTATTTTAAAAAATAAAAACGAAATGTGTTATTTTAAAGAAATAATAAATTATTTAAAGATTAAGTTAGTTTCAATTCTCAAAAGATATAAAAGCTTGAATCATTTATTATCAGGAAAGTAACATTTGAACTTTATTATATGCCATATTTCAATATAACAGAACATGGGATTAGTCCAATAATTCCCAAAATTAAGTGATAATAAGCTCGAAATTGATGCCCTCTAATCACTGCTCAAAAAGCGGTACATCTGATTGATAGCACCACACAACAAAGTTAACATCAATCTCATGCATTCCACTTGCATAGCTGTGAGGGTCAATGTGTTGCAACCAATTAAATTTAGTCAAACATGTTTTCAATTCCTCTATTTAACAATTGTATTTCAGTTCCACCAAACATTGAATTTTTTCTTAAAAAAAATAGAGAGAGAAAAACCATTTGTCATTGGATATTGTATTTAAACTGTAGCAAGTAAGCAATCCTCTTTGAATAATGAATTTATACTGCATTTTAAGGGATCATTGTTTTATAGTTAAAGAATTGTTTTTGTATTTTCTAATACAAAATATACATTCCAATGAAAATAGGATTAAAATTCTTCTTATTTATTAGATGATTTTATTTTAAAAGCAACAAATTCATGTATTTTGTTGGTTTCACAGTGTATATATAAACATAGTTCATGTTAATTTATGCACGTATTTTGAATATTTTCAACATCTTATCAAAATTATTTTTTTTCAACTTTAAACTAAACTCAATTTTAATGTTGTCCCAGTTGACTTTACAACGAGAAGTAGCTTTTTTTTTTATGCAAAATCAAACCTTAATTATTATCATATGTTTTTACATGGAAGCAATTTATAGTCTCCAAATTATATAATTAATTAGTGGAAAACTAAATGCATTAACTAAAATTATTCGAACTAGCGTAAAGAAAACCAAAAAGTAGTCAAAACGTTGAAACGTAAATGTCATGCAAACCTAAACAAATGTAGATGGAAATTCATCTTTGTGGCTAACTACAATGAATGTGACCAGAATTTAAGAGGTAAGGGAAATTTATGTGGCATTGGATAAGGTAATGAAATCTCACGTGAAGACGAAGGATAGTGAAGCAATGTTACAGCACAAGACATTGACACCATTTATTCTTGAAGCATTGTATATGGTCCCTTTTAGCATAAGAGTTGTTCATCTGTTTAAGGGTCTTACGTGTAGCAATTGCCAGCCAAATGGGGCATCTCTTCACATGGGATAAGTAATTGCTCATCTACTTCTGTTTCTTTCACACTTCCATGCATATTGTTGGAATCTTGTAATTAAAAGATCTATCTAAAGTAATTGGAAGAGAAACACTGTGCTTCCAAATTGAGATTGCTTTATGTTTGGCAAAGTGAAATTTTAATTAATTACTAGTATCTCTGTAATTCATCAAAGATCTTAGCTCCAATGAGAATCAAAGACAGTTTTTGCATGCCAAAATTTGTTTAAAAAAATTAAGATATTAATATAATCAAATTTGACATGTTAATAGATCTTTCATATTATATTTTATAACTAAAATTCAAAACATGTTTGGTTTTTTAATTGAGTTATAAATGCTATATTTTTATTTTATAAATTTTATTTTAATTTTTTTTATTAATTTATAAAAAGATACGTTTAATTAAAATACGAGTAACAAGTCCAATTACCAATGTTCATAAATACTTAAATCAAGTTTTTTATATTCTTCTCGTCAAGTTCTTTAATTAAATAATGTCATATGGATTTTCATTTAAAATTTTATAACATATTCAATAGAAGTTGTTTATTATTGAAAAAAACTCCAAGCCTGAAGTTTGAATAAAAAAATGATTTTTTTAACACATTCTTTTTGATACATTATTAATTATTAGTTAAAATTCATTAAAAATTATAAAAAAACAAAATAATTAAATTAAGAGTGAAAAAGAGAAAGACTCATGTTACTTTTATAATTTTTAATAAATTTTAAGTCATCTAAAAAAATTCTGTTGTTTAACATTTCTCTAAATTTGAACATCAACGCTAAAATTATGTAAATATAAACACAAATTAATAAGTCTTTTTATTTTGCTTAGTATAAATTTGAATGCTTCATTACATTATCGTCCCTGTTTATGCATGCCAAAGCAAAGCCGATAACAGTTCTCACGTATGTCAAGAAGTGTGCAAACTAATCCTTAATGAATGGGAGAATGAAGGTTGATGAACTAAAATGATTAATGGGTCCAAAGTTTTTCTCATTATTTTTCGTAAAGTTCACATATAATGGAATTTTAAGTCTTATCCTCTGCCTGTAATGATTGTGTATAACTTAACAAAACTCACGTCCCACATAATTCATACAATATATTAGTTTAAGTTTTGTTATTATTAGTTCACATATAGTTTTTTAAATTTGAAATTAAAAAATACAAAATAATTAAGTAATGATAGATTTAGTCTTTATTTAAAATAAATAAATATTAACCAATTTTCTAAAATATTAGTTAAAGAAATAAAAATAAAAATATTATTTTTCATATTTTTAATTATATTAATATAATTTTTTAATTAATTTTTTTTTCAAATTGTTTAACTATTATTCTTAACGCGGCCTTTCAATATATTTTAAATTAAAATCAAATACAGCCTTATTTTTATAATTAAAAAAATTGGAACCGCAAACTAAGAATAAGGTTGATAATATATTATCAGTAAGAACAAATCATATTTTTAATCGTTATAAATATAGTCAAGTTTTTATTTTATTTTATTTTAACTCCGGAACTGGTTACCCTTATTTTAATATATTTATTGATGTAACATTATTAAATATTTGTCATGTTGCTATTAAATAATGATAAATATTATTTTAATATATTTTAAAATTTATAAATATATAAAGAATAATTAAAATTTTTAATAGTTTACAATCATGTAATTAATTATTCATGATGTCTACCACTAAATAGAAAGACTTGCTAATTGACTTGGCTTTGGTTCTCTCAATCCAACGGTGCCTGCTTCCTCTCACTGCCATCGGACGGGTAAAACAGCAACTTTGTTTGTCTACGTTAGAACCAACTAACGAAGCTACCTCTGTCACGTGTTCTGCACGTGACCATCCTTCCTATTATGTCTCTCTCTCTCTCTCTCTCTCTCTCTCTCTCTCTCTCTCCATGTCTGAACTCAGTTGTGAGTGATTCAGTGAGTGAAGCAGTGAAAAGGGTTTCTTGCATTCTTTTCACTCCTTTTCTTTACTTTGAAATTCACTTCTTTCTTTGTCATTTATTTTGGGTTTGAACTTTGCATTGAAGCTTTTCCTTTGAGATTGTGAAGTTGGGACCAACCTACTTAATGTTCACTTTTGGATTCATTGTCTTGGTTGGTGAAAAGCTGCAAATATGAAGGGATTGCTCTCTCGTAGTTTCCTTCTTCAGATTACTGTGTTTCTTCTTGTTCTTCTTCTGTGTATGTGTTACATTGCAGATATCTTCATGACCCTTAACTGCTAACTTAACTTTTATTATTAAAATTTTCACTTAGTTTTAAAGTCTTCATCTTTATGGTTTCGTCACTGAATCTGTGTTATATATAATAGTGAATTTGCAATATGCATTGGAATTATGCATGCATCTCAAGTAGAATATAACTTGTACTGTTGAATATTATATACTTTTGGTGCAAATCATGATGAGAAAGGATCTTGATACAATTTTCAAGGTGGTGTTCATTTTTATGTACACTGTATAATGCCAATGAACTACCAGAGATAATAGCCAAACTCTCAGAATTTTATTTTATTTTTTTAATTAAACTCACAAGAAGGGAAGGTGTCATTCCATGACATGGTGTATAATTTTTCTGCTCGTACATGATAAAGTTATGCAGTGTGTCAGATATCTGAATGCTGAATATGAGTCTACTTATTTTGAGACCTTAGGCAATGTAGGAGTATTTCATTTTCTTCTGGAAATATAACTCCTGAACCTGAAAATTACCCTTATGCAGTTTTGAACAAGTCCCTGGGCTCTCCAATCAGGGTTGCAAAATATTCCTTTTCTATGACAACTAAGGTTGATGTGCAGCCTCCTACTGTCCCTCCAAGTACACAGCCACAGCCCTTAATTCCTCTTCTAGCTCCTTCCCTATTGAGACCTTTCACAAATAATTCTGTGCCTAAGTTATCAGGTATGGTTTACTTTTCTTTTTCAGTCTGTCAGTGTGAAAGCTTACAGTGTGTATTTTCATTGCTAATTTTTCGTTTCACAAATGCTGTCCACCCTTTGACACATTGTAGTTATTTTAGTTGTTGAAATTACGGGGTTTTGGGTATAGAAAGAGGAAGAGAGATGAAAGAGAACAAAACACTGAATTGATATTGACTGAGATGGGTTACATTGTATTGTGGGATGTTCGTAGAGCCTAGATCACTAATCCTTATATATACTAATTAATCATAATCCTAACTAATCAGGAAAGCAAATCTTGGTAAAGAAATATGGTAGAAGGGAAACTAATCCTGAGAATAGTCTAAGATTTGTTAAAATATTTTCCTATATTCTAACATTGGTGAACAGAGGGAAGTAGGGGTAGGGCCAGGATTTTAACACTAGGAGGCCAAGATCAAAATAGATTGATATGTCTTCAAATATTTAAGTCAAAGTGAATTTACTTGCCATAGCATATGAGCATGAAGGATGAGGACTGTTGAATGATGCAGTGTGAAATTAGATAGCAGTACTACTGAAAGTGTAACACTGGTGAGTCAGTGCTATGTTAAGGTGCAATTGTATGGGTTTGTATTGAGCTCCAGCACCTGGAGATCTGTTGCTATTTTTTTCTGAGTAAAAAGGTGAACAACAGGTGCAATGATGCGCAGATTCAGCAGCATTGGTGCTATATATGGGTTTGTGTAAGGGCTATGGTGTCTGGTTTGTCCTCTTTAGGTGGTCTGCATGCAAGTGCTATGTTGATTGGTGAGTTCAATTTTTTGCGTTCATGTGGTTATGGATGTGTGGTGAAATTGTTGCGATGTGGGAAGCTGGTGCAGGGTGTGTTATGAAGCCTTTAGTGGTGTGAGATGATGTACAAGAGTGACCACCAAGTTACATAACACAATTCATAAGCATAAATGAGAAAAAAAATAAGTAATTTTTGGGGAGGGGGTTGGAGGACCATGGCTCCTTTATGTAATTCCCTCCCTCCACTCCTGAAGGGAAGCACATCTTGTTAAATAAACTGTGAGAGTCTCTAATGACAAATGCATAAAAAAATGTTTTCAAATCCTTCATTTTTTTAGTTGGATTTGGGTATCCTTGCATATTAGGGATTCCTCTGCAATTATTCCATGCTTCATTATATGATATAAATCCATCACTATAAATAGTATCTTGCCAGAAGACAGCGAAATCACTTATATTTTCCTTGAACATGCTATTGCACTTGTGTACTTAGCACATGTGCCTATCTTGAAGTGCTTTGGATCACAAAACCTTCTGGTCAGTGAGATGACCTGGAATTCCCTTTTACTTCCAGGCCTTTGTTCATTGAATTTCTCAGGTGCTCAAGATACAATGACCACAACTGCTACTGATTGCTGGACTTCCTTTGCTCCATATTTGGCAAATGTTGTATGTTGTCCTCAATTTGATGCCATGCTGGTGACCCTCATAGGGCAATCAAGCAAATACTCTGGGGTGCTAGCTTTGAACACAACTCATGCTAGTCACTGCCTCTCTGATGTACAGAAGGCCCTGGTCAGTCAAGGAGCAAATGAGGACCTAAAAAATATCTGTTCAGTCCATCCAACAAATCTCACTGAAGCCTCTTGTCCTGTTGTATTTGTTGATGAATTTGAGAGCATGGTAGACACTTCAAGACTTCTGACTGCTTGTAGAAAAATAGATCCTGTAAATGAGTGTTGTGATCAAGTTTGCCAAAATGCTATACATTATGCTGCTAGAAAAATTGCCTTGAATGATATGTCTAATTCATATGGAAACCATAGCTTGCCTGGGCAGACAGCCAGGATCAATGATTGTAAGAATATCGTCCTTCGTTGGCTGGCTAGTAAACTTGATCCATCTACTGCAAATAGTCTTTTCAGAGGACTCTCAAACTGCAACCTTAACAAAGGTGAGTAAAGAAGAAAAGAATAAAAATAAATTAATACATTCTCATTTATCATATTTGATTATTACACTTTTGGCAAATTTATTGGAATATAATGCATACATCTGACGTGGTGTTGTTCAATGTTATTATAATATTTCACTCAGTCTGCCCGCTGGTTTTTCCAAATGTCACAAGTGTTGTGAACGAATGTGGAAATCTGATAAGTAACAAGACTGCTTGCTGCACAGCCATCAAAAGTTATGTGTCCTCTTTGCAAGAACAGAGCTTTGTGACCAATCTGCAAGCCTTGAAATGTGCTGTTTCACTAGGAAAGAAATTGCAGAAAGAAAATATCTCCAAAGATGTTTATAATCTTTGTCATATAAGCCTAAAGGACTTTTCTCTTCAAGGTTGGCATTTTTATATTTTCCTTTCTTGTGAAACTTCTATTTTACCCTTTCTGTAAGTACTGATACAGATACTGATACTCATTCTTTTCTGCAATTTATTGGTAATGATGGTTGGATCTTCTCATGGATGAATCAGTTGGATCACAAGGTATCATTTATAGCCCGGATTTTTTATAGATACATAGCTTTTTCCATGCTGTTTATGTAATTTTGGAATTTCTACTTTTTCCTTGTACCCCATTCTCATCAAAATTACAATTTATTAAATTCTAGTTAGGAATGACTATACCTTGGGATCAAATGTTTAAAATAAAGCGTACAATAACTTCACTGCTATGAATAATTTGTCACGCAACTTGGCAGTAATTTTAGCTGAGTCAAATGTTTCATTTTTAATGACAGTTGATGGCAACCAGACGATCTCATGCGTAGTTATGAGATTAATTATTGGAGAAAAATATGCATGCTACTTTAACTGAGTTAATTTAAGTGATATAACGTTGTATATTTATGCAGTTTATATATCAGATTCTTCTGGCAATTGCATCTAATTTTCCTTGGCGTTGAAGTATCTAAATTAATCTATCATTTCAATTTCATCTAGTATCTGGGTGCCTTTTGCCGAGTCTGCCTTCAGATGCAACATTTGATGAAACTTCAGGGATTGGATTCATTTGTGACCTTAATGACAACATTGTAGCGCCGTGGCCTTCAATGTCGTACCTGCTTCCATCCTCATGCAATAGAAGTATGTGTAAGCTACTCCTTTATATACCTTTTCCCTTTCTGCCACATTGTGTTGTCTTTTCCTTGCAATATTGCTACTGTGTCCGAAGACATATCTTCACTGTTGTAGTATGTATAATTCACTTGTTCCTTGAATTCATGGCTATGCAGCTACAAAACTTCCATCCCTTCCAACAGCAACATCTTCACAAAATGGTAAGCAATTCACACTTATTTATTGGTACAAACTAGCTTTTTATGTCCGATCTTTTCTTCATTTTGAGATCACTTTGTTAGTTATAAAAGGTGCATCCTCTCCCTTTCATCTATGGTCTATTTATAGACTGTTTGGCTAAAGTCATAATCACTATTACAGTCATAGAAACCGATTTGCATGGTAACCTAGTGTGTTTGGCTAACATATTTTGTTTTCCACATCAATTATACGGTGAGTAGAATTGATTTTGAGAGAAGTGAAGGTTTTTTTATTATTATTTTCCATTGACAAAAATTGATTCTTGGCATGCGACCCACAAAATATATTTATATTATACTTCAAAAATTATTGTAATATATCATTTGTTATAGATATATCATTGGAATTTCCATTTGTTGCAGGTCTTTTGATTAATACCTTGGTTTTGCCTCTCCTCTTCACCTCTATACTACTTCTCAAGAGGCTTCTTTAATCCAGAAGTTCTTTATATTCGAGTTCTTTGGCTACAGTGATTTTTCAAGATAAAGATGGCTATTCTTTGAGGTTTCTGGGAAGGACAAAATGTCCTTATTGGTACCCAATCTGTCTATATTGTCACTAGCAATGAGTAGAGAGATCCTACATTCAGATAGTCTTTCGGGTAGATATTTTACTGTATTCTATTACCATATCATTGTTCAACATTCTTTGAAATTGTAACAAGTTTTGTTTCTTTAAAATATAAATATAGAAAGGGTTATCGTAAGTCCTTTTTCCCACTCGATAACGATGATATTTCATTGTTGGTTGCTATAGAAAATCAATTGGTATTTCTTTTGATGAGATTCTCACACATGATCATTTGACTTCTCTAATTGAAGAAATAAATTATTTTAAATTAATGAAAAAATTATTTATTTTTTGTACTAATTTTTTCTCTTAAAAGGACTTCTTTGTAATTTTATCCAAACTATGTGACATTTCCTCGAGGGATGGAGATCCTTTCCTTCCTTTGCAGCAGGTGATCTCTGCAACAATAATCTTAACTACACATCACATTCTCTTCTCTTAATTTTGGGCAAAAATTATATCAATGGTTGAGATTTCTGCAGGATACTGCTAAATCCAAATTTTGGTGGAGGGGATCCAAATTATCCCTGCAGAGGGGGTCTGACAGCGACATTATGTCTGTTTTCTCTAATCAAATGATTTTGTCATACATGGGAGTCACGTGAGAGATTTAATTCCCAAATTTTGCATATAAATTGATTTTGTGTGGTGATGTGGTTAAGGTTGTCCCCTTTCAACACCCAAAACAATGAGAACGTGATATGAAGGTTCTCAAATAGAAATTTTGCCCATGCACACTTCAACATTGCATTTTCGTCCTTTTTAAAATCTAGACTATAGGGATCATTTACAAGAGGTAATTAGGGTAGGATCTTTGTGAAGGGCCCAGCTCAATAATATTACCGTCATCTAATATAAATTAATATATTTTTATCTGTTGAAAATGAAGGAGTAAAAGGTACCATAATTGGGAGGAGAAAGGCTTCAATTTGGTTTCTAGCACTTGAGATATCCATTTTGGTTTATGTGGTCGGGGAGGCGAACTAATCCGTCTAATCGTCATTGATTTCGTCACGATAGCGCAATTATATTATATGAATGGGCATGTCCCTGTCGATAAGTTAGTAGCATATTCTGTGATATGTATGATGCCATTAATAACAGGGGAAGGTTCCATAATTAAATAATAACAAGAAGAATATTTTAAATAAAAGCAAGTTAAATAAGAATGATAATAAACACTTTTCAGTTTGAATTATACATGATTAGTGAAAGAAAGTCAACCTTATACCTGGTTTGAATTTGATTATAGAGAATTTTGATTTCCATAATTGGCCACGTGTTAATGTTTGATTCATATGCTAAACATCTTAATAGTATGAAAATGTGAGTAAACAATAAGAACGATATTCAATGAACAGTGACAACGTTAGACTTGAAGAACATAACATAAGACTAAACAAATCAGGACAGTTGATCTTACCTGTAGTTTCGATGGCTGAAAATTTTTAAGCTAACCGCCTCAAATTTTCAATGACATTTAAATTTTGGAGCACATCAATCACAAAAAATAATATTAAAATTAATTATGAGATAAATTTTGAAGCATTAATTAGAATTTGTCCTTACCTCTAGAAAGTAAAAAATATCGTCATTACTATGACTAATTTTAATTATTTTACTGTTCGAACTTTTTCATAATTATAAACAACTCAATAAATATTGTGTAAAATTTTTTGACGAATAGTAAAGAATTAGACTTTTTACTGGGGATTTTTAAAAGCATGTAATTATAGAATTATTCTCACCTCTAAGAAGCTAAGATTTTGCTGCTACTAGAAATAAGTATTTAATATACTAACAAATATTGTTTATTAGTTTTTTAATTATATATCTTTGAATATGCGTTAAAGAAAACGATAAAAGTATTGCCGCAGCTTGTCATTATTTGGTTGTTATGTGAAAACATGGAATGTATATTTACAACACAAAAGTTGATTGAAAAAAACAATAAACATGAAAATAGCAAACATTACACGGAAGTGAAGAAGCCAAAAAATTAGCAAATCGAATATCATTTTCATTCTGAGCCGCCAAAAGGGTGCTTTCTTACACACATTCATTCTCTTTCTATTATGCAACACTGTCGGCCAGATCCTCTCCATCTCTTTCTTTAATATGAATATTCCAAAAATAAAAGTAAAATTCAAAATTTAAATGTCATATAATTTTGTAATTTAATTATCAAAATTTTAATAAATATTTGTAATTCAATTTTTAATTAATCTTTCAATAATTAACATTATTATATTATCTGTTAAATATCAATAACGTGATCTTTTGTATAATTTGATAATTTATATTTTTTCTCTTTTTATCATAACTTTTCATCAATTTTTTTAAAATTTATAACTCATTTGGTCCTGAGTTATTTCTTTGATGTTAAATTATTGTTAATATATTTAGATTGTAAATGATGATAAAGATAAATTTGAAGTATTTTTTATTAATTTATTTTTTTGAAAATTAATTTGTTAATATATTTAGAATTGGCTTGGATCTCCCAAAATTAAACTTTATTTTAATGGAAAAATTGTTTACAGTAAGTTACTTACAAATGAAGAACAAAAATATAGAAGTATAGTTGGTTTACTTGTGTTCAAGGTGTCATTCTGCGCGAGAATCTTTTATGCATATGTTAAGGAATTATTTTTGTGCTTCTAAAATCTAGGATCAATTTATTTCCAAACTCTAATAGTGCAGATTTTTCAGCTTTGTATTGAGTAATTAGATTAAATTCTAATTTGGGTCATACTAAAATTAATTACCATAATCATTGAAAAATCTTGAATGATCGAAATTTATTTGTTTTTTCCAAGATTTTTTTTGTTTCTTTCTATTCTTATTTAGTTACCTTTGTCATGGGGCTAGTTTTAGCTTGCTGAATGATTTGCAGGAATTTGCCACTGTCAAATGGTCTTTTCTTGGCCATGATTGTGATCAGGTGTTGCAGTCTGTGGGGTCTCCTTTGTAAAGTAGATGATGAATTTGTTACCAATTTTATGTGCAAAGTAAGAGTATATACACCCATTGGTACCGAACTTTGGGCCATCTTCCTTGATTTTCAATTAATTAAGGCTAAGGTTGGCCAATATATTAGCTTAAAAGTTGATTCTATGATTTTAAAGAGACTTATCAAATAATTTATTCTATCTAAGTGTATGATGATTATTTTTCTCGTCTTATTAATGTTATTAGCTTAATATTTTAAGAAATGAGTTATAATTATTGTATTCATGTATTTATGAAACTAACTATTGTGAAAATATGTTAGCCAATATTTCTTATGATGAATTTAATGGTTGTATTATTTTAGATAAATCTTATGTTTTTTTAATTTTTCGTGTTAGGTAAAATGTTTTAGAAATTGGTCTTCTTGAACTTTGCAATTAAGTTGTATCTTTTTTTTTAACTTAATGTCCCATTCATTAAAAAACTATTTTAATTAAATTTTGAAATAAAATTCATTTTTCCATTTTGACAAATGATTGAAAAAATAAATAAATAAAAATAAAATAAATCAAGACTGTAGAAAGAATAAGGGTAAAGAATCAAAATCAAAATATATCAAATGCTGATTTTTATAAGTTATTCGTAGTTGAAATTATTTGTCTACAGATATCAATTTTTATAACGTAATAAGGGTTATAATTTTGTCATTGAAACTTGTAAAAGGTCTTATCTATCGCCACTCATCAAAGGATTAGATGATGGTCGTAAGCAAGTTGTCAACAACCGTTTTAATTTAGTCATTTTATTTTAATTTCTTTCTTTCTTTTTTCTTCAGTTCTTCTCTTTTCCTTTTATAATTTGTATTCTTGATTAATAATTTTTTAAACTAAAGTTAATTAATCACTGAAGAAAAGAAGTGATTTTCTTCCCCGAATTCAGATTCAGAATTCAAATTTAGATAAAAATTGATTTCTTTTTACATATAAACGCTAGCAGCCATTAAATATTTAACTATAGCATAATGAAAAGTAACTTACAATTTCGTAAGAGCGATGTGAATTTAATCTTTAAAATAAACTCTTTGAAGAGTTCATATAGTTTTTCTTTGAGAATTTTCTAAAATTACATGTATTGTTATATTAGTTTTGTAAGTTTTGTTAACCTAAACTATTAAGGTTGAGTTTAAGTATTTACAAATAATTTTTTTATAAAAAATATATAATTATTATATTAAAATTATAAAAATATAATAAATACTTCCCTTTCTAATAAAATTTTACTATTATTAATTGTTTATTCTCAATCCTAAAAGCTGACATTAATAAAATTTTAGTTTTGTTTACAATTTTTTATTATTAAACCATTTATTTAAAAATGTACCATAAAAAATAGTTATTTTAAAATATTTTATCATCATTTTAATTTTTAAAATTGATCTTTGAATTATTCTCTTAAAGATTTAACATGTCACTAAATTAAATTTTTTATCATTTTAGTTTTCAGTAAAGATTCATGCAATGATATTTTAGATTTTTAAGAAAATAATTTTGTAATAGAATAAGTTTTTAAAGTTTAAAGGATTAATTTATGACAAGAATCTTTAAAAACTAACATGACAATAAATTAAATTCTAAAGAAATTAGTTTAATGACTAAAATTTTAAAAATTTAATGCAGCAATATATGTAATGTTAGAGAAATAGCATGAGAATTTTCTCCATTTACTTTCAAATCTTGGAATTGGGTGTGTTTACAAAATTCTCTAAGCATATATTAAAAGTAATTATAAAATATATAGATAGTATCTTACATTTCCTCTCACTAATGAATTACTCTTGAAAAAAAATAAAATAAACTACTCATAATGGAGCTTTCTTTCTTTTGGTCATATATTAATCCTAAGTCCCAACCAAATGATTGTCCATGGTGGGGTCTAAGTTTTTTGCTTTTCAAGCTTAGACACACGTGACTTGAAAATTTAACTTATATTTTTAGCCAAAAAAATAGCATCGAGTCAAAAATTTATGAGTTGTAATTAGCTTCAACTTGGGCATGCAAATGAATCTCTTACATGTTTAAAATATACATGCCTCATAACACAGCTTTACATTACACCGTTGGGAATTGAAGTTCCCATTCAATAATTTCTCCAAAAATAATTATTTGACGCTCTATCTTAAAATGTTAAATAAGTATGAAAATAAATAAATATATATAAAAAATAGAAAAGTTAATAATTTCCCCGTTACAATTACCAGCACATAAATTGCAGGTATATAAATATGCCTCCTCTTACGTACGGTACAGAACATTATTTCTTTGTGCATTTAGTAACGTATAATAAAAATTCATACATAAAAATTAATATTTATGTACGATAATAAATATTATATATCAAAATATGAGACTTTGGAAAGAATTATAAAACTAAAAAATAATTGCTATCGATGATATTTTATTTTTGAAAATTCAAAAATTGCTCCGACGATTTTGTGTGGTCAACGATTGTTGTGTTCTTGAAAATAAAAAATGGCAAATCTTGGATCTTGGGTTTCCCATAATTTTCTTCAAAATTAAAATATAAACATTTTAAATAAATGTGAAGTTGATGCGTGTTTAAGTTTTCACCTATATAATGCCATTGATTTTTTCGAGGAGGTTGAAAAGAAGCATTTCCTTTGTTAGTGGCTGAGCCTAAAAGCCTCGTGGGGAGCAGAGGAAAAGGGTAACAAACAAGTTAAAGCTGGTTGGGACATGGATTCTACATCAGTGCGTAAGGACGTTGATGAACCTTTGCTTGTTCCGAGCGAGCCACCACCACCTTCTTTGACTCAATCATCAAACTCCAATTCCAAACATGGATCAGATGGCGAGCTTGAGCGAATACTCGCAGATACAAGTGTCCCTTTGTTAAGGCGTCTTGGACCCGCAACATGGGTGGAGTTGAAGCTTTTGCTTCGCCTTGCTGCCCCAGCTGTTGTTGTCTACCTTATTAACTATGTCATGTCTATGTCCACCCAAATCTTTTCCGGCCACCTCGGTAACCTCGAACTTGCTGCTGCTTCCCTTGGAAACACCGGCATCCAAATCTTCGCTTATGGACTTATGGTACATCTTCTACTTGTTTTATTTTGTTTCAATGATATATGTTTAATTTGAACAAGATTATGTTTTTTAGAAAATATATTTGATCTAGACAAAAAAAAAATCTCTAATATACCACCCATACCACTGCATAATCAGTCCACACTTTCCAAGCGGTTGTGTTGTATCATTGAACTTATGGAAATTTGTGGATAAATGAAGCTGATACAAACGCAATTATGTTACAGTTACAATTGTAGTTGCAAAGTGCAATTTAAAATCTTCATTAATCAAACATTAAAATAAAAATGAATCAAGATCCACCTCTGTATTTTTGTTTCCTACTTGTCTACAAAGTTACTATATTTATGGCACATATTCTCTCAGAATGTCTTTTTAATGAATAATATACGATCAATCTGTGGTGGGTAGCAATCAATTTAATTGAAATTAGCATATTTTTCAGTTTACTCTGAGAATTTAATTTTTTATTGAATCTAATAACATGGTATAGTATGATTCATATAGCTAACCTCCCTCAGTAAAATGAGACTTCTGCTGTTCCTATCATGGCTCCAATTCACTTATTATTTTCATAATTGATGGTTTTGATGAACAGTTGGGTATGGGGAGTGCTGTTGAGACACTATGTGGACAAGCATATGGTGCTCAAAAGTTTGAGATGCTAGGCATATACTTGCAAAGATCAACAGTGCTTCTGACATTAGCAGGTGTACTTTTGACTGTGATATATGTTTTCTCTGAGCCAATTTTAATTTTTCTAGGGGAGTCCCCAAAAATTGCATCCGCAGCTGCAATTTTTGTCTATGGCCTAATCCCTCAAATTTTTGCCTATGCTGTGAACTTCCCTATTCAAAAGTTTCTCCAAGCGCAGAGCATAGTGGCTCCAAGTGCCTATATTTCAGCAGCAACATTGATCATCCACCTTGTGTTAAGTTGGGTGGTTGTGTACCAAGTTGGACTTGGTTTATTGGGTGCATCATTGATGTTGAGCTTTTCTTGGTGGATAATTGTGATTGCACAATTTGTGTATATTGTGAAGAGTGAAAGGTGTAAGCATACATGGAAGGGGTTCACTTTTCAAGCCTTTTCAGGGTTGCCAGAGTTCTTCAAGTTGTCAGCAGCATCAGCAGTGATGCTGTGCCTTGAGACATGGTACTTCCAAATTTTGGTTCTGCTTGCAGGATTGCTTCCTGAACCTGAGTTGGCTCTGGATTCCCTTTCTATTTGGTAAGTGATTTTCTTTTTAGCTATACTTTTGAATACTCCACGTTAGTAGCATGTTTAATTTAACCTAAATATAAAATAATTGTTTGTTTTTTAAGTCTCTTTCAAGAAATTAAAAGAAATAAGCAATTATTCTTTTATTTTTAAAAAGAAACTTAACTATATATGTACAAATTATATAGTGATTGTTTGTCAACTTGTTACCTTGTAAATACTACATTCTAACAACGGTTCTAATAAACATAGGCTAATTTTTAGTGTTAGCAAAACCGTTCTGCGATGAATGACATATCTTTGCATAAATATTTAGCAGTTCTAATTTTTAGGGTTTTTTTTTTCATTTATATAATGTCGGGTGAAATTATTTTTAGATTTGGAATGTTATACATTACAAGTCTATTGGGATTACACTTCACATGTTGTGTCACCAACCATGATAAAAGACAACAGGGGCAATTATAAATGTAGGTATTGAGACGAAAACAAACATGCCTGTAAAATTTTATTTGCCAGAAACTTCAGAATTTTATTTGCTGATTTCTTGGTTAGAGTCATCTTTGCCAATGCTTCTAGGTTTGATAGGAGGGGGATAAAAACTAAATTAGATTATTCAAAGCAGAAAAGTTGAAACAGTGACTGGACTGAGTAAGGGAAGAACCTAATTCTTGTTACCTTATTTGGTTCAGGAAGAATATAATTAAAAAATGATGTTTTTACATTTCAAATTAAAAAGAGAGAAATATGATGAATGTGATGGATAATGTAATAAAAAAAAATAGAGAGAAATAAATGTAAAAAAGAAAAGAAGCTAAATTTTAAATTCAATTTGTAGGCGATAACTATTAATCCAAGGATGAAGTAGGGCCACAATCTTTAATGGCGTCTAAATAGCAACTCACATGGCTGCATAATTTTGGCTTGTTGTACTTTTATTGAAATTAAACAAAAATCTTTATTGCAAATAAAAATCTTCTTGGTAAAACTTTTGACAATTTAGAAAGCTGAAATTTTTTGCAAGATAATCACATTGCAATAATTTAACCCTTTTCCAAGCACGTCACAAACAACTGAGTCATTACTATTTAAGTTTTGCTGAAAAGAAATGCTGTCTCTTCGTACAAATTCAATCTATTCTTTCCTGATTTTGTCTATTGAGTTGCAACAGCAACAACTCTTATTGTTTAAAGTCAAAATGCTATTCTTATCATTTTTTTTTACATTATAAAATTATAAAAACTATAAGTTTAGTAATAAAATTATTCGGTTTCTAATTAAAAATTAAAATAATGTTTTTTTAAATGAATATCGAAATGAATTCAATAAGCCATACATATTTTAGCTTCAATTGAAGAATAGGCTGAGATTTCTATATTGACAGAAAAAAATAAGATAAGCAAATAGGGATCAGATCATCCAAGAGGCACCTCTTAAAGTTATAATTTAATATTTAACGACTGGAATATACAGAATTATAATAAAATTCTTATATTTTTTAAAAACGTATAATAACATAAAATGTTTTTTGTTTTATCGTTTAAAAATAATAAAATAATATAAAACTAAATTAAATTTATTTCAAACCTCAAGACAGTAATATTAATATATATATATATAACATAATTTTATTTTAAAACTTATTTTGAATAATTTCATTACGATAATCAATATTGTTCTATTTTAGTTTCTTTAATTTTATTTAATTTTCAATTTATTATAATTTAAACAACATATAATATGCTTTTTTGAATAATCTCATGGCTTTACGTTCTTCTTTTTGTAAAATGAGAAACCGTATATATTGTTTCAACTTTCAAAACAAACCGCTGTCGATCAACATCTGGAGTTAATTGTGGGCCTATTTAGAATAAATTTCATTTAGCTTTACGTGGTGTTGTGTCCTTACTATCCCACTCAAATTAATGTTGGTTGGTTCGACGAAAAATAATTAACGTTGGTTGTTGACAAAAATTATAAAATAATATTATTGTTGATTATTATATCTGTTGTCTCTTGTTTATAAAATATTGTTATATCTTGATCAATCCAATTAATAATGTTCGTCATCAAATTTTAATTTTTCTGCATGATTAACGTGTCTTTTCCATTTCAGTACAACAGTGTCTGGTTGGGTTTTTATGATCTCAGTTGGATTTAACGCAGCTGCAAGGTTTGATTCTCCTTCTTTATATTTGATTAATTCCAATCATTATTACTGCCGATTGGAAATTCCATGGCGTAGTTTTTATATAAAGAACTGAATTTTGAAATTGTTCTTTTCTTTTGACTTTACTTTTTGTGCTGTTTGGTTTATTTTCAATCACATAAGCACTTGTTGGAAAGTATTCTCGTTTTGTATGAGCTGGGTAGAAAGTGATGCACATTGAAAAGTCCAGAATATTAATTATATAATTACATTCATAGTCAACAACAGTGACAAATAGTGGGGCACAAAGTGGAATAATTTATGTCCAGAAATATCTAGTGTTGCATCAAAGCGATAGGGAAAGAAATTCAATGATTAATATCCTACAAGCTATATATCATAATCAAGTTTAAAGAAAAATATAGATAAAATAAACTTACAAACGTTTAAATATACTAATTATAAATATAAAATTATATTGAACAAGAGTTTATTAAACTAACATTTAAAAATAATTTTTTTATTAAAAGTGTGGACATTTAATAAATTTTTGTTAACATAAGCATATTTATCTTGAGATCAATTGTCACACAAGTGTTTAGTAGCCCATCAAACAAGAATTACTTTGAAAAAATAAATAATTTTGTCCATTTCTTGAAGTGAGCTTATAAAAAATAGTGATAGTAACTATTTAACAAAAACAATCTGTAACTAAACATGTATTTACACTTCCAAATTAAGTTTGAGTTTGATTGCAAGTTTCAAAGCCAGAGTACATATTAATGAAATAATATGGCTATGGCATGCATGCAGTGTGAGAGTGAGCAACGAACTTGGGGCAAAGAATCCAAAATCGGCGTCATTCTCGGTTTTGGTTGTGACATTGATTTCTTTCATAATATCGATTATTATAGCAATCGTAGTGCTTGCATTACGAGATGTCATTAGCTATGTTTTCACAGAGGGCGAAGAGGTTGCTGCCGCTGTCTCTGATCTCTGTCCCCTCCTTGCTCTTTCCATTGTCCTCAATGGCATTCAACCTGTCTTATCTGGTAATAATTTACTTATAATATCCCAAAAGTGATGTTTGTTTATATTCATTCCAATCATTACCAATAAAATGTCGCATAAGTAGTATTGATCATCTTTTGTTATGTATTTATATTAATAGCATGATGTGTTAGTGTAATGTATCATATTGTAGATCGATTTTATAATATTTATGTTATATTTTTATTAGTGAATGTTAGAAAATTTGAAACTGATGCGTTTAATATGTAATATGCATGAAAAGGGGTGGCTGTTGGATGTGGATGGCAAACTTTTGTTGCCTATGTAAACGTTGGTTGTTATTATGGAATTGGCATACCATTGGGTTCGGTTATGGGCTTCTATTTCAAATTGAATGCTAAGGTATGTATGTTAAAGATGGATTGGTGTTATTTTTCTCATCCAAAGGCTTTGATTTAACGATGCAAGATTTTATATATTTATATAATAATTTGCATGCACGTATTGAGAACGTGTCTTTGTGTAGGGAATATGGGTGGGAATGCTAGGTGGCACGGTTTTGCAAACAATTATTTTGATATGGATCACTTATCGAACAGATTGGAACAAAGAGGTAAAAAAGAAAACACTATAAACACTCCTTCAGTTTTGATTATTCTATGATACTATGTGTGCTGGTAACAAGCAAGTTATTTTTCTAATGAAAATTTTATTGATTGTAGGTTGAAGAAGCAGGTAAGAGGTTGAACAAGTGGGAGGACGCAACCGAGCCACTTGTCAAGAATCGAGGTTGAACAAGTTATGTTTTGGATCTATTATATTATATTAATATCCATACTATTTTATAATTAATTCAACGTTGTAGGCTAGTTTTATTTATTTAAGCTTATTTGAAATCTTAATTAATAATTTTATCCATTTATTGTGTTTTAATATTTTTTATCTATTCTTAATATTTTAGTTATAACTTTTGATACAGGTAAAATTTTTCAATAATTCTTATTATGTTAGAAAGCTAATTTACAGAACTTTGATTTAATACTTCATTTGTCAGATTTAGAGTTCTGAACTGAAAATTATAATTATTTGAAAGTACCTCTGTAACGTTGTTAATTAGAATTTGAGTCTAATTAAACTTTGTAACTTATTTTATTTTTTAAATTTATTAGTTTAGTTTTAGTTTGGAATTTGTCTATGTAAAAGACGGAGGAGGCAGAGGAAGTAGAGATATCTTTTTTCCTCTTTACATTTTGGTCATTCTTTCAATTTGAAATTATTATTATTTTTTGGTTTTTCTTTTTTCTTACAAATTTATTTTAGCCTTTTTATAATAATTATCTTTAAATTTGCGTTTATATTTATAATTGTGATTGAAAAGTAATTTTATGAACCCATCTATAAATTTGATCCCTTGAATAATAGGATAATATTTTCTATTTTAATTTAATTCAAAACTTTATTTTTTTTTACTTTTTCAATTCTATTATAAATACTTTTAATTCAATCTTAAATCAAATACGATATTGATTAATGGTGTAGTGCAAAACTAGTTAAATCTTCAAATATTTAATTTTATGTTATTTTTATGATTAATATATGTAAAAATATATATATCCATTTATTTGTATGGAATTTTAGAGTATATTTAAGAGTTGAGTTTTTTTTATAAGAAGAAAGAGAGGATAAATATTTTTAAACTTAAATATTTAATAAATTTATAAAAATAAATAAAGATTAATACATTAAAATTATATTAATTTATTTTATAATTTTGATTTTAAAATATTGTGAAACTAGATGATGTTGATGAAATAAAAAGTTTACCTTCTTTACCATTTTTCTCTAAAATCAAGGTATTATATTAGGTCTTCGAATGCTAAATCATATAGAGTTATCCATGTTGGTGATTGAACTGGATTCAAAGATGGCCTGCGAACTTTGTTTTTCCGTGTCAAAGAGCCCATTACAATTTTATTGGTTGTTTACCCCAACACCGTTATTTATTTATTTATTTCTTAAAGGTTATGTCATTACACTATTGAGTCTAGCATGAGTTAATAAGATAAATGATTTATAAGTGAGTGATTATTTTTAAATTATTGGATATATTTTAAAATTTATAAAAAGTTTAGATCTTTTATTTATAACTTAATAATATAATTTTATTCATATTTATTATTTAATTTTTCAAATCTTTTATTTTGTAGCTTTAAAACTTATTATTATTTTGTCTTCAAAACTTTGTAAGTCATATTTTTTCTTCTTTATCTTTGTGTATCCTAACTCTTCTAAATTTATTTTAAAAAAGTATGCATTCAAATATGTATTTGAATACATAATAAAAAATAGCTTTTGAATCAATAAAATGTTGAATGTTATGTTAGATTTTAGAGTTTTTCACAAACTCTATTTATAAAATTAATATTTTTTGAATTAAAATTTTTATATTTACTCTTATCGTCTCAATTCACCAATAAAAATATGATTTTGTATTGATACATTATTTAATGTCTTTCGCATGTTCTTCCTGTATAATGGTCGTTTTTGTATCGTACAAATTTTGTAACATTCACTTAAACGAAAAATATAAAAAAAAAGAGAGTAAATAACTAAAAGTAATTCACTTAAGCGAAACATAATCTACTTAAGCCGTAAAATACAACACAATAACGGCTTAAGTGATTAATATTAATTTAAGTGAATGTGTGTTATATTCATATATGTCTTTGATTCGCTTAAGCACATGGGTTATCACTTAAGCTAGTTTTGACGAAAAATTTAAATTTATCTCTATCTTTGATTCACTTAAGCGAATGTGTTAATTTAAATGAATTTGATGAAAAATTTAGATTAATCTCTATATAAATTTAGCTTTAAGCGAAAATTATCTTTCTTTTGCGTTTTTTTTTTAACAAAATATCTTTGGTTATTACCTCCTTTTCTAATCAAATCAAAATGATGATTTTTGAGATAATTAGAATGAGTATATGATGTTTTCAAATAGTAAACTCTTACATTTAAAATTATAATAATTCAAAAGAAAAATGATTATGTAGGTTTAGGATAAATGTGAAAAACGGGTTTGTATATTATTAAAGAGAAAAAATAAGAAAGAATTGAAATAAAAGAAAGAAAAATTGAACAAAATTTATATGACAATATTGTAAAAGATGATTATGTGACTTTATTAGATTTTTTACTTTGAATTTCTCTTTTCAAATTTTTATTAAGTAAATTTTAATACAATTACTTAATTTATCATTAAACTTTATATTAGAAATACAAAATAAAATCTTAAACGTCTTTAAAAATAAAGATAAAAATAAATTTAAGAAAATATGATATAGTTTCATGTGAATAAATAATTATGTTCTTTCTTTAACTTTAAAAAAATTATATTAAAAAATAATTTATTTTAAATATTTAAGAAATTAAGATCCTTTATCTGTAAAATTTAATAAAAATTATTAAAACTTATTATAACAAATATTTTATTAAATTATTTATGAGTCATTTACTTTACTAACTCACCGTAACTCTTAATTTTATTTATAAAAGTAATTTATTATATCATATTTAAAAAAAAGTATTTTAACTTTACTTTTATAATATTATTCTAGAATACAAATAAAATATTTAACTAATTATTTTAAAAATAAAATTTCCTATGTTAATTTTTTTAAAAAAAAATTCAAACAAAAATAAAATGATCTTAAAATACTTTAAAATAAAAAAAATTTTATAAAAAAAATTTACAATATTTTGTCCAATCACTAATAGCGATCCTGTGGGTCCTACAGGCACGTGATCCATTATCAGTGGTTGTTATGAGAGTAAATGTAGTGTTAACTGTTGTAGTGAGGAATAGAATTTCAAGGATAAGCTTCATAACTAGCCAAAATATCTCACACTATCGACAAAATCCAATCCATTCAGTCCCTGTCCCTACCAGCGACTTTCATCATTTATGAAAAACTAAGAGTAATTTGTATTATATTTTATTTTTAAAAAATAGAAAATTTGTTTAATATTTTTTTCTTTATTTTTAGTTTTTAAAAATTCAATAAAAATACTAAAAATAAAAAAGTAATTATTGTTATTTTAAGAAAAAAAATTAGAAAGAGTAAATTTTTTTCCAAAGATCAAGTTCTGAAGTTACACGGCTCCAAATCTTCTTATATTTGATTTTGAACATAATTGTTATATTTGTGTATTTTTATATTCGCTTAAATAAATAAAATATGTATAAAAATACACGAATATAATGATTTTCAAACATGAGGGCGCAACTAGCACCTAGGACCGCCCAGTAGTCCCATTACAAGTGTAATTTCACCCCAAAAATGACACATCACAAACGTCAATTTTGAATCCTACGATGTTTCTTTGTGTTTTATTTGTCACGTCACAAGATGACAATTTTTTTATAAGAGGCTGTTATATTTGCCAAGTCATGGGTCCAAGAAGAGATAAAATTAGACACAAAAAGAAGAGCATTCTAACTCTTTTCCTATTTAATTTGCTTTTTTTACTATCGATTTTTAAGTTCCCACTTTAGTGATTCTTCTGACCCTTAATGCAATTTTATTGTCATGTAACGACCATTCATAGCTTTCACACACACGTAGATGAAAAAGTATGACGTGTAAATATATATGATTGGAGTGTTGAGTTTCACAAGAAAAAGGTAGAGGTGACGATTTTTTATTATTAATTTTATATTCTTTAAAATAAAATAAATTATTATTAATTTGATTATTCTTTAAATGTATCCTAGAGGGACTTGCAGCTTAATTTTTAAAATTATGTGGAACAGAAAGTCTCAATTTTATACAGATAGATAATTTGAAAATATTTAATTATACTCGTTATTAATTAAAGAAATTTGAGCAATAATTGAACTATTAACTCAACGACTAAATAAAGATTTATCAGTTTTATTTGAAACATAACTTCATATGTGCCTTTAGGTGAGAAAAAACATAATTGGATGGGAAAAATAAGATAAACAAAATTTCTTATTCCAAAAATAAAATTTCAAATTTATATTAGCGAATTTATTTCAAAATTAGCGTGTACTGAAATACATGGACACTACGTTCACACGTACTCAAATCAAACAATTATTTGCACTTTTTTTCATTTATATTGTAAAACTTTTTCTATTCTAAACATTTAATATAAATTTAATAAACCCTCATTTAATTTAACTTTTTCTATTTCAAAGCTTTAGTTAATTACTATAACTATATCGATCTCTCATTTATTATCTCCTTTCTTCACTTATCAAACAATATAAATTTGTGAAAAATTTTAAAAATGACATATTCAAATAAGTGAAATATAAACAAGAATAGTTTATTTAACATATTATAAACTTATATGATGATTAAAAATACGAAATGAAAGATATATTTATCTGTTTTGAATACTAAAAAGAATTTCTTTAATTATTGAATGTAGCATTAATTCTCATCTTATACAGATCTTTCTGCGATTGTCAGAGTCTGAATGTAAATGTGGTAATAAAAATTTATATTAAATATTATAATTCTTTAATTAATTATTAAATGCTATATTTCGACAATCGCATTTGATGTGTTGGATATTGTCCACACAGCCGACAGTGAGCGAGTACATATAATCTCTTTTGGAGTAGATTCAATTACCTATTGATATTATAAATATTCTTAACAATATCAGATGCCATTAATATATAGATAAGAAAATAATGGAATTGGTGAAATGAAAAAATAATTTTGGAAAAAGTAGATACTTTTTTTTTTTATCAAAAGTAGATACTTTTTATCACCTAATTAAAAATAACTTAAAAAGATTTAAAGAAATACTAGTAATCCTCCTGTTGCTACGCAGTGTCAGTGGGGACATAAATGATAGACTCTTTGGTTGGAGACCAATGCATTGACCTAAAAGTGAAAGCATTATGATCAAGAATGGGGAAAAGTGTATTTTCCATTATTGTTGCCCAAAGTAAAACACTCGAACATGATATTTTGTATGCAACGTTACTAGCATTCTCATTAGATGTGCTCTTACAAGTTTACATTTTAATTATTTAATTATTTCATGATGAACTATTGTTATTCAAACTAATCAACTCATATCTCTTTTTTAATTTATTTCTTTTATGTATACAACATGACAAATTTAATTAAATATGATTATTTAAAGCTTCAAAACACTAAATTATTCGAATTTCTTACATGGTTTAGATTTGACAGAAAATATTATAAAACTAAACCTTTATTTAACTAGTTTAGATTTTGCCTAAAAATGTACTAAATCAAAACTTGTAAATATTCCTATCAACGCTTCATGAGGAGACCTTGTGTGTTCATAAAATTATAAGGACAATTTAGATAGAAAAATATAATATTATATTAAATAATTATGAGTTGAAACTATAATAAAATATTTCATAAATATACTATTAATCATATAATTATTAAAATTTATTGTTAATTCGACCCATGCATAGGTAGTGGACCAGTGGATAGGTGCCCATAATCATGGAAGAGAGTGATGTGATCTTTGAGGAAGATTGAATTTTGCCATGCAATGCTAGATTCCAACTGAATCATGGAAAACGAGGGGTAGGAGGACAACACAACCATTAAGACTTCCTCAATCTTAAATATACATATAAATAGGGATTAAAATTTCTTTAAACGTGTTAGAGTATTATGAATATTATTTTTTAACGTACGTAAGAATATATATTAAAAAAATAATATTTTATTAAAATTAAGTGATGTTTGATTATTTTTAATAAAAAATTATTATGTATAACTTTTTATTGTGTATATTTAGACGTATACTTAAAATTGGTTATAAAAATAGTATAAAAACTGAAAAGTAAATGAGCACGTTGATCCGTAGTGGAAACTTGAAAGATCGCTTTAAGCACGACAATTGTTGAAATGAATATGCTTGAAAGCGAGTGACTGATTCTTTTCTTAAACATAGGACACAGCAACTTTCCTTTCAGCTGGTTATGCTCCATTGTTTTAGCACAGCTTTGTTCCAAGCTTTGTTTGATCCCTTCAAGTTTTATCTTGAAGTCATCTCAGATACTCTCCTCTTCCGAACGTGTTATCAAGGTTTCTGTCACATGTTATCTTGTTATTTTATTTTCATATTATTATTATTGTTGTTGTTAATAATAATGTTGTTGTTAATAATAATGTTATTGTTAATAATAATATATTAGACATGTGGGTTTAACACTTTAACTTGTCCAAGACACCAACCTTATTTATATGGTTGTTGGGACTTGGGAGTTTCTGGGCACGATTGGGCAATTGTGTATACAAATTTCAAAGCAAAAGAAGTACGGATATGTCATAGCACATGGTGTTTTTCTTTTTTCTCCAATTGGGTAAAGAGGGTACAAAGTTTTAGACTCAAAATTGTATATAACATGGATTGTTATTGTTGAGTGTTGATTTCCAGTTTTCCGGGATTACTTTCTGTTGTTCTTTTTTTGATACTTCTGATATGGTTTGGCCCTTGACTGTTGCTTAGTTCCCACGTGCTAATGTTGGTATGAAGTGAAGAACTGAAGCTGAAAGTTGCATACTTTGGAGCTTTTTCTCAAAGTCAGGGTCCTCTTGGCATCACGGGCATGGGTAGAATATTGTTCCTCTTGGTTTTTGGCCTGTGGATTCCCTTGAAAGTGGTGGGAAGAACAGGACCATCAGCTACCACTATGAATTCTACTGTTTCTTCAAGACCAAAGGTTGTGAAAATTGGAGCCTTGTTTACTTTTGATTCGGTCATTGGGAGATCGGCTAAACCTGCAATTATGGCTGCTGTAAATGAGGTTAATTCGAGCATGAGTATTCTCCCTGGCATTGAACTGCAAGTTATTTTTCATGATTCAAATTGCAGTGGATTTCTTGGAACAATGCAAGGTATTTGCCAAAACCTGAAATTTCAGTAGCTATTTCTTATCTCTTTCGTCAGTGGACTTTGACTTTTAATTATGACAATTTATTTATATTTAAATGGTCAAGATTAACTCTTCTCACCTACCGTGTTCTCAGGGTCCTTTAATGCCAGACAAGCTAATTTTACTATTCAATTTTACGCTGATGGATAATTTAATTTTGATCCAATCTTGATCATTTATGTATAATATAATTGTCCATTTGGCTTAAAGTTGAGTATAATTAATTTTTAGCCATTGAATGTGATTAAAATATGTGCATAAATTAATCTGAACCATATATTTTTATTAGAACACGTTTTTCAATGGAAAGTGCGGGAGCTGATTTTGTAACTTTAAAACAAACTAGCCTAAGTAGTTAAGATTAGCTCCTGGCATCTCCCATGTAGAATTACTTTTCTTTGAGGTTTTTTTTGTGTGTGTGTGTGTGGGAAAAGAGGCAAACAAGTTTGATTAATATCGTTGATCATGTAGCTCTGCAGTTGATGGAGAATGATGTGGTTGCTGTTGTTGGTCCCCTGTCATCTGTAATTGCTCATATCATCTCTCATGTTGTTAATGAACTCCATGTACCTCTTCTATCGTTTGGAGCTACTGATCCCACTCTATCTTCTCTGCAATACCCATTTTTTGTCCGCACTACCCAGAATGACTATTATCAGATGTTTGCAATTGCAGACTTTGTTGATTATTTCAGATGGAGGGAGGTAATTGCCATTTTTGTGGATGATGATAATGGGAGGAATGGAATTTCTGCGTTGGGTGATGCATTGTCAAAGAAACGTGCCAAGATCTCTTACAAGGTTGCTTTCCCTCCTGGTGCCACAGAAAGTGATATCAGTGACTTATTAAATGAAGTAAACTTAATGGAATCAAGGGTCTATATTGTGCATGTTAATCCTGATTCTGGTCTAGCAATTTTTACTATAGCCATGAAGCTAAGAATGATGGGCAATGGTTATGTTTGGATTGCAACAGATTGGCTTCCTTCAGTGCTGGATTCATTTGAGCAAGCTGACACTGACACGATGGATCTCTTACAAGGAGTTGTGGCATTTTGTCATCACATTCCTGATACTGATCTCAAGAAGAGTTTTCTCTCCAATTTGAACAGCATAAAAGACAAGGAGACTAGAAGCTTCAATTCTTATGCATTTTATGCATATGATTCTGTTTGGTTAGCAGCTCGTGCCCTTGATGCTTTTCTCAATGAAGGTGGAAATATATCATTCTCTAGTGACCCTAGGTTGCATGACATAAATGCAAGCATGTTGCAGTTAGCATCTCTTCATACCTTTGATGGTGGCCAACAGTTTCTCCAGACAATTTTGAGAACAAACTTCACTGGTGTGAGTGGTCAAATTGAGTTTGACATGGACAAGAATTTAGTTCATCCAGCATATGATATTCTAAATGTTGGAGGCAGTGGATCACGTAGAATTGGTTATTGGTCTAATCACTCTGGTCTCTCAGTTATAGCTCCTGAAATTTTGTATGGGAAAAATTCATCTAACACTTCTTCAAAGAGAAATCAACAACTATACAGTGTGATATGGCCTGGAGAGGCTACAACTACACCAAGGGGATGGGTGTTTCCTAACAATGGACGGCCACTTCGGATAGCAGTGCCAAACCGAGTGAGCTACAAGGAGTTTGTTGCCAAAGACAAGAACCCTCCAGGGGCACAAGGCTATTGCATTGATGTCTTTGAAGCAGCCTTAAACTTGTTGCCTTATCCTGTCCCACGAGAATATATATTGTATGGAAATGGTGAAAGGAATCCTAAGTATGATGAGCTTGTGGAAAAGGTTGCACAAAATGTGAGTTTCTAAATCTTATGCTAGCATAGATAAAATGTATGGTTTTAAAAGGACTTCAAGTAGAATAGTATGGAAATTTGGTCCTTCCCCTGGCATGATTTTCAAATTCTGATAGTTATGTTAATTTGGCACTTTTTATGTTCAGAACTTTGATGCAGCTGTTGGGGATGTTACAATTGTCACAAATAGGACAAGGATTGTGGATTTTACTCAACCTTTCAGTGAGTCAGGGCTTGTTGTTGTTGTTCCTGTCAAGGAGGTGAAGTCAAGCCCTTGGTCTTTCCTTGAACCATTCACTGCTCAAATGTGGTGTGTCACTGGGGCTTTTTTTCTTTTTGTGGGAACTGTTGTGTGGATTCTTGAGCACAGGCTCAATCATGAGTTTCGTGGTCCACCGAGCAAGCAGCTCATGACAGTGTTTTGGTTAGTATGTTTTCACCGTTTGAAAGCCTTTTTATCATAGCCCCTTGTTGATGGACCTGGTTATTGCTAGGGTGTGACATTGCTACCATTGTTTATCATAGCAATGATAGCATATCATATACTGTAAAGTTTTGTAATTTATTATTCCATATCTTTCGAATAAGACTCTTTCTAAATATCCTGCCTCAGCATGTTTAGGCCTAAATCTTGTTTTTAAGCTTTTAGGAGGTACATGGCTTACTTTTAACATTAAGTCAAATGTTTTTGCTAAGTTAGTTTCTCTTTTGCAGGTTTAGTTTCTCAACAATGTTTTTCTCACACAGTATGTTCCCTAAAGATTCTCATTCACACCCTCTTCATTTTTTGTATGGTACATGGTAAAATTCTCTAATTTATTTGCTTTCTTGACCCAACACAGGAGAGAACACTGTGAGTACACTTGGGCGATTGGTGCTAATCATATGGCTCTTTGTGGTGTTAATCATAAATTCAAGCTACACAGCTAGCTTGACATCTATCCTCACTGTGCAGCAATTGTCTTCACAAATTGAAGGAATTGACAGCTTGATCTCAGGTACTCAACCAATTGGAATTCAAGATGGGTCATTTGCAAGGAAGTATCTGATAGACGACCTCAATATAGCTGAATCTAGGATAGTTACATTGAAAAATATGGAGGAATATATTGATGCCCTTCAACGTGGTCCAAATGATGGAGGGGTTGTGGCAGTTGTTGATGAGCTTCCTTATATTGAGGTCTTGATGTCCAGAACTGATTGTAAGTTCAGAACTGTAGGGCGCGAGTTCACTAAGAGTGGCTGGGGATTTGTAAGTATCTCTATTTGCATTTCTATGCTTTAGAATTCTATATGTTCATCATTAGATAGTTCAGGATATGTCTTTGAGCTGTTCAAACAGTACAACTGTGAATTAATCTGACATGTCATTCATTTACCTCTGTCCTGAAGAAGTCATTTTTGTGTTGCTTTGTTCCATAATGTTTTATGATGACACGTTCTAAATTCTGCTAACAAATAACAATAACAGTAAATAAACAAAGGTAGATCTAAGTTCACACATGAATATTCCTTTACTTTTCCTGTGCTTGTTGTGTCTATATCTTTAATATAAATAATATCTTATGAGTATTTTTCTAAACATGATTGGATATTGTTGTCATGTTGGTTTCCCTGATAACAGGCATTCCAGAGGGACTCTCCCCTTGCTGTTGACTTGTCAACAGCAATTCTTCAACTTTCTGAAAGTGGGGACTTGCAAAAGATTCATGACAAATGGCTTAATAAAAAGGAGTGTACAACCAGTGATGTTGATTCAAGCAAACTATCTCTTACAAGCTTCTGGGGCCTCTTTCTTGTGTGTGGCATTGCATGTATCCTTGCCTTGATTGTATTCTTTGCCAGAGTGTGCTGTCAATATAACAAATTCAACCCAGAAGCTGAGAAGATTGATGAGGAAATTCAACCAGTGAGGTCTAGACGTTCAAGCAGAACTCCTAGCCTCAAGAACTTGATTGGTTTTGTAGATAAAAAGGAAGCTGAAATCAAAGAAATACTTAGGGAGAACAAAAAAAGGAGAAGAAGTCTAAGTTTGGAAAACCGTTCCAATTCATTACCCACTTAGGTAACCCTCTAAATTTTAGTTGGTGCATCCCTTTGTTTTTGTACAAAACTTGCGTGTAGAATTATAGGTCTTTTTAGTGCTGTTCAATTAAGATTGAAGTTTCACTTCAGTAATGTATCTCAATCTTTAATCCCAAACTTTACTGCATGATTACTAAGAAGAACTCAATCTTAATTAAACAACACCAAAATGTATTTATGTTACTGTACTACGTTTTTCTCCTTTGGGCTACCATAGTGGTACTGGTAGGGTTGGCACAAATTTGTCTACCAGTGAAGGTAAATTCCATTTTAGCATGGAAATTGTGACAGCAAGAATGTCACTGACACAGTATTTTATTTGTACCTCTGTTTAGAAAAAGCATCCTAACCGTAATTCCCATCACTGTATCTATAATTTGCCTAGCTTTTGGTGGTCCTCTTATAGGGTGAGTTTCATTATAAGAATATAAATATAGGCAAAGGTTTCTTTCAATAATCAAGACCATCATGTTCAATGTAGCAAACGGTGTTAATGCGCTCGAGTTGTTAAGTGACACTTATTCAAGTGTTAATGTGTGCTCGTGTTGGTTGTCTAATGATTTCACTTGGGTGGCTTGGTTTATATATACCCTTCATTTAGTACTATCAAACGATCCTATAAAAAAATAAAAAGAAAGCATCAAATTCAAGATTGACATGATCCTATGCGATCATTACAAGTATACCTTAAGCCTCATTTTCCTCATTTGTTTTAATAAGAAAGAACAAAAGAAGAGTTAGGGTGTCAACATAATTCTTATATTCACGAATCTCCATAAAGTATAATATCAGCAAAACCGCATTGAATAGTTTTAAATGGCTTTGTCGCTCGCAAGTTACAAATTGACAATGATTCATCAACTCAATAATGGGACCATTGTACACATGTTTTCCATGGCAACACGTGTTAGACAATGTTGTCTTGTTTCTCAAAAGCTTCTTTTCACTCATCACCTAAAAACAAAAAAGAAAAAGGGGAAGATTTTTATTTATAGTACCCTCACTAATCTATATTCTCAATTACTGGAATAACATTAATAATTGTGGTTGAACTTAACAATTGGGTTTAGTCAACTTACAAAGGACACAATCGGTTAGGTAGAATTCTCCAGGAAATGAAAAGCCTTCTCTGATCGACATATGTTAAAGATTTAAGACAAGGTTTACTAGGGTGGCACGAGACTATAGGTAACTGCCACCTGGTAGGGTAATTGAACAGTCACCATCCTTATCACTATCAACAAAAGAAAATAATTACCTTTATTCTTATTTATTCAAATAAAAATTTAAGATAATAACTATCTCAAATAAAATATTTACACAATTAAGTAATTTTAAAGTCAAATAAAGAGACCCACTAACAAAATTATTAAATTTTTTAATCTATACAATTTTTTCCCTCTGAATAATAAACAGGAATTAATATAATGCAAGGTTAATATAAAATAATTCTTTATTACACCGAGTATATGAATGAACTGAAATTATTTCTTATAATTTCAAGTTTTAGTGTTGATTAATTTAATACAATTGTGATACCTGGAATTTATATAAAAAATAATAATTCTTCCATTTAATATCAAGTTTTTTGGGAGAAAAACATAATTCAAGTACACATTAATTCCATATCTTACAAAAAGAAAAACGGTAGCCACTAATAAAAACAAATAAAAATGATATAAAAATGTGAGATGAATGGATAGTGTCCATGTTTTAACGGTCAACCGTGGCGTTAAAGTAGTGTTGCTGATAGCACAAAAGTCGTTGAAAGTTGTAACTGAAAAGTGAAAACCCTTCAAAAAATAAAAAACATGGCATGAAATTCAGGAAATGCCCTTGAGTATTCAAAAATATGAGACAACACAGCCTCGGTTTTCATTTTCATGGCTGAGAGACTCACTCGTTGCTCTTGAGGCCATCCCATTCCATTCCACACACACACACGAAAAACACTTCCAATTTTCGATAAATTAAAAAATTAAATAAAGGGAAATTAAAAAAGCATGTCCCAGAATGTTGCCCGCTCCCCCACCCTCCGGCGACGTTTTCACCACCGTGTTTCGGTGCTCCGGCGATGCATCCTCCGCGTTCTCCACCGTTTCCTACTCTGCTCCGGTAGGAAGATCACCAATGCCACGTACAGCTTGCTGCCTCCGGATGCAACATTACCCTCTCCGCCGGCTCCGGTGGCTTCCGACGCCGAGCCTGGCCGTGAAGAGGTGCAGGCTACGTCGCTACCTGGGTTTCACACACACGAATTGGACTCTGATTTGGTTTCCTTGAAGATCAGCTTGTTGGGTGATTGCCAAATTGGAAAAACAAGCTTTTTGGTTAGTTATGCATATGTATATATCTATTTTATATTTATATGTACAGGTTTATACTCGAACCATCATTTTTTTTTGTTCTGTTTTAATTTAGTTGGTATTTTATTTTTTTGAAATTTGGGTTTCAGGTGAAATATGTTGGGGATGAAAAAGAGAAGCAAGGGGAACAGAGGAAAGGGCTAAATCAGATGGACAAAACATTGGTTGTAAGGGGGGCACGTATATCGTATTGTATCTGGGAAGTACAAGGTATATGTACATAGAGAGATAGAATGAAGATCCCAGCTTGCATTTTATGATTTTGGGGGCAGAAAGAAAGATAGATGATAGTTAATAATTTGATATTTGATTGTTATGTACGCAGGTGATAGAAAGTCAGAAGAACAAATTCCAATGGCTTGTACGGACTCGGTGGCAATTTTGATTATGTTTGATCTAACAAGTCGATGCACATTAAACAGGTATTTTCTATGTTGTGTTACAACTAATTCAGATTGAAGCATAATAAGGAAGCTAATTCCTCCAAAAAAAATTTCTGGGCTTTGTTTGATTTCAGTGTTTTGGGATGGTACAAAGAAGCCAGGAAATGGAATCAGGTACATATATATAATTTTTTGGCACCAATATCTGCTTAAGGTTTAAGATTAAACTATTGTATGCATGTGGATGCAGAAGAGTAAGAATTTTATAGTGTTGTGTGGTTAATTTTTGTAGACGGCAATTCCAGTGTTGATAGGAACCAAGTTTGATGATTTCATTCAGCTCCCTATTGATTTGCAATGGACCATCGCCAGTCAGGTAAAGATTCCAATATTTAACATAAAAATTGCAGTTTAAAGTATGATTTTCATCACAACAACAAAAAATGTATATTCTTAGATCTAGTAAACAGATCCTTTGGATTTAAAAGAAATTTTACATATACGGTTAAAATTCATACAAAAATTAATTTGCTTATATATCTTAAAGCAAATAAAAACCGGAATTTAGTCAGATATTTTTTAATGACGTTTTCCAAATGTTTCTATTCCTAATCATATTTTATGTTAAACATTGCAATTACAAAAAAATGATTACAACCTATGAAGGACCACATTTTGTTTGAAAATAGCGACCGCAAGCAGCTACCTAATGGCATGAATGCCTTGGAAGTCTAGAGAATGATACTTGAGAGACTAATCAATTTCGTATATTCTTTGCTGAGGAAAATGAATAAGAACCAAGAAACTTTATAGTTGATGCTATAAAATGAAGCTACCTTTATTGTTTTTTCATTCTTATAATAAGCCACTATTTAAAAATGGTTGTTTTCGGTTGCAACGTCGACTCAAGTGAAAGGGATTGATGGGATTGCCTCAGACAGCATATAAAGAAAACCCTTATTTCCTAACACATTACTTGCTGACACTGTTAATTTCTATGTAGGGTAGGCTTATCAAAGATAATATTAATTATGCAAAACCCAGCTGAATCACCTGCATAATGCAGAATCTTGCTATTATGGAAGAGCTTTTATTATTTAGGCATAAAAGAAATAAATACTTTTCATAATTCTTTTTATTATAAATCATAAAAAATTAAAATATATGAATTATGTGAGTTTGCGAAGAAGTCACATAAATTTTTAAGTGATTTATTTTTTTAAGAAATTAACTTTGAATATCTTCATATTAGAATTAAATAAATGAAATTGTCTAAACTTGTTAGATAAAATGTAGAATTTAAATTTTAAATATTAAACCTAAATTAAATTTAAATATTTTTTAAATTCAATGTGCTTTGATACAATTTAAGTTCTGCAAAAAGTTCAATAAAGGGCTTTATCAAATTTGAGTTTTTTTTTTTTTTTTTTTGAGTTTAAATTAGATTCAATTTTTTGTTAGTGCTTGTAATAGATATTTTACATGAGTCATGTGATTTGTTTTGGCATCTCTACTTCATATAATTATAAATTCAAAAGTTTTATTTTTATTCTTTTTATCAAAATTATTTTTCACAAAATATAACTTATATGTGTATATGTGTGCATGCTAATAAAAAATGCATGCTGTAAGATTTTTTATATTAGAATGATAAATTTAAATAATATAATTATACATAATTGATTTGTTGTTTAAGTTTCATAATCACTTAGAAAAATTATGTAAGTATTTTGTTTAAAAGAAAAAAACGCATGACTCTGTATTTTACTATCACCATTATGATAGTAGCTAATAATTGAGATTTATATTATTGCATGAACATTTGATTATATAAATATATACACGGACCCCATCTTACATTATAAGAACACTGCGTGTTTGATGATCATTGGACCTTAGGCAGACAAGGGCAACCATGCTCCCATGCCCATTTATATACAAGCAAGTTAAGCAAAGCATGTTGGAATGGTGTATAAGCTTTTCCAAGATAACAAAATTTGATGTTATCAAGATAAGATATGATGTGTGTGGTGTGTGACATTGAACAGGCAAGAACATATGCAAAGGCCCTGAATGCCACATTGTTCTTTTCCAGTGCAACCTACAACATCAACGTGAACAAGATCTTCAAGTTCATCACAGCAAAACTCTTTGACCTACCATGGACAGTGGAAAGAAATCTAACTGTTGGGGAGCCCATCATTGACTTCTAAATTGTACATAGAATGTTCAAGTTATGTGGTCAAAGTCAACCGGCCAATCAGAGATGTCATGAGTCAATCTCAGAGACTCTCGGGGCAATCGAGTTGTTAGGTTTAGACATGTCAATTCCCCTGAAACAACACTCTTCAATCACCACCATCAATAAGGTTTTACAAGAAGAGGAATAAAATGCAAGGAAGAAATTTTTAAAAATGGAAACATAGGAGAGAACTAAGGTTTACCAACATCAAATAACAAGGGATGGGAGCTATTGCATTGTGGAGTACAAATTAGTATCAATGGTGCTCTTGTCTTGCTATGAAGAAATTGTCCTGTGATACTTTCACAAGCACAAAGAGAATGAGACTACTGCTTTTTTATATTACGGAGTAGAGTTAGCACTGTACCCAATCTTCTCTTGTTTCCTTTTATTTCTCATCCAATTTTGAACTTCTGGTAACCCAAAGCTTTTAATGAATAAATTAATCATTTCAAATGGTTTAGTTTGATTTTACCACTCAATTCTTATAGATTTTTCGGTTTTGCGTTTCTACGTGGACATACGTTAAATGAACTCTACACAGTATAGTTTTTAGATATCAATATACGTTCGCATAATATTTAGATACATGCTTATTATATGTTTAGTTTAACTTATTAAAAACAAATAAATACTCATTCAAAAAAATGATATTTTTTAAACAGGCAATTATTTTTCTAGTTTAAAGTTAACTAATATGCTATCAGACATCGAATTTCACATCATCTCGAAATTCTTAATTATGGCCTCTTCAATATCAAAGAGTGATAGTAAACTTCAATGAAAATTATTCAAGAGTGGTGCTATAGGATTTCCATTTTCTAAACAGAAGTAAACAATAAAACAAATATGGTTTACAAAAACCAACTTGAAATTAATATTTCAGGTTTTAAAAGAAGTAGTTGATTTGACAAAGAAAAAGAAGTAACTGAAATACCCATAAATTGACAAAATAAAATAAAATTTCGTGGTCTCATCATCTCCAAGGTTGTTCTGAAAGCTTTTGTGGTGGCTCAACTTCCAGGGTTTCACCTCATCATCGGCTATGTTGGAACTCAGTTTGTTCCTCCCTGAAATAGCTTGAATTCCCACAAATGGAAAATTTTGGAAAATAGAGAGACTGGTTCTGGAAACGGTATCATGCACTATGCAGGCTGAGACCCTAATATCAAAAATAAGTTCTGAGCATAAAAAAGGAAAAACTCTGGACCTTTGACAATCTGTAAAAACTCTAAATGTACCCATTATAAATCTCAGGTAAATCCCGTGAACGAGGCTCCTTTTTCGGAGAAAGAAAGCAAAACAAATTTAGAAAGAAAAGATTGAGTTTTCAAACAATTTAGGAGAGAGATAACAAGTCTCTCTAAGGAATTTACGGAAGAGAGTTTTTCAGAAGAAGAGAGAAGAGATGACAACAATTTTTTTTCAGAGAGAGAGAGAGAAAAAAAATTTAAGAGAGAGAGCAGCAAACTTTTGAAAAAATACCGAGAAGAGAGAATAAATTTTCAGAGAAACAGAAAAAATTAAGAGAGCAGTTTTTAGAGATCTTAAAGAGAAGGAAGGAACAGAGCAAATCTTTTCTAATAATATACCAAGAAGAAGAAATTGAAAGAGGAAGAAATCTAACCAAAGGAAAAGGGAAAAAAATACCGATCCAGCCACTCCATCTTCCGCTGTTGCTTGGATGATCTGATAAATTTCTTAATCTCTTAAGGTATGATTATTGCTCACAATCTCACTTTCTCTAAATTATATTTTAAGCCTTCCTTCACAAAAATAATCGGAATAGAATAAAAAGAGATGACGTAAAAATAAAGGGTTACGAAACTTCAACTAAGTTTTAGTTATTATTATTATTATTTTGTAATGGCCCGAGGCTTGAGGGACATTGAGCATTGAACGATTCCCTGCACTGCACCACTAGGCAGCAAACATGAAGATGAAACAAATAATCAAATCATGTACTTTTCTGCTGTTTAGTATTACTGTTGCCTACTTTTTCTAAAAAAAACAATAGCTAATAAAAGATTGAAGAGTACATCGATCTAACCAATAAAAAGTTGAAAGAGTTAAAAAAAATTGTATCGGTGATTTGTTTTACGTTGCTTTATCTTTTACTATTAGTTTTATGTATTTTATTTCTGTATTTATTATTTATTTATTTATTTACATTATTACCTTTTAATCTCTTTTTTAATAATAAGATTCTATATTAGTCTGTTTTAAATTGAGGTATTTTATTTTTTATTATTTTTTTCTTTCTTTTTCTTTCTTAATCTTATTAATTAATTTTGTTAGCAATAAAATTAGGATAATAATAAATGATGATTACAATTGAATTAATCCTTATATTTTTTTGTGTGTTTTTTGTTTTTTTATTATTTTATTTTATTTTTTATTATTATTTCATTGTTTTGTTGTTTGAATTATTATTATTATTATTATTATTATTATTATTTATTGTATTATATAATTTCAAATATTTGATGATAAATGAATTATATTTTTAATTTAATATTAAATAAATAAATAATACAATATTTGAGTCAATTTATAACATTAACGTATAATTTTTTTTATAGTTGAGTGTTATAAATTTATAAAGTCTACGTGTACCTACGTTACCGTGACTTTAGGCAATATTAATTTATCATATGTTATCTTTAATTAATTAGAAAAATTATCTTAATAATCAATCAAAATGTATTTCCTATAATAACTATTTTACTAATTAATAAAAATTATTTTATTAACACAATAATTTATAATGCTAATGTGTAGCAACTCTACCTTGATGTGTTATAAATTACTAGAACTTATATATACTAACGTTACCTTAAGTTCTATACAATATAAATTTATCAAACAACGTTTTAATTTCTTTATTATTATTAAATATTTTTTAATTAATTCAAATATATTTATTTATTTTATTAAATAGAATTAATTTCATATTTTAAATTATCTTAAATTATACTTCTAATTTAATGAATTAAACAACTAATCTTTTCTTTATTTTATCATACAAATTTTCACAACATCGATGTGTGATTTACATTGCCTTCGATCATCCAAAAATTATAAGAGATTTAAGTGTGCCTTCCACTATCTTAAATTCTCTTTCAACATTAATCATAATTTAAATATAAATTCAAGTATTTCATTTACAAATAAAAATAATTATTTTTTCTTTTCTTTACGATTGATAATATAGTCATGTGATCTTCTTTCACCTTCTTTATTGTTTCTCGTAGGATACAAAATAAATTTTCTTTTACTAAAATTAATTTTAATCAACCAATTTCATAATTTTTAGATAAAATTACGTTATTTTGAGTTCGTTATTGCACCAGGAATACGTAGGAGTGGAACCGGACTCGTCAAGTCAAAATAATTTTTAAAATAATTTTTTTAAAGTATCCATTGATATTTTAATAAATAATTTTTTTTCTTCTTCTTAAATGAAAATAATTAATGTTTAGGGATTAAATAAATATTTTTTAAAATAAAAATAAATTTATATAATTAATTTAAGATAACCATTTTTAAACAGACAAGGTAAGATGTTAATACTTTCTTTATACATAAATAATTCCTGAATTTATTTTTTTTAAAGATCATATTATTTAAAAAAAATTAAAATAAATTTTGGTGACCACTCTTTTAATATTTTTAAAAACGTTTTTGCTGTATCATTACAACTTTCCAGTTGCAATAAATGGACTTTCCTCGAAGCAAAGATCACATAATTTACATGTTCACATAAATTAAGCCGAAGACATGACAAAGTCAAGAAGAGAATAAGCTGAAATGAGTTTAATGGCCCCAAAATTGAAGTTGTGTGAGCAATTCCTTCACGAGTGTTCTAATCTCTCAATAAAATATTGATCGGTTCAGACAAAACATTAGATGATTAAATTTTCGTGATAATTCACGATGAACTCTTTGGGGAATCAAAGATGTTCCTCCACATTCTGCCTTTGTGCACGAATTGATGCTTTCACGGACACTGATTCTCCAGCACCATAGTTACTTTTGAAATAACAACTTCAGCACCAATCTGATCTCATTCAAAAGTAACTCGTGTGTCAGTCATATAAGAGCAACTGGTGTTGGATTAACGGTCGATTTGGAAATAATCCTTAATTAAGTATATATTTAATAAAATATTTTTAAACGATAATTTATGTTGTAAATTTAATAATAAATTTGTTAAGATTAAAAATAAATTATTTTAATAAATTATAAAAAATTATTGAAATAAATTACGAGAATCATATAAATTGTTTCTAAACTTTTGTGTTAGTCTCAGACAATATTTAATAATATGTTGTGACAGAATGTCTAAGCAAATAGTAAAATATAAACGACTAAACGAAGTTATAGCATTTATTAAAAAGAAAACACTTTTTTAAGTTGTTAAATTAGAATAAAAATGTACTATGGTTATGAACTGTATTTTAATGTAAAACACTATTAATTAATAAAAATAAAATAAATATAATTTTAAATTAATTATTATAAAAATAAATTTTAATAATATAATAATTTATAATTAAATGAGAGTATAACAAATTTAGTATCCGTAAAAAATATATTACTGAATCTTTTAACGAGTTTGACAGCACATAAAATGTTAAATTTTATTAATTGATGTGGAAATATATAATTAAATATAATACAAAATTTTATATTGGTAATGAATCAAAATTCATTTTCAAAACATTAGTTGCGTCATTCAATTTATATATATGATTAATTAATACCATAACCACAATACAATTTGAATAACTAATTTAAAGTGAAAAAAAAAAAGGAACAACAACAAAAAAATATGCATTCTTCATTATATTTATGTCATACAAAGAACTCCTTGAATACCAATATACCATTATGCTATTTTAAGGAAATTATAAATATTTCTAAAAATGGCAGGGAAATGCAATATTTTTTAAATGAAAAAAGGAGTATCCATACAATAATTGAGAGTCTTAAGACTTGCGGAATTTGCAGGCTCCAAGATCCCTCTTTTCCTACACCCCATCTCTGATTCCTTCTTCCAATCTTCGTCGAGAAGCTTCAAATCCGTGAAGCAAGAAATGGGTGTTGTGTTGAAGCTAGTAGACGTCATTTTGTTGCTCTTCTTCCTTCTCATAGCAGTGGTTGCTCCTCTGATTGATGCTCAAACGTGTCTTCCTCACACTTACTTCCCCGACATCCTCGTACAACTTAAGACATGGTACACCCAAGAGTACGATGATTACCTTGTGGCGGAAAAGCCTCATTTTTTCGTTGGTCTTGTTTGGCTTGAGCTTCTCTTCCAATGGCCCCTTGCTCTCCTCAACCTCTATGCCATTTTCGCTTCCAAGCCTTGGTTCAACACCACTTGCTTGATCTATGGTGTCTCTGTCTTCACTTCCATGGTATTTTTCACCTTTTTAATGCATTTTGCTTGTTCAATTTTATTTTATTTTTTCCAATATCTTGTGAATGAATGGCCCTTTTTCTTCTTTTTGTTTTTAAATTAATGGGATGATATATTTATGTGGATCTTGTGATAATATGAATAATTAGGCTCTAGGTAAGTTCTTAGGAAAGAGAGAAAACGGGTATTATTCTTTCTATTTTATTTTTACTTGGGCACGAATATATAGTAATTTTTTATTAGAATTATAAAATTTAACCTAATTCAATGTATAAATTTACCTTTTATTAAATTTTTGTTTATGTTCAATGTTGTAACTGATATTCTTTTTCTGATCTTTGGATCCATAAAAAGTCAAACTTTTTAGTGGCAGAGTTGGCAACCATTCCTTTAGCATCCATACATTTGCTTACAGGAATTTGTTAGTTGTTATTAGATTCATCCTCATCCTTTGGTCTGTTGTCTTGTGTCACACACTTCCATTTGAAGATTTTCTTGGTTATTACATTGTACTAGGAATAAAAATTTGGCCTATTCTATTTGTATTCTGTTGGCGTTTGTAGGTGTTGGATCATGTTGAATTGATGATTAAGTTTGCTCTCTAAATATGATGAAAATATAGATGCAATTTTATTCCTTAGATTTAATTCAATCAGAAACTATGGTCATCATATGATGCATGACTTTTCTAACAATCATATGCTTGCTTATTACTCTACAAAATTGTAACCTCTGCTTTATCTTTTAACAATGTCATTAGTATCATCAAAATAGGGGGTGAAGTATTTTCAATCCCAGCCATAGATGGTGTCACAATTAGATTTTGTTTGTGGTTGCAGGTTGCTGTATTAACAGAAATGATGGGTTCCAAGAGGGCATCTGAGAAGCTATTGACATTGTACTTCCCTTTTTTGGCTCTGAGTATTCTGGCTACTCTAAGAGGGTTGCTGAACCATTCCTCCAAGACCACTTCATCTCTTGGCAAGCGACCTGCATTGGCGAGGAAAAAGCGAGCTTGAAATTGTAGGGATTGAATAAAAAATGACAAAATGGAAAGAGAAGCATGATTGTTGGCGTTGAAGGGATAAAGCATGCCAATGCCCCCCACCTGTAACCAAATTTTTGTATGTTTTTAATGTTGAGTTTGTATTTTATTCTGAGGTTTCCTTCTATTGCATATCTGAGAAAAAGATTTTGTGTCAGGTAAACATCTACTTCCATCATGTTGCATACTTTGCTATGAGAAGAAATAAAATGCTTACTATTTGGATTAGTTATTTTGAACCTCTACATATACATTTTGTGTGTGGAAACCGATTCAGATGCAAAATCTGAGACACAGAACAAACAAATTAGTAAAAGAATACAAATCAATCGAGAAAGTGAATTTCCTACATATTGTTATATGAATTGCTTTATTGACATGAGGTACACCTAAATGTTGACTTAAGTGGGATGTGTAAAGTGAAATGGAGCACTATATTCAAACAATTGTAAACCCCTATTGTGATATGATTCATATTATATTCTTCTTATGGCTAACCATTTTTCATGTTACACAAATCAGTCAATCAACTGTTTCTGACTATGAATACTTATCAAGTTAGGATAGCTTAAGTTGTTTATAACTTTATTGTGAGGATATGAAAAGCCCTGTAAAATCATCAATGTATTGTATCAGTTTTCACATATGTCTATAGTAGACTGATCGCAAACTGATAGATTCTCAGTTTATGTAAAAACAAAATAATATGAATCTGAACAAAAAGACAGATAGAGAATTGAGAAAGGAATGATTATTTTATTTAGATAAATTGAAAAGACACTCAAGAGACAGAATTCTCCCACAAGAGAAAATCTCCTTATCACAGAGAATTACACAGTTTGTATTATTTTCTCTCTTCCTCCTTTCCTTTTACAATTTCCCCTTATTTAACTCCAAAAAGAACTTCTTGTAATTGACTCATTAACCAAGTATTAACTCCAAATAAAACCAATTGTTACTGTCGCAGACATTTTAAACTTCTAATAAAACTCTTGTAAATTGTAACTTACTGGTAACATATTAACCACCTAATATTGTTGTTTATTCCTCCTAAAATAAACCCTCCAAATCTTATTCTTCTCATTAATTATTGGCATGTGCTCGTGTCTAACAGAAATCATGACTTGTGGATGGACACAAATATGTAAAATCCAGAATGACAAATCTACTGGTGTTTAATATTTCATAGTGATTTTTCGAATTTTTATTAGGTTCTATTCCTTATTTAAAAAATGGGTCTTTGGTATGGTGTCTTATGCAGTATACACATAATCATCTTTACTCAAAGGTCAGTTTCTACGTTATGTCACCGTAAATATGACTGCTTTAGCCTCTTCTTTGTTTTTCTAACTTTGTAAATATTGTTATGCAATTAATATTCATAAACCCGTAAATGCAAATCAAGTTTAAGCGTGGACCAAAAAAATATGAACTTACAGCAAATACTAAGATTGTAAGTTAAAATGAATAGAAATTTTATGGAGTTGATTAAATGAACACTTAAAATACTAAGCAACCAAAATTTTTGGTGTTCCTTCATAAACAAATATCAATGATATTCTAATGATTTGCTAACCATATTCAACCAAAATAGAGAACCCATTAAGCCGACAATGAAAACACAACGAGAGAACATTAATCACAAAAGTTAACATGTTAATGCCTTAAATGCTGATGATCATTTTGATAGTAGAGATATTGTAACAGCGGATGAAGCTTTCTTAAAAGCTTGAACTAAGGAAGATAGCAGATGCATATATTGACTTGGGCATATGATACTCATAACTTCTAAACATCTGACATACTTAAGAAATTGATGTTTGATTATTTTCAAGTTAAATTGATTTTGCCTTCAAACTCATGCTTGAATCAACATGGTAAATTGTAACTTCTATGTTGAGTTAAAGATTTTATACTGAATTTTACTACAAACTTACTTTTAAAAGAAATATTTCCAAACACGTATCATATTATTAAAAATTCATTCTTAAGTAAAATCAATTTTATATAATCAAGTTGATTCAAACTTATGTTTGTAAACACTTACCCAAATACACAATTATTCTTCCTCACAGATGATTGAGACATAAATAGGACGAAAGAAACACAGCTAATTAAGAATTAACCCAATTATCCTTAAAATTCATTTTGAAATCAACAAAAAGAAATTATTCTTCACCTACATAGTCAAATTGATCTTTGATAAAACGTGCAAAACCTCTTGACCAATTAGCTCCTTCATGAAATTATCTATGACTGAATTAATATATTCACCCCTAAAAAATAAACTCAAGTGCCGAACATTACCCTAGTCAGTTGTAATCCATTTGTAACTTGAGAAAACCAGCAAATTTGAAAAATATCATTTATTTATGTTTATCTCTTAGCAAAAACACCAAACACGATATATTCTGTGTATGACATGCAAAGTTCTCTCACAGTGTAAATATTCTAAGACCTTGGATAATAATTCGCAAATGAAAGGATCGTTATAATATATAGAATTCAAAGAAAATTTTGGTTTTACATCAATAATAGGATTTTTTAACATCTTCGCAACTATACAAAGAAGTGATGCTCCTTGTCATGGTATTCTATAGACTTTGACAAATATTTTATTTTTAAATTTAAGAAGTAATATAATGTTTATAAAAGTGAATAAAAGATTAACACATTGATTTTATACTAATCTATCATTTTATGAATTTTTATTTCAAAAAATTATAAAAATTGAGAATGCTAATTAGAAATAAAAATTTCAACCTCTCCTCTCTTTTTCCTTCAAAATTTAACTTCTAAATCGCACAATGCGAAGGTTTAATTCGTTCAAAGAATATTCACGACATAAACATTGTGTCCCTTGTTTAATGATCAAACACTTTAGGTACGGGCAATTATTGGAAATCCAATCTTGAACATTAGAGATAACTATATCATGTAATGCAGAGTATCTCCCACGGAAGTCGATTCATAAACATTGTGTCCCTTGTTTAATGATTCTTGGTTTGCAAGTTAGGATAACTTTCACTATCTTCTGACAAAAAAAAATGAAGGTTCTCTGTACCTGTTTTTTAAGGAAATAATAAAAGTGTTGACAACAACAACAGTAATAATAATAATAATAATAATAATAATAATAATAATAATAATAATAATAATAATAATAATAATAATAATAATAATAATAAGTTATTGACTGGCAGATCCAGATCCTCTACAGTGTTAGCGGGAACTACAGGGAGCGTAATGTGTTTTTACTTAAGCGAAATTTAACAAAATGTGATTTTATCTTAAGCCAAAAAATTTTGCTTAAGCGAATTTAGTTAAAAAGTGAATTTTCGCTTAAGTCAAAATTGTGAAAAATTTTAAAACTTCATCTTCTTTCTCTTTAAACTGCATAAAAGTTGAGAAACATTTGTGCAAGATCATATAATTACACTTTAGGATCATACAACAAAAACTTATGTGTTTCAAAATATGTAATATCACAACTATTTCTCAACTAATTTCTCAAAGTTATCATTCCTATAATCCTTATCATCATTTCAATAATTTAACTTGATTCTAAATAATTTTACCTCACTAATGTTTAGCACAAATAGCACACTAGACATATATTTAAAAATATTTGTGCAAGATCATATGATCATACTTTATTATAATCATAATACAAAAACTTAAGTATTTTAAAACATGTAATAATGTAACTATTTCTCAACTAATTTCTAAAAGTTATCATTCCTATAATTCTTATTACAATTATTAACAATTTAACTTGATTTCAAATGGTTCTATCTCACTACTGTTTAGCACAAGTAGCACACTAGACAATACATTCGAAATATTTGATGGAATAAAATATGTAAGATTTTTTAATAACTAGGTAGTAATTAATGAAAAATAAATGTTTCTTAAATTTTTTGCAGTTTAAAGAGATAGAAAATAAAGTTTTAAAATTTTTCATAATTTTGGTTTAAGTAAATTTTTTAGCTTAAGTGAAAATTTATTTTTTAACTAAATTCACTTAAGTTAAAATTTTTAATTTAAGTTAAAATCACGTTTTGTTAAATTTTGTTTAGGTAAATTTTTTTGGTTAAGCGAAAACGTATCCCTTGCAGTTTCCGTCATTACTGCAGAGGATCCTGATCTTATCCGGATCTGGCCGTGGACAACTCACATCAGCCAAACTACAATAATCCTTTGTATCTTTCTCGCTCCAGTTTTATTTGGTTTTGTCAAATTTTGTCTACGTCATGACACAGTACAGCACTTCAAGACAATTGAGCCTTTTGTTATTTTTTTACGTGAAAATGAGAATAATAAATTTCAACTATTAATTTTTTTTATAAATGATCAAAATTTAAAATATAAATATCACGTGATATGGCCTCAAGTATATTAATCTGATTATATATATATATATAGTTTAAATCAATAAACTTGTTTATCATATTTTAATTTTTTGATTAAATTCTATAAATTCTGTTTTATGTCATTGAAGTTCTTGTTGATTAGATTTCATTTATGTCACTTTTTTTTTTTTTGGTCTGCATGAGAGATTGGGGTTTCTTGAAGCATCAGAAACAGATTCTGAGAGGGAGTGTGGTTGCAGCAGAAACCCTAATCTATTCATGTCACTTGTTTACTTAATTGTCAGAAGATAAATATAAATTAATATTTGTTCAATCGATATTAAATATTTGTAATAAGTATATATGTCACAATCTTACAACGAAAACTGTCCTTATTAAGTATGTTTTTACACAAAGAATGACTTTGTGAGAACTCTTTAATTAAAAAATAATAATAAACAATGTTTATTAAAAAAAACATTTAAAATTAGTGAAAAATATTCATTTTGTTATAATTGACAATTAAAATTATTTAAAATTAAAATAAAAGTCTTCTAATAATCATGATTTTCCTTTCTCATGTATAAAATAACATTCTTTTTAAGTTTCTTGCTAGAAAAATTGGAAGGTAGTCCTTTTAATATCATTGATGACTAGGAGCTAAAAAGCTTGTCTATAATTGACAAACATAATACGTTTTGACCAATTTCACAAGGATTTGAAAATAACCATTTAGAATCAATCAATAACTTTATTAATGTTCGTTGTTGGGAATAAATCCGATAAATGGATAACATTAAGATTAAGAGCGAATTTCTGAAGTATATACCGGTCAGTTTGATACGGGAATTAAAAACCTGTTCATAATTTGATATTAATTTAAGAAAAATTTACCTTCTACCTTTGTTAATTATACAATACACCATCCCACAAATAACCCACTACCACCTTGATTATCCAACGATAAGGTAACGAATACAAAATAAGAAGTCATAACTTGCAGAATGGAACACATCCATTTCACATAACCCTTAAAAAAGGGAAAAGAGGTGATGAGAAATTAGCCAGTGTGTCCTAGATGCAAACTTCCCACCAACTAGTGCCGGTGCTACTTCTAAATCACACAAATCACAATTGAAGAAGGAAAATAAGAGTTTACACATTAAAGCTAAACCCCAGTCACCCAAAAGGTTAATCCTAGCTATATATTTATATTTTTAGTCTGAGATTAATGGTAAATTTAAGGGTTGCAAGGTCTTAATATATGAGCTCTTAACGTTTACTATATCTAGGGAAGTCAATTCCCGAACCTTAATCCTCTCAGAACACTATTGGGGTGCTGAGAAGGGATCATGCAAGGTGCGCTCTTGACTTCTCCCATCTTTGTAATATAAGCCGAAGTTGCTTGCTCACTACCTTTTCACTTTCCATAATGCAATGCATCCCTTTTATCCTTCTTTTAACCTGCATCATAGTTACCAAATAGAAACATCACATTAAGATGAAGAGTTAGATCGAAACAACTTAAGGTAGCACAGTTCTACGAGCAAAAATAGATATAAGGCAAAACCAAAATTTTCACTATTTCCAGTTTTTATCTTTTATCCCTTCCTAAATAGTTTTCAAAAAATAAGTAATTATTTGCTCTGAAAAAAATTTCCTGAACGTTAATTAATGCAATTGGAAAATTAACATACCACAAGTCTCTCTCAAATTACCAGTCATTAAAATGTTACCACCTACAAAAATGAGCTACATGTTTAGGATATATTTAAATACAAAACTTATAACCATGTACTTATTCAATAAATTTCATTATATAAAGACTTATGCTATGAATTAAACTATAAAATTTATTAAAATAAGTTAAAGAAACTTATGAAAGTCAAAGTATAAAAGTTTAAAGAAATTGTTTGTGCATACCACCCAATCCATTAGTCTTTTGAAGTTCAAGCTGATTCACCAGATAAGGAAGCCTTGATTCTCTCAACAGTGCAGGCAATAAGATTATTAACAGTAGCAACAGATCCAAGAGAAAGCTTAGCAGTTGGAACTGAATCAACCAATATTTGAAATGCAACAGTTAAAAGAGATCCACCAGGCGCAGTTTCACCAATGCCACTTCCATGCACTGTTGTCCCATCTGGGAGAATAGCAAACCCTGAAGGAAGAAGGGCAACATAATCTGGGTCTCCTCCATTTAGAACTACATTCATGGCCACAATATCTACTGGAGCATAAATCACAAAAGAGCCCGTCGAATCGGTGCAACTCTCTTGTAAAATCAACATGTTGCTCTGGCTTGAATTGGCACTCTACACGGTTATATAATTGTAATTTAATTCGCTCAGTTTAACTGGAAAGTAAGGAATATCAAATTTTCAAATTGATAAATAGTGAGGCATCAATATACATTTACTCGAAGTAGAGACACACAGTTTCCAGTATCACGGCCATTTGCAATGTGTGCCATTTCTTGGACAACTCCACCATTGGAAAGAATATCCCACTGTTGTTAAAGGGATCAAAAATGTTAAAATGGCATTAGAAAGATATACAAATCTAATACAAATGAGGATCAAGAAATTAGATTTAGCACCAACCTACGAACACATGATTCAGGCTTCAATTCAAGGACTAATAAATCTTTCATTCATTTTATAACACTTTTTCACAAGTCTCAGTATTTTCAGTGTTCCTTTCAGTTCAAAGGTCGTGTCTTGTTTTTACTAAGTTCATTCTATTTTTTAATAAACGATAAGTTTTCTGAAGATCATGTTGATTTAAAAATGTACAGCTACAAACATGTCTTCAAAATTAATTTGTGAAAAAACACGTGTAGAAAAGGGGGGAGGGGTGAAGAAAATGAAGTTTCTTATCTAACATACATATTAATGCTTGTTGCTGAAAACATCACTTTACATCAATAGAATCACGACACGGGTGAGCAGAAAATCAATTGGAATCAATTATAGAATGAACATAATATAAATATAATTAAATTAAAATTGTGTGTAAAAGTAGCTATACATCTATCATTATTCTATCTAACATTGTTTCATCAAACATGCCCCCGGTCTTAATTTAAAATCAAGGGTATCTATGAAACTATCTTTGGCAATTTGAAAAAGAAATGTAATCAAAAGCATATGATAAAATAATTGGGGCAATTAATAGCTAGACTTGTCAAAATTCAAGAAATTAAAACAGAAAGAGAGAGAAGGAAAAACTCATATGAATACACCCACCAAGTAAGCAACATTACCATATATATCAAGGTTGTCTAATAACGAGCCTATGAACACACAATAATGCAACCTAAAACGTTAACCTAATTGAATTCATCACATACCTCATTTCTAGAGTTCTCGTCACGGAGAAAGTCAAAAACCCTTTTGGGTGGAACTGGTAGCCAAAAAGAAGTGGCAGCACTGAGAACGATGCCAGGGGGTCTTCCAGGGTCATCTACACTCTTTCGAGTCATCACTCTTACATCATCGGCTCCGGTCCCAGAGAGTGTAGTCCATGTGTGAGCAGTGGAAGCACTCACTCCAGCACAAAAGCTTATTACCATTCTTTCAGCCAGTTTCATCATACTCTTCCTCCCTTCTTGGTTTGTTATCACTATTTTTGTAGTAAAAATCCGAAGTTAATTTTAATATACCAAAAAGTTCTTACCAAAATCTTTGAAGAACACTAAAACAACACTTTGTAATACGTTACTTTTAGAGCATCGTTTACGAGTATGCTAAAAGTACTGATTAAGAAATTAATATATAATAATTTTTATTGTAAATTACGTTAGAATATATTAAAAATAAAATTTACTTTTTTAATAATTTTAGAATTTTAACTAATAATTTTAAAATGCATGTTACTTTTTTCTAATTTATTATTAATCAAAATTTATTGATAATCATAAAATAACACTAGACAACTGTCACTCAAAATGGGTATAAAACCATGTGTTTACGTTTCCTTGGTAAATCATTTTGTCACTTTTTACACATAAATAAACCATTATTAAGAAAATTTATTTATAAAATCGTGAGTTCAATTTCTTGTTTAACAGATTTCATTCATAATCTTTTAAGATTTAATAAATTTTAACTAATTATAAATAGCGCATCAGAAAAGGGGTTGTTATAATATTTTAAGACTTCATATGTAGAAAATGAATATTTTTTAATTAATACCGCCAACATCTACGGTGGGAATGTTTGTTGCCATGGCGCTAGCAAGCCTTTCACACTGTCGATCTAAGGTTGCAACCCAACGTTTTGCGCCAAATGCATGTCCAGAGCTAACAAGCTGCTTGTAAAGACTATGAACTCCTCTATCATCCACTTCCACATGCTCAACCCATGTGACCTTACACATAGAGATTATAGGTTAAGCCATATTAAGAACTGAACAAATAAAATAAATAAAAGATTATCTAACTAATAGATACATAGAGAGAGTAAATGTATCTCTTTAAGTTCACACTTTGAATATCGTTGTCCTTAGTTTCACTTTCTAAATTAAAAAATAAATATGGAAATAAAATTCGAACGTGTACAAACCGCCAAGTTTATTGGTTACCTTTGAATATCCATTTGGCATTTCTTGAATTAAGCAACCAGAAGGTCTTCTTCTACATCTCGCTGAAGGACTTGGGCGCAAATTATCCAAAGACACATCCACAACAGCCCAAGTCCCATCGGCATGTTGTTTACAATACCTCACAAAATAACTCTCACGAGTTGGCACAAGAGGTGTAGGAAGTTGTAATTCTGCTGTCATCTGCACAATCAAAAAATTGATTAATTTGTATTTTCTTACTAGCAGCTTAAACTACTTTAACGAAGAAAATAGATGCTATATAAATATATGTACCACTTGTAAGGCACCATTGTAGTTCCCGGCCACCCCTGTTGATAGCACTTCTAGAGTCATGGCTCTTGAGACTATGCCAGAGAAAACTGTGGACCATTGGTTCTGAAACGCACAAAGGAATCAAATGTCACGCAAGATCTAGAAAAATTAGAGCTTAAAAACCATGAATTGAAAATATATATATATATATATTTGTATATCATTGAAGAAACACCTCTAGTTTTTTTTTAAGAAGTATATTTCATGAATGTATACTATCAAAAAAAGATAAAAATTAAGAGAAATTAAAATAACTATGAACAGTATCATATACAGTGTCACAATTAGTTTAATGGTTGAAATAATAAAAATGTGAATTGCAAAAGTGCAAACTAGTAATGCAAGAGTAGGAAAGCATGTATATATACCACATCCATGAGAATCTCAACAAGGTTGACATGGTTCATGATAACAACAGCGGTTTCTCTTGAAGCTTCACATTTGAAGCCAGTAGGTTTTGGGCCAATTCCTCGGGGAAAGGACCTGATGTATTCATCCTCATTTAGCATAGTGGCAGTGCCATCAAGGGTAGTTAACCAAAGAGGCTCACCCATTTGTGCCATTCCAATGAGCTCCTCCATAGCTGCAACAGCTAGCTCTATTATTATTGGTTTATCAGCTTCGGTGGGTCCACTAATTGACCTCAGAAGATCTCCAGCTCCATACATGTCCACACCAATCCCTGGCTGGCCACCAAAACCAGCACCAACTCCAAGTTCTAGTGGACGAGGAGGGAGAGAAGGGGAAATATTTGAATAGTTCACCACTGGCTTCCCTACATACTTGGCAGCAATTGCTGAAATCCGATCAATCTGAAAAAAGAAAGTCAAAAAACGTTACATAATAATCAACCATCTTTTTGAGCTTTGCAACCCATCAAAATCTACAAGTCACATTGAGTCCATACTAATCTGAATTGAGTCAAATAAACCCTTTAAAAAAAATGATAATACTCTTTTATGATATTTTTTTTATTATTTATAAAACTTAAATTCGAGATTTCGTTTAATTATTTGGACCATGGTTGTAGAATAATCAACGACATAGTGTCACATAAGAGTTGCCTAATTAATTGATGTACCTCTTCTCTTAGCCTTGCATTTTCAAGCCTCAAGTGATGTTCATCGAATGACATTTCTCCTATAGCGGTTGGTCCACCACAATTAGGACACGAGGCATTGCTAAGAGCTTCCCTATACCTCATGTTATCTGCACGAAGCTTCTCATTTTCAGCTCTAAGCTGTGTGTTCTCATGGCGCTCATGTTGAGTCTGCAAACAACAAAACAACACCCTTTTTATGAGTAACTCATGAAAAGACAAGTACCACCTACATATAATTAAAGGGATTTAATATGCACCAAATACAGACATATACCCCAATTACGTAAGCATATATATATATATATATACCTTCATTTGAGTGCGCTTGTTCTGGAACCAAAACTTAACCTGCAATGGTTCTAACCCTAACTCTCTACTTAGTTCCTTCCTTTGCTTGTCATCTGGGTGTGGACACTCCTTGAAGAAACTTCAACAACAAAATTTAAATTTAAATTTTTTTTCTCAAATAATTAAAAAAAAAAAATCAATTGCAGCATGAAATATAAGTTCAGTTTAGACAATTTTTTGCAGAAGCACTTTTAAGAAGAAAAAAAATATAGAGAGATGAAATAAATAAAAAATTTTATAAGTTAAAATTAATTTATACATTTTTATGTTTCTAAAAAAATTTCAATTAACTTCTTCAAAACATTAGCTTCATATTTTGATTATAGTTTAGGAAAAAAAAAATTCTCTCTTTATTTTTTTTTCTTTTATAAGTAATTTTACGAAAGCTAATCCAAATTAGGTTATACAATGAAGGTGGGGTCTATTTTGGGGTAGCTTACGCTTCCATTTCCTGGATCTGGTGTTGAGTGTGGCGGTGATAACGCTTCTTTTTGGGACGAGGATCTTGGTCTTCACCAGAAGCACCTTCATGGTTTTCACTACCAGACTTTGTAGCACTATCGAACTCATCTTCACGGATTCGAGGAACATCACTCTCCGAAGTGTTCTGACCCATCTCCAGTGGATGGAGCTGACCAGCTTCCATTAGGTTTGGCTGGAACATTTCTACAGATCTTTAAGATTCCCGAGGCTTATCGTTTTTCAATCTAACAAAAACACAATACAACACATGTAGTATATAGTACGGTACACTCAGAAAAGAAAAGACAGTCACAAACCTCAGGAATTTTTTAATTAAGAAAAAAAATAACGAGAAGTGAAATTTGTGCGTTTTTTTTTTACATTTGACTTTTGTTTTAAAATAAAAGAGAGTAGTTTCAAACGGTGTGTGAGATGGAGGAAACGCGGCTTTCGAATATCGAGATGGATATTTCGCTTGGATGGCACAATAAAAATAAAAAAAAAGACCTTCGGAGTTTTGATACAAAAATAAAAATAAAAAATAAAAAAGTGAAAAATTGAAGTCTCAATTTTGTATAAAAATTTTAATCAAAAGTTCAAAACCCGGGTTATAATAAGCACCGACCTGGCCAAGAGTGAGAGCTGAAGATGATCCAAACCCACCACCGTTGTTGATCCTTGTAATCATGGATGGCATGTTTCTCGCCGGAATAATAACACCGGCTAGCATATTTTACATACCATAAAACCACCACCGACTAGTACACATAGAATCGTACCTCTCTCTCTTTCTTCTACCCCGCAACGTTCTTGGATAGAGAAAACGAACTTAAAGAGGCCGAGCTTGTGGATTCTGTGAGCTGGCAGTGTCAAAGCGAAGTCAGTGTGTCACTACAAAACGCATAGATTAACAAACGTGACCTCCAAGACAAAAAAAGAAAAAAGAAAAAATCTAAAAAGTTCAAACAAATATACGCTATAAGCATATATATGAATCAGAAGGCAAAGAAATTGATTGATTTTCTGATATTGTCCTTTCACAAAACAAAATCAAATCATTCCGTTTTAAATATATATAACACCCACGAAGATCTCGGAGATTCCTACAACGCTTCCAATATTTCAGTATATCTTTTTCTTGCAAACCTAATCACGTTCCCTTTCACACCCAACAAGCCCTAGCAAGTGGTGATGAACCAACTCACTAAAAACATGAAAAAGGGAAAATGTACTAAGCAGCTTTCACTTCGGGAAAAAAAAAGTGATCTTAGAGTTAGAGAACCGAAGGAATATGATGAAAGAATGGAAGCAAGTTTTGAAAGATATTGGATTTAAAACTTACGAGTGAGAGTGAGTGATAATAGTAGTTGGAGATGAAGGTGTAGCTAGATCTGTATTGGGACTAGAAAGGTGATGAAAAAGGGATAGGGTGAGTGAAGTTGGTGAAATGGTAAGAAAGTGGTGTTTACAGAGAGGAGAGGAAGAAGAAGAGAAGAGAAAGGGACAAAGGCATTGAAGGAGGGAAGTGGGGAACAGATAGAGGAAAATGTGGCAGCGAAGAGTAATTGCAGAGCGTATTGAGAGGGTGCAATTGCATTAAATGGAGGGCAAAAGAGGTGTAATTGCAAGAGAGTGGAGAGAGAATGAGACGCACCATTTTTTTCCTCTATAAATTTTTGCTCTCCCTTCCATTGTTGACGGTGCAACGAATGACGGCTACCAAACAAATCCTTATGTTAAGTCCCTAAGTTCTACTACTATTCATGTTGGATTTATAAATATAATTTTAATTAAGTGTTTATTTCATTCATTTTTTATATGATAATTTATGTTATGAATTCGGTTTTAATTTTTAAAAATAAATTGGAAGAACAGTTATAAGTTATTTTAAACGTCTTTGTATTTGAATTCATTTGTTATTAATTTGTGTGCGTCAGTCCATTAATTTCTTTAGTTTTGTTATACTATTTTTATATTTTTATGATTATTTTATAAAATAATTCTTAAATAAAAAAATATGTATTTAATATTTTAAAAATATAAAAAAAATGTTTTAAAAAGGTAGAAGATTTAAAATCATTTAGTTCTTCTATGCCAGTCTCCTTCCGTTCTGTTAAGTCTAACAATTTTTCGTCAAGATTATGAGAATCACGTTTAGGGTATTTGATAATTGACGTGTAAGATTCGGAATAATTTATTTACTCTCATGTTTATTCGGAATTATTATTTTTATGCATACAAGTTTTTTTTTTTTTTAATTCGAGGCATATGTTATTTTTTAAAATTATTTAGTTATTTAAAAATGATTTTCACTTTTTTAATTTCTTTAAACATTATTAAACACAATATAATATTTACAAATCATCAATAAAACATTTTTTATTACATATTTTTTGTTTATTTTCAAATAATTTAAAGTTTAAAAATCATATATTTTATATTTTGATTTGTATTTTTATTTTAAAAGTAAACTTTTGTCTATGCAAAAAATTTTAAATATTTTTATTTATATTTAATATTTTCTTTATAACTAAAATATTTGTACAATATATATGATATTTGGCAATATAATTACATGTATATTATGTTCCTGATTTTGTTGCAGTATTATCCATTCAAAAATTTATGATGAGTGAAAGTATTAATTTAAAAACCGCAACTGCATGTTGCTACTCAGGAAATTTTGATAGATAGTGGTAGCCTATTTGTCCTTTATGTTGACTAAATATTGGTTGGAAAAATTATAATTAAATTCATTGGTATTCAATTGTATTACAATAATTAAAATTCTTTAAAAGGATTTTCACCACCAAAAAATAATTAAACTTCATTTCAAAAGAAGGTTTAAGTAAGACCAATGATTTTGACCTTAGATCACCGATAATTTTACATAAAATATAAATCTATCAATTTAACTGTTAAATTATAAAAATATAATTAAATACTTTTTATTTTTATATAATTTAATTTAATTTAAAAAATATCAAATAAAATTTGAACTACAGATATGATCATTATTATTAGAATCTTTAATCTAATAATTATTTTTATGATTAAATTATTTAATAAAAATTTATTAAATTATTTAAGAATAGGTATAATTTATAATATAATTTGGTCCCTCTATATTTCTGGAGAAGTACGCGCTTTAAGAGTATTAATGATAAAAAAAAATAGTGTTATAAGCAATAAATGCAAGTGCCGATTGCAGTATTGTTTAAAAATAACTATTTTTTATTGAATATTTTATTTATTAATTAATAAAAATAATTAATATAATTTTTTTTTATTAACAGAAAAAAATAAATTATTCAAACTAAAAAAACAATTATTTTCAATTTTAATTGCTAAACAAACTAATTTAACTTGCATCCATGGGTTGCCCTTACTCCTGTACTACTAAATAGTTAAATATTTTAAACGAATAAAAGAACATAGATAAAAAAAACAACAGTAAATGTTATTTTAAATTTTAATATAAATAAATAAAGATAAAATTATTTGTTAAATAAATAGAAACAAAAATCGTAAAAACTAAAAAATATTATATTTAATTATTTTTTATTTTTTATTTTTTATTATAACATAACAATTTTATCATCATTTAGTACCAACTTAACATTATCATCAACAATTACCTTTATTAATTTAAATTAATATTTTTTAGTGATTAATATCCTAAAATCAATAAATAATATTTTAAATAAAAAATTAAAATACATTAGAAATCCTAGAAATAAGTGGTTTTTTACATTTTATAATAAAATACTTTTATGTGTAATAGTTTAATCTAGGGCATTTGTTATAATTTATTTTATTTTAATTCTCATCAACTTTTTTTTACAGACAAATAAAAAATAATAATAAATATTTTACAAAAATTATTAATTATTTTATAATAAAAAATTATTAAACATCAATATTTTATTAAAAGATAAATTTAAAGTGCAAAAAATATTCTAACTCGTCATAGCTCTAAAGAAAATTAATAATAAATTTTAAAAAATTATTAATCTAATTCACATATATAATTGATCTTTTCAAAAATCATGCTATAAATTTTATAAACTTAGTATTTTGTAAAAAATTAGTAAAATTTTTTCTGTTTTACTAAAAAAAATAATTAGTAAAACTTTAGAAGGTATAATAAAAAAAAAACATTTTTATTTTTATCTATATATCAAATGTATTTGTTATGTCTTTGTGTTGAATGAAATACATCTATATTCAAAGACATAGAAATTATTAATAAACCTTGGTGGGGCTTACAAAGGAACAATAGATTGTCTAATAACAAGGAATGTCTAAATTCGAATTTAATTACGTACTTAAGCCGTCTATTTCTTAAATATCACAAATAGTATTGTTTGCCTTTAAATAAACTCAAATTTCGTAGCTTTGACTTTCATTTCTAATGGAAAGTGAGCTTTCGCAATGAATTATTAAAAGTTTATTCAAAATTTAGAGTTTGTTGTCTCTGTTTTAATTTTTAATTTTTAAAGATTATATTTTAAAATAATTTTAATATTTTAAATAAAAATTATTTATTACTTTAATTTTTAAAAACTGTTTTTAAGATTAAAAAAAAGCCAAATAAGTTTCTATTATTTTTAAAATTTAAAAAGAAACAACTATATTTAAAAAAATAAACACATTGATTTGAACGTACCAAACCAAACATTATCGTTTTGCATAATCAGAAATTTTATATTTTTTAAATGATCCCATCAAAGAATATAAAAAATTGATAGGTCGAGTTTCTTTTGAACCAAACTGATTTGGTGATATATGGTCGAGTTTGTTCAATCAAATTGATAGATCAATATAGACTCACTTACAATCGTAAAAAGACATACATAGTTCCCTGTAGAGTTTGTTTATTTAGATTATGATCAAGATAAACACACTATTTAACGTATCCTTTATTTATTTTATTGCACTATTTTCTTTTACTTTAAATTTATTTACACTGTGTCAATATTTTATTCATTATATTTTTAAAAACATATAAGAATATTAAAAAATAATAATGAATAATATAATTTTAGTAACATTATTTCTTAAAATTGATTTTAAAATTTAAAATTAATAAGCTTTATTAGAAAAGAAAAATATTTACTATATAAATATTAAATTTTACCTTAAAGTTTGCTCGATGTTAACATTTTTTCATTTTTTAATTACTACAGGAAAAGATAAAAGATAAATAAAAATAAAAAATTTCTTCTCTTTTTCACAAATTAAGAGGTATATTCAACTCTTACTTATTTTTAAAAAAATATTATTTTAATAAAAATAAATAAATAATACTATGTGTCAAATTTAATAAAATAAAATTTATAGTTTTTATTAATATATTTTTTTTTTACTAATCTGCTAGTTGTTAAATTTTAAGAAAAATTATAAAATAGATCAAATCTACAAAATTTCATAAAAATTATTTTTTTATCATTCCATAATTTCATATTATTTTAACACATGATTTATTGTAAAAAATACAAATAATCAACTCCAATGTCCACCTTGATATTTATTCATAGAAACATGTCTTTTAATAGGTTGAATATTTGATCAATTTTAGTTTTAAGTATAGGGCAGATTAGGACAAATTCTAGTCATAATTTTAAGAGTGCGGAACAGGAGAACGGATGAAAAACATTTTATATTATACGATAAACGATATTTTTGAAAACGTGTTTAATATAATATATAATAAAAAATTATATATAGTATTTTTTATTTAAAATTTAATGTATTAATAACATTAAATATTATATTTTTAATATAAATTATTATTTATTAATTTTTATTGTTTGCCTTTAGATATGCATTAGTATTAAATATCAATCACTTGTCCCCAACCAGAAATTGGCGTCCCATGTGTATGGATTTTTTTTTTTTTAAAAAGGAAAAATACATGTTATTTTTCTTTATTTTTTCTCATTAAAAATAGTAATAGAAGTATTTTAAACAAAACAGCAATTAATTGGTGTTATTTTTTTTAATTAGAAAATATGTTTGGTATGAGAAAACCAACTCCAGAATCTCAACTTCACGAGATCCATAATACGTATCAGATAAAAAATCTCCAACCTAAAAATAATTTCATTACATGAGTTAAATAAATCAAACCACGTATAATCATCCAATTATTATCCAAAGGCAACATGTTCATATCCTAAGTAAAATTAAGTTAATGATCATACCAGGATGGATTGATAGCAAGAGAATAAAACAAGTGAGATATAGACTCCAAATCGTTTTTGCATAGCACAGCAGAAGACCATAGAAGATCACAGCATTTTTTACCTTTTACATCACATGCATGTTAGAATGTTGATTATTTCATGTCCAATATCACATAGCCATCTCTCTATTCTTGTTCATCATCTTAAAGCATTTAAGATATGAAGTAATTTTCATATTATTGCCTGTTATTGTGGATGGTAGCTGTATCCCTCTTCTTTCTCTCTTGCAGGGTACTATTTCGTTGGAATTATCAAGGTTGTTGTCAAATACTCTTTTAAGTGCTGTCATGTTAAGAGCAGAAACTCTATCCTCTCTTCTTTTTT